ATACAAATTTAATTAAAAGTAGTAGCTGTAAAGTTACCTAACTGGGTGACGAAATACTTTCATAAATGTCTCATAAATGGCGCTACGGCTGAAAAGTCGTTGAAAACCAAATACAAAGATCCGTCAAACAAGCATATGAAAAAATTCGAGAGGTCCGCTGGTTCGTTCCTTGGCTTAGTTGGCATAGCATCTGGCATGGTTTATTAGGAGACGTCGGTTCGAATCCGGCCGGATCGAAGGAATTTTTTGTAAGTCTTCGATCTTCATACAACTAGTGGAGTAAATTCACAAAAAATAATTAAATATCAATTCTATGGTCAACTTATGTCTCAGGGTGCCCCTCAGATCTTTGCGATTTAAAGCTCTGAGTGGCACTTACCGTCAGGCGTACATGTTCGTCCCGTCGCTTGATATTATTAAAAAAAACTCGGACCGAAAATTCCTTCGATCCGGTTGAACTCGACCCAATTCGAGTACATACTATCGAAGGAATTTCTCTTTGTATTTGTTAGATCTTTGTATCAATAATAATAATAAACCGGTTTAGTATTTTCACAACATAAAATATATGAATGTCATGGTGTTAAAAATATCACAATATTCAATAAAAGTAACAATAGAAACTTTGTCCTGCAGAAGCGTGCTGAAAGGCCAATTTACAAATAGTGCTCGAAATGATCTCTGCGTCACAAGTATAAGGAAATTAACATTCGTGCACTGGCGTCATAGTATAATAATGTAAATGAATTTTGTATAATATGTATATGTAATTTATATTAAGAGGAGTTACAATGACACTACAGTAATACCCCGCATTGCGCTATTTCGTTATAACGCGATTTTTTAAAGTTCGCGCTAAATTACCCCGATTGACGCAGATGCATTTTAATTTGATTGATTTAGCCAATTTGAACCCGTAGCTTCCCAGTTACTAAGAGTGCATTGTCACAGGTAGTTCTTTCTTGGTAAGTTCTTTAATTTATAATTACATTGGTACTGTCTGTTATCCAGTGACTTGTAAAAGATAATTTTTACGAACACTGGCTAAGAAAGAAGAGCGTAAGAACTTGAGTTTGGAGACGAAGATAAAAGTTTTAGAAAAGATGGGTTCGTTCGTTACAATATTTAGCCTGTTATTCGATCATACACATAGCAATAAAAAAAGTACAACCCTGTTTTAAGCGAATTTCGCTTAAGGGCGCGTGTCCACGCTAAGAAACGTCGCCGGGTCTATGCAAGAATTCGTGTCGTTTCTACACACGAACTGTGTACACTGACTCGGCGCCGGCCAAGAAAAAAATCTTGTGTACCCCGACACGACGCGCTCTGCCGTTGTTGTATGACGGGTGTTGCTTAGCAGTCACCATATACAACAACATATTTCTTCCCACAGTCGGTAGTAACACGACAACTACCTGGAAGACCCGTAATGCACTGACACATTTTACCCTACACACGTCTGCACGAAAGCATTCGTATCGTGTACATACTCATCATTTTCTGTCTGCTACAGACACAACATATTTTCGTGGCTAGATCCGACGAAGTACTTGTCGTGTACAAGACGACGACGAGTCTACCAATTATTTTTCCTCGGATAATCGTGCATTACTGTGGCAAGATAAATACGCATAAATCATATACTACCTAAGTATCTACCTAATAATAATAATTTTAAGAAATGTATACTTAAAATTAATGTTTTTTTATTGGCATTTCTTGAAAATCTTCCTTAAGAATAATAAATATTTCTCTCCATGCCTCAAAAGTACATCGTTTATCTTTATAAATCTCTAAGGTTTTCTCCCACAATACGGGTCGTTCCTCTACTAAGCTTATAAGTAAATCATGCATTTTATTAGTCGCAATGAAATTAGTGATGCAACAATGGTTCATTGCAACACTGGTTTACACTTGTACGTTCGTTTACTGACAACAATAGCGGCAGAGCGCGTCGAGTCCGGGGTAGACACGATTTTTTTTCTTGTCCAGCGCCGAGGCAGTGTACACAGTTCGTGTGTAGAAACGACACGAATTCTTGCGGACACGGATTTTGTAATTTATATATAGTAATAATAAATAATAATAATAATAAACCATTTATTTCAGGCCATAGCCCATAAGATAATGGTGTTAGTTGCAAAAGAAAACCTTAGAACTATGTTAGTATGATTACATTGAATTTTGAGATATTGATAGAAAATTTAAATATTAAAATTTGGAAAATGCACAATATTATTACTTAATTTGACCAGTTGTAATGTTTACCCAAAACTTTAAAATTGTACAGTCAAAACGATGGGCAAACATCCTCAGGATGCCATTGCCACTGTCACGCACTCGCTTTAGCAGAGACGACACTTTTTTACGCCTATAATGGCACAAAAGTCATCTGTTCGTTCTTCAGGAAAGATGCACTGCAGTGCCGTGGCAGTCCCAACAGCATCCTGAAGATGTTATTGTATTGTACTCGTATTGAGTTGTATGTACGCTGTGTATATCTAACCCATAGACTACTCGAATACATTGACTGACAAAAAGCTTTAAAAAGCGTAACTTTCACCTGTTTTGTACAACGAGTGAATCTACGGGCCAGCATGTTTCCTCTCACAGCCAGCGCTCTGCGCTCCCTTTCAATATCTAGATCATGTTTCATGCTGTCAATAATAACGTGACCAAGATATTTAAACCTATCAACTAATAACCACGGCTGTCTGTAAATAGATGAAAACGAAAAATGTTTCTTAAACAATATGTACCAATCACGAAAACGTAAGAACTGGAAGTAAATTGCAATGTGTTTTGAAAAATGATGGCACATAACATACGAGATGAATCGGTGCCAGGCGGACTATGGCTTGAGCCTTCGCCTGAGATGCAACCCGTGGCCAGCAGTGGGACGTATAAATGAGTCAATGGTTATGATGCAGCTTCTGCGTTCTTATATGACACAAAAATCTTGTATGGTGTATTTATGATTAGTGTTGTGTTGTTATTGTAATGTAATGTGAATGTGTGTATTGTAATGTAAAGTCCTGCGTCTGGTGGTAAGCGACACTCCAGTCCATAACAGTTGCAGTGCCACTCAGTGCTTTAAATCGCAAAGATTTGAGGGGCACTGCCACCGCACCCGTCACCCTGAGACATAAGTTGACAAGTCCCATGTGCCCTTGAAAACCGACACGCATTAATGCCTCACATTCCTGCTTGGCGGCAGAAATAGGTAAGGTGGCAGTACATCTCCGGACAAACTCTTTTACAAGGCACTCTACTGCTATTAAAAATTTCGGTTAATGATATAATATGATATGATTTGAATATATACCGTATAGTATAAATACGTAAAAAAATAGCGTTGATCGCTTTTGTTTTTAGCAAAAATATTAAATAACACGAATGAATAAATAAACAATTGTCCTCGTTTGTTTGCAGTTCCCAGTGTCAGAGTACTTTAGGTGCTGTACCCCGTCAGTTCATTTGTTAATTAATTACTCCCTTAAGCAATGACCGGCTGTTAAATCAGTGTTAATTTAGATTTCGTGGCGAGAGTTTCGAGCATTTCATTTGTAAAGATGCGAAATTAAATAGTGTTTAAAATAATTCTACAAAATCATGGGTTTTCGTGACACGGAATCTTTGTTATTCAGAGTTATTTATTTTCGGTAAGAGCCATTTTTTATGATATCAAGTGACGGAACGATTAAATCGTCGGGACGGAACGATTAAATCGTCGGCACGGCTCTTTGTGGTTGTGTTGTTATTGTAATGTAATGTGAATATGTGTACTGTAATGTAAAGTCCTGCGTCTGGTGGTAAGCGACACGCCTGTCCATAACAGTTGCAGTGCCACTCTGAGCTTTAAATCGCAGACCGAAGGTGTAAGGGTTGCTGCCCCTGCGCAACCATAAGACGTCATCATTCAGCCTTACGACGCCCACTGCTAGGACAGGCCTCCCCCAACGATCTCCAACGATTGGTCCTGCGCTGTGCGCATCCATCGGCTTCCCACAAACTTTACCAGATCGTCGGTCCACCTGGTGAGGGGCCTACCCATTGAGCGTCGTCCGGTGCGCGGTCGCCCTTGAAGAACCTTTCCGCTCCAACGGCCATCGGCTCTCCCAGCTAGGTGCCCACTGCCACTGCAGCTGAGCAATTCTTCGAGCTAAGTCGGTTCCTTACCTTACCTTACCTTGGTTCTCCAACGGATTTCCTTATTTCTGATTCTATCACGTAGGGAAATACCGGGCATCGCTCTCTCCATTGCCCGCTGAGTGACCTTGAGCCTTCTTATGAGGTTAGGTTAGGTTAGGTTAGCTAGAGCCTTCTTTCCGTCTTGACTGACTTGAATTTGGCCTACGCGGCGGCTGGATTTTAAATATTGTTGCCTAGTAAATATAATTCAGATTCGCGATTAATGTAGGTACATGAAATACAGTACTTTAAAAGTACCACACAGAAAAATGTACATACTTTTCCCATAGTGCTTATATTTATTCAAGATAAAATGTTCAATGTATGTAAATCACTAAATTTTGTCAGCACATTGTTAATTCTTCTCTATGGAAAAGGAGTAGGCGGCAACATAGAAAACACTTGATAATAAAACACTTGAAAATCATTCTGTAAAGCCTGTAGTTACAGTTTCTCGTACAGATATCTGTACGAGAAACTGGAATGAAGAGAAATTGAATCTGCAAAGGCAATTTCTTAAGAATGTCATCTCATAAAACAATCGGATATAAGGGTTCGTTCAAGTACTCAGTAAATTAAATTAAACTATTATTAATATTCTGTTATGTGTCTGAAAATAAATCTTTTAAATGGTTTAGTTGGTTATCTGAGATCCGTATAGCGAAACGAGGTACCCCGTACTATCACACATATATTCACTTTCACTCGGATCTCCGGATCTGTGCTGATAAACTATGTTCTAACGTAAGTCATAGATTAATGACAAATTGTAATTGTAAATCTTTATACATTGCTGATTTTGTCTACAGGCTCCTGCGTCCGGAGTCAGTCTCGGGCGTGATGGAGCACGCCCTGCAGCATCGCGATCGCGTTGGCGTCCAGGATTTCGTGCTGCTCGAGGACTACCGCTCCGAAGCCGCTTTTATCGACAACCTGCGCAAGCGGTTCAAAGAAAACCTCATTTATGTGAGTTTCCTTCTATGCTTTCCGAATCACACTCTTCATACAATCACAGTAAGGGCGCATTTATTTGACATGAATTCCATCGCGTGGCCTCCGCGCAGCGACCGCGTGCACGTGTTTAGAGACCGAACTGTTATAGCAATTTATTTATTTAGTTTTTACATTTTAACTTAAATAAGCCCCGGGCGAGTGTGGCTTGTCTTTGGTCTACGCGACGTCCGCGTGGCGACCGCTCGGTTGTATTATTCCGAGGAATTTAAATGTTATTGCCTAGTAATAGAATTCAGATTCGCCATTAATGTACATAAAAGCGTGGTAGCTGGGCGGTTGCCGCGCGGCGGCCGCGCTGAAACTTTCGCGACGTGTTGTAACCGGGCGGTTAAGAGGTAATACAAAATGTATCTAAGAGCGATTACATACGGCGACTGTTAGCAGTGATGCAAACGCGATGCAGTCGCTAATTGTACGGGTCACGTACAAGATTTAGACGCTGAGTTTGCGCCCTACTTTACGTGAATCGACTGGTTCACTTTTTATTATAATTTAGTTGATATAATAACTCGTGTCGCAATCGGTCACATAAGCATCCATATAATAACTTGCATTTAAGCAAAAATAAACTTTACGATTGTACGTCAACTCTATAACTTAACTAACTACAAACTACAACTAACTTAATTACCTACACTCAAGACGTCAAAGCCCATACACTAATTGTCTACCTTTACACCAGCGCGCGCGATTTTAAACAGCGATCCAAACGCGCGATTGCATCGCTACACTTGGAACTTTTAGAGGATTGTATTTGTATTTGTATCGCGTTGTGTTTGTATCGACGCATTCGCGCGTTTGCATCGATGCAATCCTTTAATAGTTCCAAGTGTAGCGATGCAATCGCGCATTTGTATCTATGCAGTAACGCGTTTGCAATCACCTATAAATCGCAAGTGTATCGATGCAATCGCGCAGCTGACGTACGCGCGTTTGCATCGCTGCTAAAAGTCCCCGTTTGTAATCACTCTTAGTGTTACCGTCTCACAGTCTTAGAAAATCTTTCACAGGTGACACTTCGAAGCTTAATAATTGATGTGTTTTTAATATTCCAAACGCGAAATGATAACTCACGTGTGCCATTTCTGTATTGTTTAGTAAAAAAAACTTTGTTCTTTGATTTTTAAACTTAAAAATTACAAAAATAGGAAATGAAACTATTTTTTCGTATTTAAATCGCGTATATTTGTTTTTTCAAACATACCAACGTTTCGAGCTCTTTACGGGTCTATACAAATATACGCGATTTAAATCCGGAAAAATAGTTTAATTTCCTTTGTGTAACAATCGCGAACGAAAACCTAAGAGCTCGATAATTACAAAAATGTTAATGAAAAGAAAAGTACTAAATATTTATTAACTTGGTTTTAAATTCTAGAACATTATTTCTTTAACACATTGATACAAAGTTCGAACGAACACAAAGAAACATCCTTCAATCCGACTGTACAACAGATTGCCGGGTCGAGTCAAGTCGGATGCAAGGAATTTTTCTTTGTATCTGTATAATCTTTGGATCAATAATAATAACAAACTAGTGGAGTATTAATTAAATGTTTATTGAATTGATATTCAATTCTTTTTTGTGAAATTACTCCACTAGTTTGTTATAATTATTCATACAAGTATTAATAAAATATAATATAATAGTAATAATTATAACAAACTAGTGGAGTAATTTCATAAAAAAGAATTGAATATCAATTCAATAAAAATTTAATTAATACAGTGAATAGCGACATCTCCCGCCAGGACTGGTAGCTGTAAAGGTACTAACTTGGTGATCAATCTTTCATAGATTTCTCATAGATGGCGCTACGACTAAAAAGTCGTTGAAAAACCAAATACAAAGACACGACTCAAGCACATAGAAAAATTCGTGAGGTCCGTTGGTTCGTTCCGTGGCTTAGTTGGTATAGCGTCTGCCACGGTATGCAAGAAGACGTCGGTTCGAATCCGACCGGATCGAAGGAATTTTTTCTGAGTGTTCGATCTTTGTATTAATAATTATAGTAGAGTAATTTCATAAATACACCGCGCCGGCGCTGCGGGCCATTACACTCCTCAACTCCGTTCTCGAGGCACCACATACTGATTTATTTGATAGCACGGTTGGATGTGTGATGAGTGAATGTAGGAAAGTATTTGAACAAATGATGCCTGCAAGTTCAGTTCTATGAAATCTATTACGTTTATATTTTTCGTTGTTTCTGTGTTTGTGGCGATTTGGACTTTTACCTGTGAAGTTAAAAATGTTAAATAAATAAATAAATAATAACTTTTTTTATAATAAAGTCGATCCCAAAAGCTTGTGGAAATCGGTCGAAATTCAATAAACCGGATTCATCCCCTAATTTGCCACCCTTAGAGGTAAAATATCTTCTTCAAGTTTGAATGGGACTACTATTGAGGTACCCCCTTGGAAACAAAAAAGAATCATCGAAATCGGTTTACAAATATCGGAGTAATGACGTAACATTTAGTAGCAGTAGAGTTCCTTGTGAAAGAGTTTGTCCATGGAAGTACTGCCACCATTTCTGCCGCCAAGCAGTAATGTGAGCATTACTGCGTTCCGTGTGGAAGGGTAAAGGTGCAGGAGAAATTACAGGCACGTCGGACTTATCGACTTATTATGTCTCAGAGTGACGAGCGCGGTCGCAGTGCCCGTAAGATCTGTGCGATCTAAAGCTCTGAGTGATTGCAACTGTTATGGACAGGCGTGTAGCTTACTACCTTTAATGTCAAGTATATACCAACGGATTTATATTATATAAATAATGTATGAAAAATCGCGTAGATGAACGCGTCATTATGTTTTTTTTCATCGAAAGAAAAAGTTAGGTGCATCACAGTTCATCGTCAAGTTCGAATTTCAAAAACCTTTTCCGCTAGCGTGGAGAGAAAGAAAGGGAGACAGAAAGCCTTTCCGAGCTATTGAGGTGAAAAAATCTTTTAATCTATGTAGATAAGGTATCCTGATTGATTAAGTTGATGTATTTTCCAACAGACATACATTGGCAATGTGCTGATCTCGGTAAACCCCTACAAGCATCTGCCCATTTACACCGAAGAAAAGACGAAGCTCTACTTCAAGAAAGCATTTTTCGAGGCTTCTCCACACGTGTAAGTGAATTATTTTTTATTACTACTTGTTCTTATTATTATTTTTGCATAATGTATAAATAAAATAACGTAATAAATTGTAAATTTTACTACGCCATTGGAAGGTTTTCTGCACAGGTTTTCCTTTTTTAAGTACCAGCGGTCATATCTACTGATTCTTTGATACTTACTTAGGTTCTGTACACTATGCATGTTGTATTATTATTATGGCAAATAAATTTATTATTACTTAAACTAAAAATAATTTCCCATTTTTTAAATACTTTTCACTCGAATTTCGACGCTATTCTGAGAGGATAAATGTTTTATTCTTTCTCTTTATTTCTGCAATGAAAAACATTGACTATAATCAAGATATATCGAGTTCTTAGGGCTTAGAGACCATTGTCTTAAACTAAAATGTTGTAAAAAGTTTCTTAATTCTTAATAATAAGTATTTAGGTAGTATGTGGCTGAGTTGCAATAAAATTTTTGTTTAGATGACATTTTAATCGAATCTTTTTATTTTCGACATAAGCGACCTCCTTGCTTGAACTAACCTGACCTATGTAAGGAAGTATGAGTGCCACAAAAAAAAACTCCTTACTGTCCATGGCTGTAATGGGAAAAAAAGGGATTCGCTCTGGGCCTTTTGGAGGGAAAAGTGTCGTTTTTATTTTGACTTTCAATTATTTTGTGTAATCTAGTTTAAAGTGGAATAGGATAGTGCTATTGTGCCTTAATCGAAGATTAAAACGCGAAATTACACGAATCTCGAACTGAAATACCCGTATCGGCCCTTAATAAGGGATCCCGAGTCAATCTAAGCACGCCGCCTCAAATTGCCTATCCTCTTTGTGGCGGCCATATTTACAGAAACATAATTAATTAAACGAAGACATGGCTCAGAGGACTTGTATCCAAGCCAAAATTATTAATAAAAAAAATAGGAATAAAAAAGGCCTTAGAAAAGGTTATTTAGGAGCTAGCTTAACTATTATAAGTTAAAAAAAAATTACGTCGTAATTTTGCGAATTAAAATCTTAGAATAATAACGCATAGAAACCTAGCCCGCACACGCTAAGTGAGGCAAATTGAAGCGCGCCAAAAGGGCCTACACGAGCGGGCGGGCCTTCAGTGCTCAAGGTCAACTTGCACCGCGAACAGATCAAGAATTTTAGCTAAAAATGACGAAATGTGCGGTAAATGAGTGTAAAAATACGTCAGACAAACATAAAATAGATACTAACATCACATTCCACAAGGAAGTAACGCGTTTCAACTTGTATTTTTATATAAATATTCACTAAAACCGAAAATTAACCTACTACTAAAACTAGCCTACATGAATTTGATTTTTGCCTCACTTGTGACAGTTCGTTTGATATGAAACTATCATTCTATGCGTTATTATTCTAAGATTAAAATAATAGGGGTTAAAGTATGAAATTGCCGATTCGTACTGAAAATCTAAATTGTTTATTTTTTAAATTTTTAACAAATTTATTTAATCAAAATAGTTGCCATTATTATCTATACATTGCTGCCATCTAATGGGAAGGTTATTAATGCCTTTGCGATAGAACTCCGACGATCTAGACTGCACAAACTGTGTGAAAGCATTTTGTACTGCCTTCTGGGAAGAAAACTTCTTGTCACGTAGATAATTGTGCAAATCACGAAAAAAATGGTAGTCCGTTGGAGCAAGGTCTGGTGAATACGGAGGATGACGAATGGTTTCTAACTGCAGTTCCTGAAGGGTCAAAATGGTTTCTCGTGCTGTGTGAGGTCTCGCGTTGTCGTGGAGCAATAATGGTGAAGATCGATTCATGAGTCGGGGTTGTTTTACTGCTAGTTTTGTCAACATGGTTCGGAGTTCGGCACAATAGACATCTGCCGTTATTGCTTGACCAGATCGGAGAAAACTATAGTGAATAACACCATGTTGAGACCACCAAACAGTTACCATTACCTTTTTATTGGTAAGTTTTGCTTTAGGACACTGTTGTGGCATTTGACCTGGGGTCAGCCATTGCATTTTTCTTTTCCGGTTATCATAAAGAATCCACTTTTCATCACATGTTACAATTCGATCCAATATTCCTTCATTTCTGTACCGGTTCAACAAGGCAACACAAGTTTCAACACGCGTTTCTTTCTGCAGATCAGTCAAATCATGAGGCACCAATTTTTCGTATTTTTTTATTTTATTGATTTGACGCAAGTGAGTCAATATTGTGGGTAAGGTAACGTTAAACCATGCCGCTAATTCCTGGGTAGTTTGACTAGGATCGGCTTCCACTATCTCTCTTAATTCATCGTTATTCACCTGTGTGGGCGGTCTTCCTCGTGACTCGTTCTTTAAGTCGAAATTTCCATCACGAGAGCGTTTAAACCAAAATCGCACGGTGCGTTCATTAGTAGACCCCTCTCCAAACGCAGCATTGATATTGCGGGCTGTTTCTGCCGCGTTAGTTCCGCGTCGGAACTCGTATTTTTATTATTTATATATTATTTCTCTATTATACACCTACATCTCTTTAGTCTTCTATTATTTCATTACATTGTTGGAGAAAATCACTAATATAAACCTTGGCGGGAACGGGCATTGACTCGTATTAATTAAAATTTTAAAACTCTCCTATTTAAGCATAAAAAACTAGTTTCTTTCGAGAATCTTTACACCTACTGAAAAGTTATCATTTTGCAGGCCTTATTACTCCAAGGGTGTAAATTATATATAAAGTCATCTTCAATGTACTGCAATTATACACCTTTTTACCTTCACTATAGCAAGAATTGCAATTGGCACACTCAATGCATGCACCATACACGTACGCTTTTCAGAACTCTATCATTGAGATACAAGCTTATCAACCGATAAATTCAACAGTTATGATTATGACCCGATAAATAATATTATTTATAATGATATTTCTGTATGACTCACCTTTAATAATCCGCCCGAAGGTAAAATCCAATAAACCGGCAAGCGTCTTAGCCTAGTTTAATAAGTCGACTCAAAAAAATAATCTATTCAGTTAAGAGTTTATAATGCCTCAAATGGCGTTGGTTGATTCAGTATAACAGTGAAAATTTGAAAATAATATATAGTATAATATATAATATAAATTGTGGATATACATTGATTACTATACGGTGAGAAAACAAAAGGCAAAAGGAACCATATAGTACCGGAAAAAATTGAATTCGAACTTAGAATGAATCGACTCTTAAAGGGAATGCTTTTAGTACGAGCCCGTTTGTTTTTTTTAAGATACGAAATGATGGGACGTGCAAGAGCTTTAAATGGCAAAGACGTCATGTGCTCTGCCACTGCGCCCTGAGACATAAGTTGACAAGTCCATGTGGTTGTAATTTCACCAGCACTCTTAGGAAGTTACCACACTAATTCACACGAATTCGCATTGAGCCGGACAGAAAAATCTTTATGTTCATGTAATAAGAGCGATAAATTATAGCGCTAGATAAAGTTAAGTATAAAGGCAATAAGTTAATATGCAACAGACGGCCTTACGATAGAAATTTGGGACATGCAAAGGGGATGCATTCAAACAGTACACTTCACAATAACGATTAATAATTATGTTTACTATATTTTTTCGGATCTGGGTGTTTGTGGTATACAAGTGCTTTAGGTACTTACTATAGGATCAAAGTGTATGTGGTTAGTTTACGAGATTTGAAATATTTGTTGATGTAACATTGAACCGTAATGCTCCCTCATAGACTCTTTATTAACTCTGCAACGGAAACACGATCCACGATGTCTCGTACGATATTCCACGAGCTCGCGCGTGCTCGCGACGGCTATTAATGTCAATCGCGAGATTGTGGGATACAGTCGCGTGCATTAAAATGTAAACGTTCACACATTTTTGAAATTATGTAAATTAGAGATATTTAAAAAATGCACCTTGTGCTATTTCAAAAATAAGTAATCACGACACCATTTTAAAAAAGGAACACTTTTATTTCAGAGAAAAATAAACAAACTACAGTCAATGAAAAATATATAGTCCTGGTGTCATACATGTATGTATCTGAATCATTTTCGTAAATATTTATACAATGCATGTTATATATGTATTTATAATTGCATTAAAATGTACACGATTAGGATTGTGATTTTATCATAATTATGTAACCACTTTTAAAACATTGCATCGTTTTCAAAAATATACATACACACTTAGAATAATAACGTATAGAATGATAGTTTCATATCAAACGAACTGTCACAATTGAGGCAAAAATCGAATTCATGTAGGCTAGTTTTAGTAGTAGGTTAATTTTCGGTTTTAGTGAATATTTATATAAAAATACAAGTTGAAACGCGTTACTTCCTTGTGGAATGTGATGTTAAAATCTATTTTATGTTTGTCTGGCGTATTTTTACACTCATTTACCGCACATTTCGTGATTTTTAGCTAAAATTCTGGAGCTGTTCGCGGTGCAAGTTGACCTTGAGCACTGAAGGCCCGCCCGCTCGTGTAGGCCCTTTTGGCGCGCTTCAATTTGCCTCACTTGGCGCGTGCAGGCTAGGTTTCTATGCGTTATTATTCTAAGGCTGTAATATAAGCAGTTTGTTACCTGTTAGAACACATTTCCTGTCTATAACATAAAATACTAACATACTATTAAAATACTCTACGGGCTACTACAGCATATGCTGACGTAAGTCCCGTGTTGGCATGACGTTGCAACGCTGACCATACTAGACTATTCACTATTTTCTTTAACGGGGAGAAATGCTTTATGCATACCGTCGAGCCTTATGTGGAACTGACCCTCCGATGGATACCAACTAAAAACCCCCGGCGGCCACCTTGCCTTTTGTCAAAGTTTCCGCGCTAAAGGGGAGGGTTGGACGCTTGACCCATCCCCCCAAACGGATAAAACCGTGCAATGCGGGCATAGGATCCCCGTCTCTTGTCCGCTGGCCTCACTAAGCAATTCTTCCCCGCCGCCTGCGCCGGAGCGGATTCGCGTCGACTGCGTCTTCGCGTACCCGCTCCGCGGCCGCCTTTAGCAAGGTGACTTCCTCGCCGCTGACTATCTACTATGCATTTTTATGTAAACTGTTTTTAGTATGGTTTTGTGTTGTTACATTGTGCCATAATAAATAATCATTGAAAACCCAAATACAAAGACACGACCCAAGCACATAGAAAAATTCGTGAGGTCCGCTGGTTCCTTCCATGGTTTAGTTGGTATAGCGTCGATTCAAATCCGGTCGGATCGAAGAATTTTTTTCTGAGTGTTCGATCTTTGTGTTAATAATTATAATAAATAATCATTTTTGTTTTCATTATTGCCAGGCCCGTCTGGGCAAGTGCTCTGGACTCTGGACCACGCGATCCAGCCCCTATTTAGTTTCAGATCATCATGTCATTCAACATCAACCCATTTGAGGACCTTCGTGGTGACTTGCACACCGGTGTTCATGGTGTCGCTATCTCTGATTCGATATTCGAAACCACGGCCTCTGGTTGAGAGGCGGTAGGTCAAACCATTGGTCTACCACGGGTTTTTTAATTTCAGGTCACCAACCGATAAATATATTCATTTTCCGAAAATCAAACGATAATTACTGATTATAAATATATTTACTAATTATACTTACTTATCATCTTTTTTAGTAATCTAATGAACAAGGGGCCTTACGGCCAACTCTGTCTATCTATTCTATCTACAATGTGATTCCCCGAAATTATATTTAATTTTTACATATAGTTAATAGCGACGTAACTGAAAAAAGCAAATATAATAAATCTGGAATTAGAAAAATCTACTCTTCATGCTTGCTGCTAATAAAATAGTCCTCTGTCATATAACAGTAATAGGGGCCCCATTTTCCTTAGTTGCCCAAGGCGTCCAAGACGGCCCTGATTATTGTTGTTGTAAGCACCGCATATAACCCAGGGGGTAAAAAATTAAATTAATTGACTTTCGTTTTTCGTGTAAGGGTATTTGAGCACTGTACCCCCGATCCGTCTTCGTTCCGAATCTGAAAATATAATCTGGAAAACTCGGAGTTCAGTTGTTGCTTGTGCATTGTGTCCAATCCGAAACTTTGTGCAGAAATAAACAAAATACCATAAATTGCACATCAATTCATAAATTGATAGTTGAAATCAGTGTACGACCATTTGAATAAAAATTTACAAAGCATAATAGGCGTTGATACTAAACAGGAGCCAAGTTTAAATTAATATAGAAGAAAATGTTTTGTATAACTATATCTATTTGCCAAGTTTTTTCAAAATCGCGTAACATACATACAAAAAAAACAGACACTCGGTTTGAGAACCTCCTCCTTTTTTTGAAGTCGGTTAAAAATACGAATTTAACATCGTTACGTTAGTGTAACATCGCTTAGTAAGAAAAAATCTTGCAAGAAGTCGAGACTTGGTTAGGTCATGGAAAACAAAAGACAGTAAGTTAAAGTGTTTTTTGTTTCTTCAAAAAGTTAAAGCTTCAGCTTTACCAAGGAACATTTTTACGCCTGGTCATTGTTATTTATCCCAAAATTTGAAAATTGCCAAGCGGTTTGATGCTGCCCCGTCAGTCGTCATCAGTAGCTTGTGGACATGGGATCTGTGTCAAATTTTCTCCGCCTGTTCTTATTTTATTCATATTCATTTTTAACCCACACCTCACCTTCTAAAATGTAAGCTCGCGTTGAAATGCCTCGCCTTGATTAATAACCACGAAAGACTGAAAATGTATGCCACTGAAGTTTTCTATTGTTAAATTATACCTGTTACAAAACTGCATAGTTCTATTATTATAAACAGTGCGAAGCTATTTATACAACTTTAGCAACTTCGCGATATTATAGTATGACTAGACCAAAATAAAGTTAATTGTTTCTAAAAGTTTACAATGCATTGAATTTGAACTACGCAATACATTGTTTTAAATTCTCCAATGTTAAACAAAATTGACCGATTATATTATTCTACAGTGACTATTGAACATCTATATAAATCAGGATAAGCGAAAAATTTTTTTTTCATGTAATTACTTGCCATATTTATTATTTACGTCATGTTTATTCCTTATAAAAAAATACGCAAGTTGTTTAACGACTTTTTTGCCGTAGCGCCATCTATGAGAAATCTATATCTTCATTCAGCCAGGTACCTTTACAGCTACCAGCAGCTGACTAGAAATGTCGTTTTAATAATTGTAATTTTTAAGTTTATCGAATGTCATGATATTTGACCACCATGATGTTGAATTGTTTTTATGAAATTTCTCCACTAGTTTGTTATTATTATCCTTAGAATAATAACACATAGAAACCTAGCCCGCACACGCTAAGTGAGGCAAATTGAAGCGCTCCCAAAGGGCCTACACGAGCGGGTGGGCCTTCAGTGTTCAAGGTCAACTTACACCGCGAACAGCTCCAGAATTTTAGCTAAAAATGACGAAATGTGCGGTAAATGATTGTAAAAATACGTCAGACAAACATAAAATAGCTACTAACATCACATTCCACAAGGAAGTAACGCGTTTCAACTTGTATTTTTATATAAATATTCACTAAAACCGAAAATTAACCTACTACTAAAACTAACCTACATGAATTTGATTTTTGCCTCACTTGTGACAGTTCGTTTGATATGAAACTATCATTCTATGCGTTATTATTGTAAGGATCGTATTCTAGAACTCTACTCAATGCTCAAGTCAGAGCTTGAGCAGACTTAAGTATGATTTCAAGCACTGGAAATACGACCCTAATGGCAAGGACTTGAGTATGATTTTCAGTGCTAACTGCAATACTCAAGTCCTGACTTGAGTTTTGAGTAGAGTTCTGGAATACGACGTAAGATTGCAAACATCGAACACTTAGAAAAATTCCTTACGAAATGTTCCGGAACGTTGGTTTGTTTGAAAAATAAATAAATATACGCATTTAGATCCCGAGTGGCCTAAGTAATAGACACGGGATTTTAAGAACTAATTATTTAATGTTTGCATACAATACTTTTTCTACTATATTTATTGTATATTTTGTTAACAATCCTTGACAACAAACTCAAATGGAATCCAAACAAAAGCTACAAAACAAAAAACCAAAGATATAGAATACAAGTGATTTTTTTTTTAATTTATTAAGGTTTTGGCAAAGCCATCAGCCTAAACATAAAGTTTAATTATGCTTCTGTAAATATGGCCGCCACAAAGAGGATAGGCAATTTGAGGCGGCGTGCTTGGATTGACTCGGGATTCCTTAAAACAGGCCGATACGCGTATTCTAGTTCGAGATTCGTTAATTTCGCGTTTTAATCTTCGATTAAGGCACGCTAGCACTATCCTATTTCACTTTAAACTAGATTTCACAAAATAATTGAAAGTCAAAATAAAAACGACACTTTTTCGACTTTTGGCCAATTTAACCAATCAGGAGCCAGCAATTTAGTAGCGTCATATTTGATATTTTCATTAGCAAAAATGCAACTTTTTTTTTAAAGTCTTATACGATTTATTATCCAATCAATTTCTGTGTACAGAACAAATTTTCAGTAAATGAATTTTTCGTTCAGTAGCGAGTGCCATAGACAATATAATTTTGATTCAGAACTAAAAAGGGCGCCTTTGTCATGTAAGGTTTGCGTTTACGAAATTGTAATTGACAGATTAAAGCACATGTGTAGGAAAAAATAGTTTCATGTCCAGATGTGTAACAATCTCGAAAACCCAAGAACCCAATATGAAACTTGTTACGTTTCAATTATGCTTGACTTATTTTTCTTACAGATTCGCGATTGCCGACAATGCATACAGGTCACTAGTATACGAACACAGAGAACAATGCATTTTGATCTCCGGTAAGTTTGTAAGAATTATTTTACCGATGGTGCACACAGGTGATACCTGTTTGAGAGCTTTATCAACCTTTTATATGTTAAATTATTATCATTAATCGCAAGTTTCTTACCACGGTATGAGGTATTTTTATTTTTCCGATATTGACCGTGAAGATGCATTGAAACTATTCAATAACATAACAATAATAAAAACAAAAACGCTTCGTCTTCATATTCGCATGTGGATACAGTGAGTATAGTTTGTCGAAAAAAAGTGAGTGACAATGGTAACGCCCCAAGTAATCGAGATCATGGTGGTCGTTGACAGCGAAAGAAGGTAGATAGATACGTCTGTTCTTAAAGCTGTCATCTGCCACTGGCCAGTCAATCCGCGACCATGGAGAACTTTACGACCAATAATGATTTTTCTTAAAAATGTTTGTACTTTCTAATTACCGTATCCACGGCTACGGTAATTAGATCTAATTACCGTTTCCATAAAGTATTCGTATCTTAATAATACGAAAACTTGTTGTCTATTCTAATGCCATTTAGATATATTGATAATTACCTAAGCTTAAAGTTGTTCATATTTCAATGTTATTGGATACTTTAAGCGAGAAAAAGCAATGGCTACGGTAATTAGGCTGAGAACACCGAATGTGACAATGGCCAGTGACCGATCCGAAAACATAAAAAGAATTCATGCCGTGGTAAGAAACCTGTATTAGTGATAATAATTTACTGAATAACCACGAAAGCCTTAAAGTCTATATTCTAGTGTTGATGATATATAAATTTTAAGCTCAATACACATTGCTGCGGAACAAGATGAAAGCGTGTTTTTGTTTTTTTATAATAATAATATTAATATATAATTTAATATTTTTATAATAATATATATATATATATTATAATAAGTGACGGGACGAAGAAGTCGTGTGGCTGATGGTAAGCGACACGCCTGTCCATAACAGTTGCAGTACCACTCAAAGCTTTAAATCACACAAATTTTTACGGCACTGCAACTGCGCCCATCACCCTGAGACATAAGTTGACAAGTCCCATGTGCCTGTAATTTCACCAGCACCCTTACCCTTCGAAACCGGAACATAGTAATGCTCACATTATTGCGTGGCAGCAGAAATAGGTAGGTAAGTAGGTAAGGAGCTCTACTACTGATAAAAACCATAGCATATAAATTTTACCTACGTCAATTAAGTAACATAGATACGAACCAAAAGACAGGCCTCGTGTCTTCCGAAGAATTCTCGCGCAGTTTTGAGAATTCCCGCTGCTACCGTATCTAGTTTATACATTACACAATTGACCATAAAGATCATAATGCTTTGTACAATTTCGTTAAAAAAATTCGCTTCTATGATGTTCCGAGGCAATTGTAAGTAGACAGACTTTTCTTTGCTCTTCCTTCCATTTTAAATTATAACACCTTTACAAAAAATCCCAGGTGAATCCGGTTCAGGCAAAACAGAAGCATCAAAGAAAGTTCTGGAATACATAGCGGCACGAACAAACCATCTCCGCAATGTCGAAAGGGTTAAAGACAAACTGCTACAGAGCAATCCACTTCTGGAAGCATTCGGCAATGCTAAAACTCACAGAAACGACAACTCGAGTCGGTTCGGCAAATATATGGACATACAGTTTAACTACGAAGGAGCTCCAGAAGGTGGTCATATCCTGAACTACTTGCTAGAGAAGTCCAGAGTTGTCAGTCAGATGTCTGGAGAGAGAAACTTCCATATCTTCTATCAGCTATTGTCTGGTGGAGATAATGAACTATTGGCGTATCTGAAGCTGCAAGGAAGGCCGGAAGCCTACAAGTATACTACGGATTCGGTGAGATTTTGTAACTTGAATTTTTGTATTAGTGGCTTGGTTTTTCTAATTGATGACCGCTGCATGAAGCTCAGCCCGTTCACGTTAAAAACCTTGGTGTAATAAGGCCATTTAATTTAATTTATTTATTTATTTGCAATCTTTACAGATTTTTAAATCCGATTTCTATTCTTAAATCACAAACTTGCTTAGCCATTTACAATGTTTTTCATTTAAACAATTCATTTAAACCATTGACTTACAATTATATGGACGTCGGGTCCGCGCTAAAAAGTGTCCGAACTTACAGGGCGTTAAAATCGTATACAGAGCGTCATTCACGCTTTAGTCTTCGTTTGTTCGACTGACAGCGAAGCAAGCAAAATTAGAACGTACTGCGATGACATTACAATTTAAATTCAACGTTTTAGCTTTTTCATATTCCTTTACATGTCACTACGTTTAAGTCAATGATTTAAACTTACATTAAATTTCTAATAAATTAAGTCGAAGTGAAGTTACGGTAAATAATTTTAGTAATACAATGAAACTAACAAAATTACAATAAATAACTATAACATACCTAACAAAGTATATTTGCAAGGATAGTATGCATGTGTGTGTGTGTGAATGTATGCTCTGCTTAATTATTATTATTGTCATTAAATTGAGGGTGTTTCTTCAAATGTTTTGATAGTACGTTCTAAAATTTACTTGTAAAATGAAACCTTTTGCTGTTGTGCTTGTGTTGTTGCGGAATTAGAGTAATAAATCACAACAATTCGTCAATTCTTGAGATGACAACAGCAAAAGTTTCTATTTTACAGGTAAATTTTAGAACAAACTATCAAAACAACGAAAAACTTTAAGTGTCACTTTCGAAAAACTATGATCAATAAGTAATAGCTTATTAGCATCCATTTATGATGTTAGTAATATAGTGTGTAGTTACAAAAAAAATGTTAACACGTTCAAAGCGGCGTGTACCACCGCTGGAGCACGGAAAGGTGGTCCATCAGGCGTAGTGTACCACCGGTGGTAACACAACACAACACTTGACTTTTGTTATACTAAGAAACCCATACCGCCTTGAGAGAAAGTGCTAACGGTCCCACCCTGTGCTCAAATATATTCAAATTTTCAAACTGTAGCTCAAGAGTTTGATATTGTGTAAAAGAGTAAAAAAATCAAGGTTACAAAAAGTATTTATTTGAAAAAATAACTAGATATGTACATAATAGAAAATCGAACATAAACTGAAGGAGAAGGACAGTATAGTTAGCTATTTGATTATTTTGTATGTTTTTGTAATTTATACAATATACATTTGGATTGATTGACGATTGAAGCTCTGTGTGCGATTTAATGCCCAATGTTTTCGGACATTTTTAGCGCGGACCTGACGTCCATTTATTGGTAGGTCAAAGACTTAAGATAATAGGTGAATTAGAAAGAGACAAAGTATAATTTCGCCGTGTCCACCGGTGGCGGCTCCGTCCTGACATAATTTATGATTTATGGGACGGTGAAATACCACCGGTGGTCATGTGTGTGTGAATCTTTCCCACCAGACAGCAAATAATGTAATTTTGTTCCCGGGTTGAACGTGTTAAATAAATTTCATGCACGCAGGAATTTCAAAACAATTAGAATAGACAATAATAATACATTTTAGCAAATCAACGACAACAAAGCGATAACCCGATTGGCGCTTCCTTTAATTTGGCAACGCCGACGCATTTTTGGGACTTGATAATGTTGCCCGACCTAAATAGGTCGTTTGAAGTTTATTAAATTTTTTTCTCAAACACGAAATAAATACGTTAGGTAGATGTGTATCAATTAAGTCAACACGGTTAAGGTGTCTACAGATCTGTCCGATTTTTGACGGTCGTTACTATCACTTCTTAGCGATGAATAAATTAATTGCCTCCCGTCACATAGAATTATAAAAATAAAAAAAAAGATTTGCTCTAATCGATGTTTTTAATCGACTTCGAAAAGCGGTGGAGATTCTTTCTGCGGCAGTAGATCCCCTGGTATGGACAGGCGTGTCGATTACCACAAGGCTGAAAAGAAAGTGTTTTAAATATTGTAGATTCCTATCTACGTTTGTTTCATGAAGATATTATTTTTGAAAGTGGCAATGCTAACAACAGTACTGCCCCATCTGGGAATCGAACCAATCTAAATTGGTCGAACCGTTTCCATGCTGGACTGCCACGCACAGGTCCTGGGTTAGAGGCCGGTAGAAATATTTGAATAGGTTATATTTATAGGAAATGAAACTATTTTTCCGAAAATATTTTTGGGCCCGAAACGTCGGTTTGTTTGAAAAACAAATATACGCGATTTAGGTAAATCCGGAAAAATAGTTTCATTTCCTATGTGTAACAATCGCGAAAACCTAAGAACTCGATAGCTTATATTTATTTCTTTAGTGAGTTTGGATGTAATTTATAGTTGTCTATCTGTGTACTGTCCAATGCATCCGCGAAACAGGGTTTCCCTAGAGTATGGCTATAAGTGAGTGCGTCAAAAATCAAAGTTAAAATCGAACAAATTTGTATTTGCTTCTATATCATAAGCCCATTTACACGTCCCATTATTTTACAGATTTATATTTATTTAGATTTCGCACGTAAATTCCGAAAAACTCGATTAAAGTAAGTCTTCTATACTAATTGAAATTCCACAGTGTGATTTTAAAAAAATACGTTTTCGATCGTCTGTTGCTAATACATTTAATCGATTATGTCTGAGCCCACGTCGTGTCGAACGTCAAACTAATTGATCAAATTTGTAAGCATCTTTAGATAAAATTTGGTAAATAGCTAAATTACTTTCTAGATTATTGCATATGATGTACTTTTTATCATACACGAAAAGAATGTAGCAAAGTACAAGAGCATGCTCTAACACGAATTATAAATTATATACGAATTGTAAAATATGTCGATATAAGCTACTATAACTTAAGTAGAGTAAAAAGCTATTCAATCAAGAGGGGTACCCTAGTTTAAGCTCCTGGCTCTCACAATATAAATTTTGTTAACTTTGTGCCTTAAGTTTGTATTTATTTGCTGTGAGAGAAAATAAATTATTATTATTATTATTAGCTTGCCACTTTTTAGATACTTAGTCCAAATTTTCTCGCAGGTGAGCCAAGTAAGCCAAAAAATAACCGACGCTGAGCAATTCCGCACCGTCCGCGAGGCGATGAAGGTCATAGAGATCGGTGAAGATGAACAAAGAGAAATCTTCGCCATAGTGGCCAGCGTGCTCCATCTCGGCAACATCAAGTTTGTACAGAACGACAAAGGATTCGCTGAGATATTGTCGCATGATGCTAACTGCAATAATGTTGCTGAGGTGAGTATAAATAATGACACTGTAGACTAGGCAGTATGATTTGTATTGGAACTGGCTGAATGAATGTAGGTTTGTATTTAGAATTATATAAAAAAATAGGATTGTAAAAAAAGAATATCTTGGTTGTTCTAGAAGAAGCTTCGATCTGAATACATGTAGTAAAGTTTTATTTATGATTATTTTCCTCGTTTCTCATTGAAATGTGCCTCTCGCTAAGCTAACCCACGGCTACGACCCTTACAATACACACTAGTGTAAATAAATTCTCAAATACGAAAACAAAAAAAAATTAATATGAATATGAAGAAATAGATTTCTCACAGATGGCGCTAAGGCAAAAAAGGCGTTTTTTTTATTAAAAATAAATATTAGACAATATCACATACGTTGCTATGATCCCAAAGTAAGTAACTAACTTGTGTTATGGTATTCGGAAACAACGATAGTACCACAAATACCTAGACCCGAGACAATATAGAAAAGTTAGTTTTCTACAATAGGCCGTACTAAAGTTGTCGAAGTCGAAGTCGTTAAAAACCAAAAACAATGATCTGCAAAACAAGCACATAGAAAAAATCATAAGGTCCGCTGATAAGTTCCGTGGCATAGTTGCCATAGCATCTAGCATGGTTTGCCAGAAGATGCTGGTTCAAATCCAACCGGATCGAAAGATCTTTATATTAATAATAATAACAAAAATACATTTATTGTTATTATTCTACTTCCTAGGTATGTAGCTAACATACCTAGGAAGCTTACTTTTAGTTCTAACAGGGACCAAGAACACAAGAGGACTGCTAATTGAGATACAAGACCGCGTAGTCGGGTATTTAGTACCTTTTGGTACACCAGATGTCGCAACGTGTACCAAATGGCTATTTTTTTACTAATTTGTTTTACATTGCCAAGCTCCCGTTTATCAAAGCTACTCTAATTTCTAGTGATAACAAACAAATCAACTAGATGGCGCTTATTGCACAGATTTTTATGGATAGTACCGGCTATTTTTTTATTTTGTTTAGGATCAGCGCCATCTACCCATATTAGGAAGCGTTACTTTATAAATTACTTTGTCACACACAATGTCATCTGGGCACGCATGTCAGTCAAAGTTCAGAAAATAATTTTAACTCATAATCAATATTGGAATAGTATTACTACTATGAAAATAACCTGACTTATATTTCACGCCCGTTTAAATTATATAAACTGCTTCTAGGCTATCGATCAGAGCTATCTAGATTTAAAACGGAATTTTGACCTTTTTTAGAGTTACTATTTGTATAGTAGTTGTAATAAGAACTAAAAGTAAGCTTCCTTTAATAAGAAATATCACATTTTTTTCTCACTCTCTGTAAACATATTACAAATTACTCATAATTATCTCAATACTACATCACAATCGTTATGATACAATCTACGCAATACTATGATGCCTACGCTTACCGAAAATCATTGTTTGCCATATTATAGCATGGCGTATCACAAGGCGGGCAACTAGGGCCATTGTTGTACACTGTTTATGTAAATATGAACATAGTTTCGTCTACCATTGTTGTGTTCTGCCAAATCATTGACGTAATGTTCATTATGGTTGTTATTATCACATTCACTCGTATTTGTTCAGTGATAATGAACATATTTATTATTTATATAGCGTGTGGAACTGACCGATATCACAATAAATTTAAGAAGTATTTGTGACATTGGGCTTAATGTAAAGTTTTAAATTATAGAACTGCATCTCCCGCAACAATATTTTACAGTCGTGTGCATGGAAAAGCCAGCAAATCAAATTTCGTAAAAAGCCGTTAAAAATCAAAACCAAGATGTTCCACATACACATAAAAAAAATTATAAGGTCCGCTGATTTGTTCCGTGGCTTAGTTGATATAGCATCTGACACGATTTGCTAGAAGTCGCTGATTCGAATCCAGCCATTTGTATTAATAATTATAACAAACTAGTGGAGTAGTAGTTTGACAAAAAAATAATTGAATATCGTTTTGTGTATACAAATGTAAGTGCGCATTTGATCTCCATCTTACCTGACGATGAGGTCGACGATGGACCATGCACACCTAAATAATGCCTATTCACTCTCGCCTTGAAAAGGTTCAAGTTATAACGTTCAGGGAACAAGTCTGCAGGCAGGGAATTCCACTCCGTAGCCGTTCGCCATATAAATGCGCAATCTTTGGAATATACACAACATAGGGGTGGAATCCAAGCCTCCATCTAGTACTCCGATGATGGAAAGGGGAAGGTGGAATTAAATCGTGTAATTCCATCGCATACTCTCAGTGATATATCGTGTAAAATACCGATGAGCAGGCAATGTAAATTCTTTAATATAAAACAGTCATTCAAAATGTTTTCAGACTTAAGTCATTTCCTATATTAACTTGTAGTATTGACGCATGTTTAAATTTAGAAATTATTTTATGAGTTAAGTTTACCTACTTATGTACAATTATTTCCTTATGTGATTTATGGTATGCGTAATGTAAGTACGAGAACTATGTACATATTTTTCATAAAAGAAATAGCAATTTAGATCATGATCCCATTTGATCTTGATTGAATAAAATATATACTATTGAACAGAACGTTAGACTTCAGTCAGCGGTGACTATAGACCTGTAAAAAGGCCGAAGCGTTGGTTTGCTTGAAAACAGAAATATACGCTATTTAGATTCGAAAAAAAATTGTTTCATTTGTAATATTTAACTTTGAATTTCATTTAATGTCATAATGTTTTACTACAATGATATTTAATTATTTTTTGTGAAATTACTCCACTATAGTCGTCACAAAATAATAGATCATATTTGACAGCTAAACCAGTCGATAGTATGTAACTTTGAATGCAATCAACGAAACAGTAAATAAGCAATTAATAACTTATTGGGTTTTAAAAAAATACATAAATTTTATTGAAGGTCTATACGTTATGAAAGAAACATATTTCAAGTATTATTTTCGCAGGAATTCCAAAATAAAATCCAATTTTGAGTTACTCCGAAACGTCTTATAAACAGTTACATCTTCAGTCTAATTCTTTTTAATAATAGTGTTGTAACCAATAAGCGCCGACTATCATCGAGTCAAATCGGTTTCACTTTAAAAAAAATGACTTATTTAATTACTAAAGTCGTCACAAAATAATAGATCATATTTGACAGCTAAACCAGTCGATAGTATGTAACGTTGAATGCAATCAACGAAACAGTAAATAAGCAATTAATAACTTATTGGGTTTTAAAAAAATACATAAATTTTATTGAAGGTCTATACATTATGAAAGAAACATATTTCAAGTATTATTTTCGCAGGAATTCCAAAATAAAATCCAATTTTGGGTTACTCCGAAACGTCTTATAAACAGTTACATCTTCAGTCTACAAAGAAATAATTCTTTTTAATAATAATGTTGTAACCAATACGCGCCGACTATCATCGAGTCAAATCGGTTTCACTTAAAAAAATGACTTATTTAATTACAAAAACAAAAATTTTAAAGTGCTTACAAAATTAGACTGAGTATACTAGTATTTATAGTAGACAGAACCGTAAAGTCAGATTTGTATTTCCTTTTCTTTATCGCAAATTCTGAAACGGCAACACTGATGTCGATTTAGCGTCACTCTGCATCGGCGCCCGCGCAGTCTTTCGCCGTCTTGGAAGTTGACTGTACGCTTGGTTATTCGTGGTGTTTTTTCTTGTGACTAAAATTTTTAATCGATTTCTCGTGAGAATCGTTTAAACTGGTTACCGATATTGCAGTTCACATCACTATTTACGTTGCGATGACATGTGTCAAATATGATCTATTATTTTGTGACGACTATAGTTTGTTATAATTATTAATATCTACGAGAAGTAAGAAAAATTCCTTCGATCTGGCTGAATTCGAACCAGCGCCTTCCGCATACTGTGCCCGATTCTCTCCCAACTGAGCTACGGAACGAACCAGCAGACCTTATTTTTGTACGTGCTTGTTGCACATTTTTGTTTTTTGTTTTTAACTACTTTTTTGCCGAAGCGCCATCTATGCGAAATATATAAATAGTTTAATTTCCAGATTGTTACACTTTTATATCTTTCTGATAAATCTAACGTACTCTCATCGCGTTTAAGTGAAAAGAATATTTCGTTCAAGATAAACATAACAAGAATCGTTTTTTCGAAAATCTGAAGTTACGGTTTCAAAACCACAAACGCAGAGCTGCAATTCATCACCTGAAACTTTAGTGTCTTGTTTACCTAAATTCATGGTCTTGCTACTGCTCTGTACGCTTGTATTTCTTGCGCAATCCAAATACTACAGGTAGGGTAGCTTCTCATTTCGTCAATGAATAATACAACCAAGACACCCTTTCAACAGCTTCTCCAAGTGGACCCAACAAAACTCTGCGAAGCATTAACGAGCAGAACAATCGAAGCTCGTGGTGACGTCGTGAATACCCCCTTAGATCAGGAGCAAGCCCGGTACGCTCGTGATGCTCTGGCCAAAGCCATCTATGATCGTCACTTCAGCTGGCTGGTCTCCAGATTGAACACTTCACTGGACCCGAAAGAAAAGGACCCGAGAGCGTCTGTCATGGGTATTTTGGACATTTATGGATTTGAAATCTTCCCCAAAAACAGGTATGTGAGATTTCTTTTTTCATATGTATTCTTGTACATATTTTACACGTAAACTTTCGTATACGAGTTCAAACAACATTTTATTTATAACGTTGCGTGTATCTTTTTTACCACCTTAAGTTGTAAACAATGTCTATCTATACTTTTGCTATTTCCCCAACAGCTTCGAGCAGTTCTGCATCAACTTTTGCAACGAAAAACTGCAGCAGTTGTTCATCCAGCTGACGCTCAAGTCAGAGCAGGAGGAATACCTGCGCGAAGGCATCGAATGGGAGCCCGTTGAGTACTTCAATAACATCATAATTTGCGATCTTGTTGAAGCCAAGCATAGGGGTAATTATAGTCCAAAATCTTAACTGTGTTCGGTGGATCACTCATAAATTTATACAATTGCCTATACTTAGGTGTGGTGTACTTTAAGAAATTTCTTTGAGGGCGATAGATGCCAATAATATAAAGTTTAAAAATATCCAACCATTTGCTATCCACCATCTTGATATTTTTGACACAGACGTAGAACTTTTGAATTTCTATGTCAGCCATCTTGTTTATTTGAACATGAAATAACGTGTAAGATTATTTTTTTGTTTAAAACAAAACAAAAAAATAATGTTTATGGTTTGTACTAACTATATTCGCTGACAGAATGCTTTTCCACATAGCCTTCACTATAAATGCTTATGGTTATCAATTTATACCTAGACTTCGCTTGAAATAAGACATAATAACATGTAATTCAGGTTCGACCAAATAGTTAGTTAATAGTAGTCCATTCTTCGAATATCCACTACCGAGTCCATAAAATAAGCCACATTCACACCCATCAGGCATAATATCTGTCCTGGACGACGAATGCTTAAGGCCAGGCGAAGCGACAGACGCGAGTTTCTTGGAGAAGTTAAACCAGCAGCTGGGCGGCCACCCGCACTACAAGTCGCATCGGAAAGTTGATTCCAGAACACAGAAGTTAATGGGTCGTGATGTGAGTATAGATATTAGTTACAACGGAATTATTTGAGCAAGTCGCAGAGAGCGGCGCACATTGTTCGTTGAACAGAACGCTAAAGAAGATAAGTTTGTGGATCGATGACCTTGTGAAGGTTACTGGAATCCGATAGCTTGACAAGCAGTTATCAAAAAAAATACAAATTCCTACAACCTAAAAATATGTGTGTTGCAATCAACGATATCTATGTACAGTCAACAGAACATCAAGCTATACACTTGTTCGAATATCGCCTCCAGTACAACGGAATGTGTAGCTTGATGTGCTGCCATCTGTAGGACCGTTGGAATCAACGATATCTATCTAGTAGATTGACATCTTTGCTTGAAATGTACACTGGCGCCACTTAGTATTCGCGTGTTTTACTTTATAGGGAATCACCACGCTTATCGACATGAATTATCACTTAGCTGGTCAGAAAAATCCTATATCCATGTAATAAGAGTGAAAACAACGTTGTGCGTTTAAGGCGCGAGGTCTTTTTCGTTCTTAATGCATACATATAGGTTTTTCTGAGCGGCTCAAGGCGATTCTGTGCTTATAAATGTATTCAGTTCCACAGACAGCGATGTGCCTAAAGTTAGAGATTGTATTCCGTAACGAAAGATGGCCGTGCTCAAATTAGTTCTCAAGGTCAAAGCGAATCACGAAATACACCTTTTAAAAACAAATCCACCAAATTGGCCTATAATCGATATTTTAGTAGCAGTAGAACTCCTTGCGAAAGAGTTCGTCCAGGGAAATACTGATACCTTACCTATTCTGCTGCCAAGCAATAATTTCAGCATTACTGTGTTCCGGTTTTGAAGGGTAAGGGTACTGGCGAAATTACAGGCACATGAGACTTGTCAACTTATGTCTACCGGAGACGGCTCAGAGGCAGTACCCCTCAGATCACTGTGCACAGGCGTGTCGCTTTCCACCAGGCGCTCTTGTTTGTGCCGTCACTTGATATCATAAAAAAACCTAGACGCTTCATAAAGAATTCACATTATAACCTACTCTGATGTGTGTTGTAGCGTATTGTTAACACTATATTACATATTATAACACTTCCGGGATGCGAATGAGATATAGGAGTGGCCGAACCCAGACCAGCATAAATAAATCACGTAAACGGTGTCATAATTACTTTTTATGGTTAAAAATCGATCAATTCTAAAACTGAAAAAACTTTACATTTTACATAAATTTGCTTTACAATAGATAAGTCATAATTTGGCGCTCTAGTTATTTTTATCAAAAATAGTATATCAGCAAGATATCACTTATCGGCTCGAAATGATAACATGAAATGTTTTTAAATACCAAGACTTGACATTTGCACTATTATGATTATCATTAGGTATCCCACACGTAACAGGATAAATTAGATATGATTAGATAATATTCCTTACCCAGGTACAAGCAAGCTATCTACTAGTTGAGCTAAAATCAAACCCGTCTGAACAGTGGATAGGTTCTTTCCCTGTCACCAAGAATGACGGCGACAAAAAATGCTTACGTACTAAAAAGTTTAAGACAAGAGCGAAACCTCTTCTTACGAGGGTCAATCAACTTTTTTACCTCTATCTATCCGATCGTGTTCGGCTATGGTGATCACTTCAACTCATAGTTAGGTTGGCGCTGATATGCTTGAAGATGACTAATGTAGCAAATCTTCACTGCAAAGAGACAGGGTAGGAACAGAGTCTGGGTTAGCACATCCAGTGGATAGGTGCCTGGTACCTGGGCAAGGAATATTGTCTGACGTAATCATGGAACTGTCTCAAGCCTCGATTGCTTTCACAAACAGCTGTCGCTAAAACTTACACATTTCATAATTTGAAACACTATGAAATCTTGACAATGATTAGTCGCAGTGTCAAATTTAAAAAGAAATAACAAATTCTAGACTAATTAAACTTTTATTGAATTGATATTCAATTATTTTTTGTGAAATTACTCCACTAGTTTGTTATAATTATACGACTAAAAAGTCGTTGAAAGACCAAGTACAAAGACACGACGCAAGCACATAGAAAAATTCGTGAGGTCCGTTGTTTCGTTCCGTTGCTTAGTTGGTATAGCGTCTGGCACGGTATGCAAGAAGACGTCGGGTCGTATCCGACCGGATCGAAGGAATTTTTTCTGAGTGTTTTTTCTGAGAGTTCGATCTTTGTATTAATAATTATAACAAATTCTAGACTGTTAATATAATTTAAAGTTTACCCTGTTGGCATATCGTTGAAAGTTCATTACCACCAATATCTATTACTGCAAGTTGCGACGTTTCTATTTTATATTAAAATTTCAATCAATGTGCTGCCATCTAGCGTTTAATAGCTAAACGACGACGAATTCGAGATGTTTACTTAGTTGTCCGAAAAAGAAGCCACCATATAGCAGCGGCATAAGGTTTGCTTTCATTTCTTGTAACAAGAAACTGATTACGGTTAAACATTAAATTAAATAAGACTTCATGATGAATAATATAAATACCACCATAGATAATATTACAAGTGCGAGTATCATTTTTGCACTCCAAAGTGGCGAAATAAGACATTTTTCTAAGGCGAGATAATTGAAACGACCATAACGTACGAAACGTAAATGGCTGACTGGGCTTAATTTTGCGGAACTCCACAAACTGTTGGCAAAAAAATACGCAAACTAAGCACTTCTACTGTATTTATTGTTCTGTGGACACAATGTCCAACGTTGCTGATAGTATCTTTCTCTGTGCCATCCAGGAGTTCTGCATAGTCCACTACGCCGGGGAGGTGACGTATAGCGTGAACACTTTCCTGGAGAAGAACAATGACCTGCTATTCAGAGACCTGCAGACCCTCATGTCCAGCAGCGGCAACTCTACCGTTGCCAAATGCTTCCAGGTAATATATCTTTAGAAAATAACGGTCAAACGGTTAAGTCAGTTCTAGCCCAAACAGTGTGTCATGTTTTCTTACCAGAAGTCACATGATTTTTAGAAGCTCGATTAATAAAATGTAACAATAGCTATAAATATTTTTCCTTTATAAGGACTTGAAACTACACAGCAAGAAACGTCCTGAAACTGCCATCACCCAGTTCAAGAACTCGTTGAACGAGCTTATCAAGATACTTAGCAGCAAGGAGCCTTCATACATCAGATGCATCAAACCTAATGACTTCAAGACGCCCAGTAAGTACTACATCTGTATAATTATTATATCTTCAATCTCTTATTCGGTAATTTTAAATGTAAATTCGGCCATAAAGTGGATGAGACACCTCTGCACCGGCCAAACTAAGCCAATGTTGCCCTGTAATAGGCATACGATATTTACTCCTGGGAAAATTCTAAATTGCGTAATTCTTTTGATTTTGGATACAAGTAATTAATTAATAGTGCTCACAATAAATCAACTCCTGATCGGAATGATGAAGGAATAGACGAGTCTAATAACGATAAGAATAATCTCTCGAAAATTGAGACAGTACATTAAGAATCGTATCAGAAAGCAAATCTAGATTAAAAATCGTAGATTCCTAACCAAAGACCAAAGCAAAAGAAAAGAAAAATTATTGAATTGCTAATCATTTGAGGAATCCAAAAATATCAAAATCAAGACTAAAAAACGAATAAGTATAAATAGATATATTTTAGAGGCCTAGAGACGTCGACATAGTCAAACCACATCGCCCATTTCTATCCTTAGTGTTGCAAACTTGGGTCTATTTCTTTTAACAGTTTTATAACATCCTTAATATTCTTCTTATTGTCATCGTCTTTCCTCCTCGAAAGGCATGATACAAAACACTTTTACCTGTTTCTATGTCAATATTAATGAACGTCTTACAAGTTTGAATTGTGAGACTTTGAATTGTTTGAATTTGAACTGAGCATAGTATACCTAATGTATCAATTTTATTTGGTCAAAATAAAACACTCGCTAAAGATCACATTCGTTGTCATCTCCTATGGATAATTGAGATCACTCAATTATACAAAAACGTAATCGCGGTGTCGCGCGCGCAATCAGAATAAAAACGAACGACATGGTGGTATTTTTCAGTGCAATTCGACGACAAACTGGTCTCCCACCAGGTAAAATACCTGGGTTTGATGGAAAATCTGCGAGTACGACGAGCCGGCTTCGCTTACAGACGTACTTATGAAGTCTTCCTCGAAAGGTAAATTCAAGACCCGTGTTGGGCGCCAAAAATTAAAAAAAAATTGTCACTAGTTTTTATAAATTTTGGTAGTCATATTTACGTCAATGCCAACATCTAAAAGAATATAACCCAAATAGCTTTTACTCCACTCTTATTATTTCTATACTTAAGTAATATGTAAATTTAGGTACAAATGCCTGAGCGCAGAAACATGGCCAAACTTTAGAGGACACCCGCGAGACGGAGTCCTGAAGGTGGTGACAGCCCTCAAGTATGAAAAAGAAGAATACAGAATGGGCAAGTAAGTGTAGATAGGAATTCAAAATATTCATTCGATCACTGACTGAAACTGCCTCCGTGACCGAACGGTTACCATGCTGAACTGCCACGCAAATGTCTCGGGTTCATGTCCGGGGCCGGGAGAAATGTTTGATTGATGATCTACATTTATTGCTCTCGACTTTAATGTCAAATACATAATTATGATATCCGCGCGTGAGTTTGATGTAATTTGTGGGTGTCTCTGTGTGTGTCCATGGCACCCGCGTTACAGGGCTAATGTGGGGCTATGAGTGTATGCGTTATTATTATTACTGAATAAATAACACTACACATACCTCCTTATTATATATTAGTTAGATTATTTAACTTTTACCTTAAACCGACTCTTCGAAATTTACAGTACTAAGATCTTCATCCGCTTCCCGAAAACGTTATTCGAAACAGAAGATGCATTCCAATTAAAGAGGAACGACGTTGCAACCATAATCCAGAGCAGATGGAGGGGTTACTGGCAGAGGAAGAAGTACCTCCGAATGAAGGAGGCTGCCGTAGTCATCCAGAAGTGGGTTAGGAGGTATCTTGCCCAGAAGCTGAAGGAGCGCAGGAAAAATGCTGCTCAAGTTATTCGTTCGTTCATTAAAGGTACTCACTGAAGGCACTTAGATATTTAGTATCAGACGTGCAAAATTCCTTATGTAGTTATTAAAATTCTAGATTCACTCAGAAAAAATTCCTTCGATCCGGCCGGATTCGAAGCGACGTCTTCTAGCATACCGTGCCAGACGCTATACCAACTAAGCCACGAACGAACCAGCGGACCTCACGAATTTTTCTATGTGGTTGCGTCGTATCTTTGTATTTAGTTTTTTAACGAAGTTTTAGCCGTAGCGCCATCTATGAGAAATCTATAATATTTCGTCACCCAGTTAGACACCTTTACAGCTACCAGTCACGGCTCGAGATGTCGCTATTCATAGTATTTCAATTTTTATTGAATTGATATTCAATTTTTTTTTGTTAATTTGTATAGTTTCCAGTTTAGCGTATTTTTTCTGAGTGTTCGATCTTTATATTAATAATTATAACAAACTAGTGGAGTAATTTTACATAAAAAATAATTCAATAAAAATTTAAATTCATAAATTTAATTAAATTTTTATTGAATTGATATTCAATTATTTTTTGTGAAATTGCTCCACTAGTTTGTTATAATTATTAATACAAAGATCGAACACTCAGAAAAAGTTCCTTCGATCCGGTCGGTCGGTTCGAATCCGGCCGGATCGAAGGAATTTTTTCTGAGTGTTCGATCTTTGTATTAATATTCATAAATTTAGTTTTAAGATAAACGAACTATTTTCTTTTGATGTACCTATTTATTTAATACGTTCATTTGAATCCCAAAGCAGATATAGTTATTTGTTATGCAAGGCTGCAAGGTTGTTTTTTGTATTGAAACCTAAGCAAGCGAAGGAAGCTGAGATTAAGCTAAAAGAAGCTAAGATAACTGCCTTCGTGGCTGAATGTTGACCACCCTGGACTGCCACGCACGAGGTCCCGGGTTCGATTCCCGGGCCAGGAGACTCAGCAAATACTGCGGCGGAGCTACAGCGCTGGTTTTTAGTGGACCCTAATCGAAATGGCCGATTTAAAAATGAAAATTACAAATAAAATTAAAAAGAAAATAAAAAGTTGTGGACGCGCGTTAAAATAGGCACAACATATAAATAACTCCTCAAATAACTGAATCAGATCAGAAATATAAAATTGTCAAAAAGAAAAAAATTGTGAACGGAAAAGAGTTTTGTGTCATCATGTTTTTTTCATCGAAAGAAAAAGTTAGGTGCACCCATCGAGTATATAACCAGAAATAGAGACGAAATGTCATTTAATTTGTTTGAAGACTATTCTGCCAAATCATTACTGTGACAACTGCGCTCCGATTAGCTAGCCCAAGTTCGAAACAAGTGACGGGTGTCGTCAATGGGTGTCGTCAACTTTTTCACTTCAAATCGACCAGTTAACTTGAGCTTGCTATAATGGACGAAAATTGCAAAATTACATATTTAATATTTAATTACCGATGAAATGTGATTACGTTTGTTTTGTAATTAGATATTTTGCTGTTTTTCCCACACTACCGAATAGAATAGCACGGCATTGTTAGAGATATTATCTTTATTACAATAAATACATAATATTTTTTGGAATATACGGAGACGTACACACAGGTCAGTAGTTGGACTGTCTATATTTCAATGCAAACGGGAGTTGATATTTATAAGAGCTGTATCGCTAATGTGTTACCACGAATATATGGCCCTTATTTCGTCTCTATTTCTGGTTATATATTCAATGGGTGCACCACAGTCCATCGTCAAGTTCGGTTTTCAAAAACCTTTTTCACGCTAGCGTGCAAAAAACGATTTTGCGCGCAGATTTCTAATGAGAAAGAAAGCCTTTTCGAGCTAGTAAGGTGAAAAAGATATTTCTAAATACAGAAGAGACTGTATTGTGTTTCTTAGCGTCCTTTTTGGTAATAAATTCAGGCGTGATGATTTTAACGAACATCGAAGACTTACACGTAATCTCTCAAATTAGGTTTCATCACCCGCAACGGTCCAGAAACACCTGAGAACCGTCGCTTCCTCGGCATTGCGAAGGTGCACTGGCTGAAACGACTGTCTACCCGACTTCCCAAGAAAGTACTCGACCTTTCCTGGCCGCCATGTCCCGCCACCTGTCAGGAAGCATCAAAGGAGCTGCACAGGTTGTACAGAGCTCACCTATCAAGAAAGTACAGACTTGCTCTGAGCCCAGTTAATAAGAAGCAATTTGAATTGAAAGTGTTGGCTGAAAAAATTTTTAAGGGTAAGTCAGGTTATATTTACAAGTTCTGTAATGATATACAGGGTGTAACCGATAAGTGTGCCCAGGTGATTATTCCATAAATATAAGAGATATCAAGACGTTATAAACTGATATAGAACACAGGTACACGTTTACTTAATCTAGGCATCGCAATGTGTAATTACATTAGCTTCTATTATTAAAATGTAACTTTACTGTGAAGAATTATATTTATTATATTTATATTAAGTATAATTTATACTATAATGGCTTTATTTACATTTATTTTACTTGTATTGTATTATATTAAGTTATATTGAAGTAAATTTATCTTTATCTTTAGAAAATATGTATGAAAAACCTTTTATGAAATTTGACCAACTTCTGTTATACCGATTTTTTTAAACTAATTCGGTCTGCAATAAAAAAAATATATTGCTGATTTGTTGAAACTACAGGCACATGGGACTTGTCAATTTATGTCTCAGGGTGACAGGCGCAGTGGTAGTGCCCTTCAGATCTTTGTAATTTAAAGCTCTGGGGGCACTGTAACTGTTATATACAGGCGTGTAGCTTAACATCAGGTGCACGACTTGTTCGTCCCGCCACTTGATATTATAAAAAAAAATATGTTAGCTGTATTCATTTTTATGGACAACTCTTACTTGAACATATAATTGACTATGGCTTTATATTTTTATTCAATTATATGACAGTTTCATTACTTTATTCATAGCAGTTTTGTTATCTGTGAACTTATTGTTATCTCTTAAAGTAGGTCAACTAAAGCCTCCCTACGAATGTCATATTAAATGTATGGGAGTTTTTAACGTTATAATTTTGGATATTTCTAGTTTTATTTAAAAAAAGTTATTGATGTCGATTTACTTATTAGGTTTTCGTCGATTTACTCATTACTTTCGATATGAGTTTAAAACTTTTTGATATCGCTTATACTTATGAAATAATCACCTGGGCACACTTAACGATTACACCCTGTATTGTTTACAGCTGTCGCAACCGCCTTTGATGAGTTTAATACCAATTTAATACCTCCTATAAATAAAATTAGCAAAATTCTGCATTACAATATTATACTTGATCCAAGGGATATGTTTGCTGTCGACCAACCTTGAAATACATGAGAACTATATTTGCATTTGGGGGTCAGCTTAATCGTATGGAAATATTTTGAATGCAGGCAAGAAGACCAGTTACCCCGCCAGCGTAAGGGAACGCTTTATCACCGAAAGACTTGCAAAAGAACTTCATGTCCTCAGGAACTCCTTCATGGCTTCTCCTTCTTGGCCTACTGGCGAGCAGCTCATTGTGAGTATCATTGTTTTGTAATGACATTTTTATAGCATTACTACACCTTCTCCTTAATGAGGTACCTTGCAAAGTAAATTATTACAAAATCCATCCATATATTAAACCATCTATTGCATTTCCTCTTTCTAACGTACACAAGTAAGCAACCTGATACGAACTGTCTTCTGAAACAACTTCATTCTTCTTCTTCTTAGCGTGTCGACTCTGACGTTTATATTTGTGAGGACCGGTACTCAGCAACTGACACAGCATTATCAGTGGCGTTGTATAGGTCCTCGCGTGTGCAAGTGTAGGGGCACGCAGGACAAGACAAAAGATGTGCCATAGTCTAGGGAGAGACACTACAAATACATGCTCTCCTTGCTTCGGCCGACTTGGATCCGCAGTCTATTTAAACACTTCCAAGTGTGCCAAGGTAGATTATGCCCAGGAGGAAGGTGCTCCGACAGCGGAATGATAGATGCCCTGGGGTATCTCTCCTTCCACAGATTTATACGGACGTGATTAGTTTCCCCGTCCAGAGATGAATACTTCTTTAATGAAGCTCAAGAACAACAATTTCATTAAGCAATTAAAAAAAAGGGTATATGAAACTATGTAATTTGAATTCATTTTCAGTATTCTACGGACGCGGTAAAATTCGATCGTCGCGGCTACAAGCCACGTGACCGAGCTCTTCTGGCGTCCGACAAGGCCCTTTACGTTGTCGACGCCTCTGGTCGCAAGACCTTCAAATTGAAGCATCGACTCCCCCTTGAAAAGATCAAGGTTGTTGTCACCAACGAAAGTGACAACCTTATACTGATTAAAATCCCTCAGGAGTTGAAAAAGGACAAGGTGAATAGTATTATATTTATTATGTATATATTTTTTTGTGTTAGAATATTAAATTAAATATTATAAACTTGCAAACCCACCCTATCACTATACCCAGTTCATTCAAACACACCACCACACACACAAATAACACACTTCACCCACATACACACACACACACTCACTCACTACTCGCACATTTTATTCTTTGATTTTCATCATCTTTTGTTAATTTTAATTTTCTTTTCTTTTATATAATTTAGTTATTTATTCATAATTTTTAGTAGCAGTAGATCTCCTTGTAAAAGTGTTCGTCCAAAGCCAAGCAATAATGTCAGTATTACTGTGTTCCGGTTTTAAAGGGTAAGGGTGCTGGTAAAATTATAGGCACATGGGACATATCAACTTATGACTTAGGGTCACGGGCGCAGTGACAGTGCCCCTCAGATCTTTGCGATTTAAAGCTCTGAGTGGCACTGCAACTGCTATGGACAGGCGTGTAACTTACCATCAGGCGCACGATTTGTTCGTCCCTCCACTTGGATGTTATAACAAAAAAAAAAATTGACTAACGTCTCCTTTTTCCAGGGTGATCTCATCATCCAGGTGTCCCACCTTATTGAGGCTCTGAGTGTCGTTACTGACTACACGAAGAGGCCCGACATCATAGATATTGTGGATACTAGAATGTAAGTTTTAACTCAAGTTTGTTGTTGAATGATTCAACTTAAGGCGAGGTGACTCGGAACTAGTGGAGGCGAAGCTGCAGAGCCTTGAACACCGCCGTAAAGTTGCCTGCTTATCGGTATTCTACAGGATATATCACGGAGAGTGTGCGATGGAATTACACGATTTAAAAAGAAAATTTCTAGCAACACGCGGGAATCGAACCCGCTTTAATCTGAAAAAAATGCACCCTGCGCTTTTATTGCTTCGATCGATAGGGTTAATTATAAGAATAAAATCTCTCTCACAAAATTTGTTAATTAAATGAAAAAAAAACCATGAAATCTTAACGTATTTTAATAAAACGAAAAAAATTAATTGTTTACAGTATACAATTAACCACCCTGTATACAATTAATTATATAATATAATAATTGTACTATATGGATTGTAATTTAGTAGTAGTAGAGCTCCTTGAACTGAGAGGAGAGGAGAACTGCCTGACCTTACCTATTTCTGCCACCAAGCAATAATGTGAGCATTACTATGTTCCGGTTTCGAAGGGTAAGGGTGCTGGTGAAATTACAGGCACATGGGACTTGTCAACTTATGTCTCAAGGTGACGGGCACAGTGGCAGTGCCTCTCAGATCTTTGCGATTTAAAGTTCTGAGTGGCACTGTAACTGTTTCGGACAGGCGTGTAGCTTACCATCACGCGCGACTTGTTCGTCCCGATTTTTTAAAAAAAGTAATTAAGATTTATAAACACGATATTATAAACAATTACTTTTTGTCTTAGAAAAAATTCTTTCGATCCGATTGAATTCAAACCGGCGTATTTTAGCAAACTGTGCCAGACGCTTTGCCAACTAAGCCGCGGAACGAACCAGCGGCCTACATGAATTTTTCTATGTGCTTGGTTGTCGGATCTTTGTATCTGGTTTTTTAACGACTTTTAGCCCTAGCGCCATCTATGAGAAATCTATGAAAGTATTTCATCACCCAGTTAGGCACCTTTACAGTACCAGCGCTGGCTAGAGATGTCCGCTATTCACTGTAATTAAGTGTTTTCTTGAATGTCCATGATATTCAATTATTTTTTTGTGAAATTACTCCACTAGTTATATAATTATTAATACAAAGATCTTAGACACACTTAGAGAACACTTAGGAAAAATTCCTTCGATCCGGCCGGACACGAACCGACGTCTTGTAGCAAACCGTGCCAATAATAAGTATTATAATTTTATTAATGTCTATTTTTAGGATTACACATAATCGACAGAGCGGCAAAGATGGCGTAATTGAAGTGACCAACGGCCCGCAACCATCGATCCATCGCGCTAAGAGTGGAAATCTGCTTGTAGTAAGTACATTCTTGTAGCTTTACTCGTAATGGCGCCCAATGGGGGACTTTCCATCTCATTTGAATATAAAAACAACATAATTGGATTAAATATTGTAGAAACATATTTTATGGTGTACTACGAGTTATTAATTTCGATTGCATCATTCCGACGTAGATTCTTTTTTTCATTTTGAAAAGGGACTTCAAAAAAAACATGTGTTCAATCAAACAAATATAAATTCATAAAATTTTTGAAATATCATATTCGAAATTGCCAAGTTTACAGGGGAGCGTTTTAAAGTTTTTAATACACTGAAATGTTCATGACACCTGACTTTAGCATTTCTCAGTTTTAATCGGCAGACCTCGTTATTTTAAAACTCGTTCTCGAATAAAACTGAGAAATGCCAAATTCATGTGTTCAAACGAACAGTGAATTCAGAACTTTATAATGCTCCCCTGTAAACTTGGCAATTTCGACATACGACACTTTAAGTAGGAGGGACCGAAATGTTGTATTGAGATTACCATATGAAACTCTTCTTTTTCTTTTTTTATTCATGTCACTTGATTCTAGTAAACTTATATTTATTTCATGGTATTTCATTATTGCTCGTTCACAACAACCTTAAAGCAAAATCGAGTAAGGCGTCTACATTCAAGCAATAATAAAATTCGTTTATAACTTGGAAAGAATGGTCGTAAAGACCATTTTGTGTTCTAGTCTTATTAGTGTTACAAGAAATTGGACTAGAACACAAAATGGTCTTTACGACCATTCTTTCCAAGTTTTAAACGAGGGGTGGACTTTACAGGCTATGTCTGTAAACAGGTTCTTCTGTTTCTTCTTAACCTAACTTCTTTTTCTAAATTTCAGGTCGCGGTGCCCTAAGCGAATTGGATAGTATTATGTAAACTTTTCAACCCCTTTACAACGAACGCAGTAGACAATAAGTACTAAGTTATATACTATGGTAAATGCATTTTTTTATTTTTAAATATTACCTTTAATTTTCAATTTTAATATTATAGTGTTCATTTTTGCATTTTTTACATTCTTCTGTTGTTGTTCTGTTATGAAATAAATTATATAATCATAATTTTGTTTACGTATCTATATTATAAAATCATTTTATTATTATTGTGATAATGTGCGTACAAAGTACTTAGTGTCTCTAATGCCATAGAAAATATCAACGAATGTATAATTTTCTTATTTATTTATAATTTTCTTAGTTTCCAAAAAATTAAACTTCAATAACTAATTCTGTAAAGAATGCGAGTTCCTCAAGCCAAGTTTTACTTTACAAATGAATTGTAATAATGAGAACATTTTTGATGTTATGAAATATTTTATTATTATTTGTGATTAATTATTATGCGTACAAAGTACTTAATGTCCCGTATGCCATATAAAATATCAACGAATGTATAATTTTTTTATTTGTTTAAAAAAAAACAAAAATGTGAGACAAAAATTTTTCAATTAAAAATTTTAAGTTCACTCAAGTGATTCAAGTTTTTACAAACTAAGGTGCCGAAGGGTGCGTAGGTAAAGATTAACTAGCTCCATTGTTTAAGAGCTGGTGAATTGTTCTTTAATCTTTAATGTAACGATAGAGATTTTTAAATCAAACATTTTACAGGTACTTTAGTTAACCCAAAACCCAAAGCGTTAAGGGGAAAGAAAAAATCGGGACAGCAGAAGCTAGTCAAAATTAACAATATGTCATTCATTTTGTATGAAAAAAACATTTTATTCAATTTGGCCAACGATTTTTTCCTTCCAATACAATGACATAATCCTTACATGACACCGAGTCGATCGGCACTAAAAAATTAATCAATTTTATTCAATTTTTATGGACAGCTCACGCTTGACCAAGAAATTACTACGACAAAATTATTTTCACAAAAACGACTTAAAGTGGTTACACACGCGTTCGTGAAACGCGCGATGCATCTTAACGCTAGCGTTTCATTGGCGATTGCATTAATACAAACGCGCGATTGAATCGTGTACGTGCATCACGCAGCGTATGCATTAATGCAATCGTTTAAAAAACACAAGTGTAGCAATGAAGTCGCGCGTTTGTATCGATGCAGTAAATGCTGACTATGTGTAAAGGTAGACGATCACCGACTGCATCGTTTAATGCTAAAGTCATCGGATATAAATGCTCTTAGGGTCGTATTCCAGAACTCTACTCAATGCTCAAGTCAGGATTTGAGCAGACTTGAGTATGATTTCGAGCACTGGAAATACGACCCTAATGGCAAGGACTTGAGTATGATTTCTAGTGCTTTGAATCATACTCAAGTAAGGTCGTATTCCAGAACTCGACTCAATGCTCAAGTCAGGACTTCAGTATGATTTCAATCACTGGAAATACGACCCTAATGGCAAGGACTTAAATTAAGTATGATTTCTAGTGCTTTAAAACATACTCAAGTCCTGACTTGAGCATTGAGTAGAGTTCTGAAATACGATCCTTAATGTTTCCTAAGACAGTTTACCTGTATCTCCTGTAGCTTCGGATTGCCCCATACTGTCCAATTAAAAAAAAACACTTTGTTCAAAACAACTCGTATTATGAAATTTTACTTAAATTTTTTATATCAAAGAAAATTATACATTCTTGATTAATTTTTATATTTAATTGTTGTAATAAGCTGAATCGAAGGTGCCTAAGTAAAATATAGCATTTTGTAGTAGTTATGATGGATATAATTCGCGTTCATACCAAATAATTGGTACTCCATTAAGGGTATGAAAGAATTCCCTTATTGATTTAAAAAATGACATATGATGGCATTGACTTACAAATAAATGGACGACGGGTCTAATACAAAAACCACGAAAAAAATGTCCCAAGTCAACCTATTCGAAATTTAAATTGTAATGTCATCGCAGTATCGCGCTGTCAGTAGAACAAATGAAGACTAAAGCGGAGTTTGTAGCGCTCTGTATACGATTTTAGCGCCTTATAAGTGCGGACACTTTTTAGCGCGGACCCGACGTCCATATAATTGTAAGTCAATGTATGATGGAAAGGAATTATTATCCAAAACAAGAACAAAGAAGTCGTATAATACTATAAGTATGTAATGCAGGCAATGCGCCTTGTGGTGAAAAAGCCAGTTCCTTTGAGTCATTTTAATTAAATAAACATATTTTTATTACATTCAGACTTTTAATTGTAACTACCAAATCCATATTTGAATCCTAGGGAGGCCATACACGGACTGCTCGAGCGGTGGCCAGTGACCAACATACACGGACCGCTCTTGCAGTCATAGTCAACAGCTTGAAGATGCCATTGATAAATGCTGGAGTAATTGATACCAACTGCAGCAGCTATCTAATATGCACGCTATCGCGATGGAGATAATATACGGAGGCGTAATAGATTACGAGTATAAGATCTCACAATTGTAAAAATGTAAGGCATGCTTCCCGATGTAGTGGAAATGAGATACTTATTATAGCGTTGTTGTATCTCGATCGTCTCTCTGTTAGATTCCATTTTCTTGAAAGCGATGCCAAAGAGAAGTATATAGGGGGAAAAATGCCAAACTGCTGCCGAATTTCCTGTATACTATGAATATCGAAACGACGATAACCCAGAATACTCAGACCAAAATCAACTTAGAAATTTAATGTTCGTTTCTTAAATTGGCCCAAATCGAACTCCTCATAAAGCACCCGTAGTACAAACTGCTGTACCATCGAGGAGCTTGAGCACACCCCGTAAACTGAACCTGACCTCGCGCCGCAGGCCGAGCTCGACCTCACCGTAGGTGGGGTACAGGGCTCGTATGGTATGTAATTTTTGTTGGCACTGGTGCTAGTCGGCAAGACTACAGTGTAAAAAATGTAAATGGCGCAAATGCGAGTTACTTCAAACTGCAAACGTAAATAAATCTAACACCCACAATGTAATTGATATATTTCTGTTTAATTTTAAAATGTCAGAAATTACTTACCTTTCTCACACACAAATTCATGCAGATCAAACATGTACGTGGATAGATCAATTCTGGTCAATTAAAATATATGAAGTATCTAGTACATTTTTTTCCTACTATATTGATGTTGCCCACTACAAATTTAAATTTGTCAAAGTGCCATTAGATTCTGGTACACATATACATATTTAGCAGAAATAGCAAATATTATCTTAATTGCTTGACTTTGCAATACAATAATAGTGAAGTCTCAATAGACTTACAGTGACCAGTGGTTTTGAGCAAAATAAAGCGCAGGCCACACTGCGAACTGAGCTAATCAAGCTAACTAAACTAACTCAACGATTCCGCTAAGCTATATAAAATATGTCGCCTTCTACCGCCTTTCATCCCGCACGTATTCATAGTGTAGCACGTCACTACTTACTACGTATTTTAACTTGGCTTTGCATGCAACTACGTGAGCTAGTTAGTTTAGCTTCGTTCGCGGCGTGACCTGCGCTTTAGCAGACTTGTGGAGACCCCGTTTATCGGTAGAAGAATAAACGAAGACATTTTACACAATGTTAGAAACAAATTCTAGTGACGGCGGACTAAAGCACGTAAGCTAGATGCAGCTGAGGCAGAGGCTCGTGCGGATGCCAGTATTGCTGCTACTGTACGCATTACCCTCGGTCACTTCGGTCTCGGAGGACGAACTGCACCGTACATCCGTGGCCTTTAACCCAGTTCGCCTGCTGGGCCCGATGATATTCCTAGATTCCTAGTAATGGAGTGTAGGTCTGTACTGAAACTGCCACTTCTCCATATATATAACCTCTCGATCCAAGAAGGATAATTTCCACATGGAAAGTATCAAGGGTAACACCTGTCCCGAAAAAAGGCACTTCTAAAGAAATCACAAGGTACAGCCTATCGCAATTTTAAGTGTATTCTGTAAGTTTTTGAACACATGTTAAACTTTCACATAAAACTGCAAGTCAGTAAACGCTTAGATATCGCTCAACATACATTTCAGAGTGGTCGATCGACCACTACTAACCTTATTTCATTTGTTGACTATGTAGCATCCCAAATGGATGTAGGTCGACAGGTGGATGCCGCTTACTTCGATTTCACGAAGGCGTTTGACCTAGTGGACAATGATATTCTATTGGAGAAACTTGCCACGATAGGATTTGCACCATTTGGCTTGTTAAAGCTGTTTGCTAGCTATCTTGGCGAGCGCAAACAATATGTTAAATTGAATAATTATAAATCTGAACCTTATTTTACAAGGTCCGGGGTGAGTCAAGGTAGCATTTTAGGACCAACCCTATTCCTACTTATGACAAATGATCTTCCCAAGGTTCTTAACACAGCTAGGTGTTTATTGTTTTGCGGATGACCTAAAACTATTCCATCCTATTAATTTCGTCACAGACTGTCGGGCTCTTCAGTGCGATATTGACGCGGTATCTGTATGGTGTGGAAACAATGGATTAACTTTTAACATCGGTAAACGCAAAATAATGTCCAATACGAGATCTACCGCCCCTGTAAATTACCAGTATTCTATAGGTAATACAGCACATGCACGAGTAGTCTATTTGCGATCTGTGAGTAATAATGGACCCCAAGCCCCCAAGCTCAACTTTCATAACCACATAGACTCTCTGCAAAACAGCCAACAAAACTCTTGGTTTTGTTTTGCGAGCATCCTCACAGCTTCGTAATACTAGGGTGGCACATGGGTGGCGCTTATACTTTACAATGCTTTTGTAAGAAGTGGGCTGGAATACTTATGAGGAAAAATATTATCTCCAGATTGAAAAAACACAACTCAAATTCGCTCGATACTTATACTAGAGAATGTATGGTTACTATCCACTGCTCTTTCCTTCCTTGTCTACGGAATGGTAGATCTTGACACCTTGGAAGTAAGACGTAGTTCTAACCGTACTCCTACACGTATTTCTCCTGCGAGGTAAGGAACACTGAGCAACGTCGATCTGTTTGTGCCAAACAGATACGCCTGCACGCCGACCGATCAATTGTTTGCGACAGCATTAGCAAAGTAATTTATAAGGCAATTTTAGCGTATCAAATATTTATGTAGTATAAGAAATTAAGCGTTTTGGTTGTTACTGCAAGTATACATTGTTTTTTTAATAAATATGGTCACAATCCAACAACATTCATTTAAATTAATACATCTACCGGCTAAAGCATACAAGTAAAATTCATTTGTTACTTCTTAAATTTGTAACTTTATTCCAGTCTTTTTCGAATTCATCACTTTCTTCATATCTTCCAACACTAACACACAAAAAAATTATAATTATATATTAACAAAGCACTTTTTTGACTTACGTGCTTTAGTCCAACGACCCTAGAATTAATAAAGGTAATATTTAAAAACAAACCAGTTATACGTGAAATTCATTGCATTTATTTTTATACAATTTACATAATTATCTCCCACAACTGGTGAGAACATAACATTGAGAAACAATGATCTTTTTACATTTTCGCAGTTAAGTTTTTTTTCTAGAACAACAGTTAAGTGGCTAAGTTCCAAAGCACAACATTAATAAGGAAGTGAGATCTGAATTGAGTTTTTAAATCGATTTAAAATCATAGATAAATACGTAGAGCCACAGACTGTCGTTTCAAACAATGAAACTTATTTAAAGAATGTTAACGTGTCGTACTTCCTGCGTACACTCTGGCGTACATTGCACACATTTCAAGGGTAGAAAGCCGGAACTAATGGCCGGGATTTCACGTTACGAGCGCGCTCCGAATGAATCCTCTTGGATGATCTCGAATCATGGTAAACAAGTGATCCGAGTGCATCCGGACAGTTATCCTATTCGAGTGGACTGTTTTATTTTTACAAACCACCTCAAGTAAAATTGACAAAACAAAATCGCGTCAAATTAAAAATCCGCATTTTGAAAACGAATGCGTTGGGTGAAAATACAATGGGAGAAATGACTCTCGGGCGCTATTGAACATGTAAAATCAACTTTGAGTGCACTCCTATGTGACCCAGTTTGTACGAGCGCGCTCGTAACGTAAAAACCCACTTTACAGTGATTTTTGTCTTTACTTCCGTAAGTAAAAATTCAGTTATCCGTTTTTAAAGCCGCACGGATTTAAAAACCAAAAATCCAATTGCACATCGTTATTATAAATATATTATTATATTTCGGAAAATCTTCATATTTAGACACTTTGGAGTAAGTACATTGTAATCAATTTTTTTAAATCCAACGAGACTACAGTCGGCTTTATAGTAAAAAGATTTACTTGGCAAAACTATTCAAGACACCATTAGTAATGACATCTAGTTATTTCATTTATACCTAATTCATGGAAGATGGTTCGGGGAAGAAAAACATAAGGTTACACGAATGGATCAATGTCAATAGAACTAAATCTTAAGTGTCTACTCATTGACCAAAACAGTCTAATTTTATTTCAATTATTTAATTTTGTTTATTTGTCATCATACAAAAAGCTGATTCTAATTGGATGCTGATAAACAATAACGTGTCACCCAATATGATCCTAGTCTTATGAAAATGGCAGCTGAAGTTTATTTTCATTGTTTTTGATAGTTTGTTCTAAAATTTACTTGTTATTATTAACATGAAAACGTTTCCTGTTATGTTTGTTGTTGTTGAATAATTATAGTAGTAAATCACAAGAATTCATCATTCCTGAGGTGACAACAGCACGAGTTTTCATTACAACTATCAAAAAGTGCCATTTTCGCAAAACTATGATGACGTTGATGACACGTTATTGCTTATCATCATCCAATTATAAGTACATAAAAAAATATATAAAAGTTCTGTGCGAAATTATTACAACGAATAGTCAACAATGTATTGAAAACCAAGTATGTTTTGAGTAAATTTATTATGTACCACCTTTTGGTCATTGACAGAACGCTTGATAACATGTAAAGGTACTTAACTTTGTGACAATGATCCACATAAAAACTAAATTTACCCGGTCAACAACTATTTACAACTTACCGATTTATCATTTACAATGAACGAGTACCATGTTTATAGAAATTTGTGAAACCATGATATATTAGTTACAAATATACATATCACTTATTTGCTACATAAATGCGAATTATTCTCGAATCGTTATAAAAATTAGACTAAACAATATACTACTATACATAGTTATCTTTAGGGCTCGGTGTTCGAGGAGTAAACCAAGCATGTTTTTTTTGCACATAAGGAGTCAATTCCCGACTGCCAAACCGATGCAATTGCAGCACGTTGGTTCTTTATGTGTCCTCACATATATAACGCGCGAAACACACTGAAAGCGGGTGCGCGTCGGGTCGGGAGCGTCTCGGGTCGGGTGTGTGTCGGGTGGGAGCACGACAACAAACCACGCGCGGGTGCGAGACGGGCGCAGGTAGTGTGGTGTGTTATCGTCCATATAAATACACGGAATAACACCCGTCGTCGCCCTCCCGATCCGTCACGCACCTGCTATCAATTTGTTTCACGCCTAAGAAACTATTGGGAGAGTTAGATATTAAAATCGACTATCCATCGTATTTCGAGCGCCTACTAGTATGACTCAACGTCAATCTAACGATTATTAGCAACACGTGGCGTGAATAGATCAGTTAGGGATATAAATAAATGAGCTTTATTATGTGCTTCATTGTATCGCAAATGGATTGCCTTGCGAAGTATTGACTTAATTTTCATAATCATTCCCACATTCTTTCCAAAATTTCTAAGAGCGATCGCCGTACATTTGAGACGAAACAAATTTTGATTCTGCAGTCTTAAAATTAATCTAACCTACCTATTTACAATATAAACATCATTTACAATCTGCAATATCAAATTGACAGGTAACTAGCGCTATTTTCAATACTTTGGTTATTTTTATATCAATTTTGGTACGCACTAGAATGTTGTAAGGTTTTATTTTGAAAGGCGAAGTATAAATTTAATTTTAAATAGATGCAGGCATAGGTCGTTAAAAACTTACCGAAAAACAATCTTCAATATTCTATATTAAACTCATGGGGGAAACAAATATTTCCAATGAATAAGCCTTCATCTATTCATAATTTATTTATCAAGGCCTTTATAGATTGTGAGGGCTACATTAACCGTCATTTTGGTCATGTTATTCAAAAGCGGAAGATTATTAACATAAACATTTTTGTTTATTCTCATGTCCCAATCAATTCGTTAAGGCAATTCTAGTGCGATTTACAAGAAAATCTAATTAAGCCCTCCACAATCAAAATAATATTAAGGAAGCCTTATAAATGGGTGGCCCCATAAGTCTTACAGAATAAAATCACAAATTTATTGGTCGAAGCACCATTTTTCACTTAGCCAAAAATTCTCGCCCTCAATTTAGGCACTGTCTTCTTACTAAATATCAATTACATACAACTATAGCCTGTCCACTGTTCTTGAGTACCTTGTCTATAATCTTGAGAATCTGAACACAGATTTCTGAAATTTCTGTAATATAATTCGTCTGGAATATTTGAATTAAATGGTTGTCCGATTTCACCAAAATAAGATTCACTATTAGCATCGCTATTAGCATTATTGATACAACTTGGTCTTTGTTTTTGAACTAAATTGCAACTTGAATCTCCCCTGTTCCTAATTTTCAATGAACTTTCTGGCACAGTACTTGTTAAAGATTGATTCCTTATTTGAGGATAAGGTTCAATAGCACAATTTTTATTGTCTTTCCTAGGTACCATCTTAGAACTCTGACTCTGTTCAATAGATCTAAATTCAGTAAAACCAAGTTCGTTTGTCCTATTTTGATATCCGTGATATGAACTTATCTGGTTTGCTTGTATTAATACTGTATTTTTCACTTCTTTTACCCTTTCATCTTCGTTAGACCTAAATTGTATAATATTCTTGGCTTTTCTAACATTCCAGATTGCTAGTTCTACATTTTGTCGTTGCTCTTGGATATCCGTATTAAAATCCCTAGCTTCCCTATTGATATTAGAACAAGGCTCTTTTCGCTCACTCATTTTTCTTTTTCTGTCGCGGCGTTTCATCTTAAAAAGCTCCCACGTTCTACATTTAGATAGTTCTTTCGTTTGCTTTCTTTCACCTATAGCGGAATTCGCAACTGCTTCCTTGACTTTAATTGAGTCTTTAATAAGACCTATTTTCTTGGCACAAACTTCATTAATCTTATTTTTTTGGGGCACAGAAAAATTCGCTGGTTTCCTGCCATTGAAAAATTCTGTTTTTTGAGCAAGTTCTTCTATCTGATTATGTTTTCGGAGCAAAGAGCGATCTGAACTTGCACTTGTTTTATTGCCCTTGCAAAGCTCTTTCATAAAGCCAGATTTGTTTGCAGAAAGTTCTTGCGTCTGACTCAATTTTTGGAGCTTATTGCAATCAGTTTCTACACTTAGTTTTCTGATGTTGCATTGTTCGTTATTAAACCCTGCTTTATTTACACAAAGTTCTTTGATCCATATAGGTTTTTCGTACAAAGAATGATCTGTTATTGCACTTGGATTACCAACTCTGTAAAGTGCTTTTGCCGAATCTGTTTTCTTAACATAGAAATCTTTCATTTCAAGGTTATGTCTGTGTGGTAAATCTAGATCGGCTGTTGCATTCGATTTTCTGACTTTATTAAGTTCTTTTAAAGACCCTTTTTTGTTGGCACAAAGTTCATTCATTTGCTTAAATTTTGTAAGCAAGCTGGAATCCGCAGCTGCACTTGGTTTTGTCAAATTACGAAGTAAAGAACCTGTTTGTTTTTGAAGTTCATTTCCAGAACTCATTTCAGTGCACTGTTCCTTCATCAAGTGGTTTTTTATCTCACCGAGATTTGAAACAGAACTTGGACTGACATTACTTACTTTACAAATATCTGTCATCGAACTTGGCAGTGTTAGTTTTCGTATCTTGGACATGTCTTCAACAGAAGGTTTTCTGGCTTTCATAAGTTCTTTGGCGGAACTGACCTGAGGTTTTTTGAACTTACTAATTTCTTTTTTGGAACTTTTCCTAAGTTTCTGCTTCTGATAGTTACACTTTTTCATTTGCTCCATTATCTTAGACTGCTTTCCAGGCACCTTCTGCGAACGTTCCGTCTTCGGCTCAACATTATGAGCCTTATGTCCCTTCACTAAACGTTTCACAATATTGTCTTTCACTCATTCATCACAAAACAAATGCTATTTCACTTGGCCTACGGCTTCTGGTGCAGGTTCGGAAGGTTTAAAGGCGTTTTCGCTCTTGAAACTGCTGTCGGACTGATTGGAGTCTTGTTTGAAGTCTGGCTTGAACTCTTCTTGGCCAAATTGTGGTTTGGCTTTATTTTGCTGTTGGTCTTGTTCGCGCTGCTGCCGCCGCCGCTGCTTCGACCATAGCTCGTGGCAATCTTGCCAAGTTGGAAGCTCTGGAGCTGGCATTCTGAAATAGTAAAGATCATGTTCACTGTAAAAGTACAACATATTTCATTGATTTGTTTATTTAACATAATTAATTTAAATTATGAAATACACGATTATGACATCTTGTTTTAAATCAATTAACTTTATCAATTTATTGTCTAATTATTGTTTTTACATTTAGTCTTAATCTATCACTGTATTATTTGATTGTTGTATTTGCAAGCTTTTATTTAAGAAGGCCGAATACATTAACCTACCAACAAATGGAAGTCGGGTCTAATACAAAAAACCCGAAAAAAATGTCCGAAGTAAACCTACACAAACGTAGTGACATGTAACGAAATATAAAAAAAAAACTAAAACATTTAATTTAAATTATAACGTCTTTGCAATACTACCTAATTTAGCTTGCAACAAATTAAAGGGCCAAAAACACCATATTCAGCTTCTACAGGAAGCTTAACAAAATGCACCATATTTAGCTTCGACTGAAAATTACTTGAACACAAGAGTAAACGATCAGCCTTTATTGTAAATATCAATTAATTTTTATGCTTATTATTATGTCGAATTTTGTACAAATTCAGTTCAAGAAATAATAAAGAGTTGGGCTGATACATACATACAAATAGTACTACAAATGTGAAAATAAGCGTGTACTATAAGAAATGTACCGATATTCCAACTAAACGTAAACTCAAATATCCGTAATTCCGAAAACCGATTTATAATAAAACCGTTATGCTTTCAAGTAATTTTGAAGCTTCTCACAAAGCCAAAATTAGCTTTTGTTTTGTAATATTCGTAAAAAATATATTTGACATTATGAAAATTCGAGCTAACGTTATTTCGGGCAAATGTATTTTCTGACTTCTGATAGGTAATCCCGAACCGTAAAACGAGTACAACAATATTTTGTTAATAATTGCTAACTTAACATTTAATAAAGTCATTTTAAAAATAAGATTAAAATCAATACGACTTTACAATTTCTTTGTTCCAAATATTTCAATCGCTTATGGTTCGAGGAATTGAAAATAACCAAGAAGTTTATATAAGCTTTTTGAACTTGACGTAATGGGTCTCTTTCCATCTTTTGCGCATGCAACGTGTAGAAAAAGGACAGTTAGCTATTTGATTATTTTGTTTGCTTTTGTAATTTATATTTACGATTAATTTATATATAAATTAAATACTATACAACTGTACAAAATAACACTTGTAAATGATAACTATAATAACACAATATATTTGTTTAGTGTAAATGTGATACAGAATCCTGTTTTTACAGAAGTTATTATTATATAGTACTGCATGATTGACAACCGCACTGTCAGTTGAACAAACGAAGACTGTTGCGCGATTGACGCTCTATTTGCAATTTTAACGCCCTATAGGTGTGGACACTTTTTAGCGCGAAACCCACGTCCATTTGTTAGTAGGTCAATGGCCGAATAGGTGTAACTGCTGATTTAATTCTCTGAATTAACCACTCACATTCAGAGTTTACAATACGCTGGTTACGAGTGTAATGCAATTTATTCTTATCAGCAGCTATATAACTGACATTATCATTATAACAACGGTAATACACTTATTACATTAACCTATTATATCATTTACTTATACATAAATTTTAATGAATTATGTTTCATTAATTGTAACGTATACTTTGTCCTTTTTCAAGACGGAGTATGATGAATGGGTTGCAAGTTTTCATAAAATCGCACCCCTCATGGAAGAATGGCATAAGTGGAGTTATGTCAAACATGTTTATTGCTCCATTAGATACAGAAAAATACAACCCACATCCTCTCTAATTCTTGTAACTCTATTTACAATATTAGTTGATAGAATTACAAGAATTGGAGAGGATGTGGGTTATATTTTTCAGAATCTAATGGAGCAATGAACGTTTTTGACGTAACTCCACTTATGCCATTCTACCATGAAGGGTGCGAAATATCAAATAGTCTTTTAGTAGTAAAACACCGTGACTTTCCATAAACTTTAAAATAATATATATTTGCAAGTAAGCAAATATATATAATTGGCAAGTCTGTTAAAATCTACTTGTAATGGCAGTTGAGTCTCAGTGAAATGGCAACGATAGCATATTCATTCATTCAATACTAACGACCGATGTTGCCTTACTAAAACTATCATGGAAAGTACTACGCAAATTGTAATTTTGAACTAGTTTAATCAGCAATTTAGTCTTCAAATTTAATATATCGCAATGCTATTACAATAGTGTTGTAACTCAAAATATGTGAAACTCTAGATTATGCTATTGCCGAACGTAAAATTTGATACTCTACACGTTAACAAAAACCGTCATTAGAATATTGTAAGAAACCCTATTTTTTCAAAATATATTTGGCGACTAGATGTTTGTTTAGATGTCTGTAATAAACTTTAACCTATACATAAATTTTAATCATCTTTCACGGTGTATAATTCGTTCTTCATCGATTCTGAAAAAGTACACGTTTTGAGTTAACACACTATTGTATTAACTGTGCGATATATAATATTAATAAACTATGTCGTCAACGTGCCATTGAAGAGCATTATACCAAAAAATTGCAATGGCAGTTGAATGGTAGCTCCATGGCACCATGGGTAGTTCATTACTCTTAACTTTTAGTAGAATACCAAAGGTACAAAATCCTGCCATTGACACTCTAATATACACAACTGAGATTATTCAAGACTAGCAGAATTGGGGCCCTGCAGCTTGATTTTGATTGCCTCTCCGGATCGGAAACTGCATCTCTTCCGAGTCGAGGCGCATAATTGCGATTCACAACTGGCCGATAGGAAACTTTGATATTTCAAATCGGGACAATAGTTGATTTAACTCACAAATTAGGAAGGTATAGTAGGAATCAGGTTCACTTCTCGCTCGGAAACCCATCTGATTTCGAGAATCGGATGGGCTACCCGATCGTATCGATTCCGATTAGAATTAAAATCAGCCTGCTGTTCTACACAAACTACAAAATGAAAAAACACTCACTGTTCAGGAACAACATTCTTCAACCATGGACTCTTCAAAGCCTCTTCAGCCGTTATTCTTTTATCAGGATCCAGCTCCAGCATGCGATCGAGCAGATTAAGCGCATTGGCAGGCATAAATGCGAACTGTTCCCGCACGCAGCGCTTGTGGTACCGCTTCGGTCGTAGCGTGTGCCAGAGAGGCAGGTTGATGACGTTCGGCCAAACGCCGGGGACGGGGGTGCCGCACACGCGGGATATCATTTCTAGTTGCATCATTTCTACGTTCGCCTGGTATGAGAATAATAAAGCCATTAATTATCTCTCAAAACGTACAAGTGAACATGGGGTTAAAATATGAGAAACATGAGCTCAAACTATACTTTTCCAAATTCGATGTGGAATAAATGTCAACAAACAAAAACGTATGATTTATAGGGTTCACCTCAGGTTGTTTTACAGTTACCACAATTCCAATATATTTTTCAGAATTTCGATTAAATTAGTCTGACTTGTTTATTCCATGGGTAAAATTTTTACACTTGAAAAAGTCATTTTTGAAGCTACTGCCCGTTCACTGTCCTGAATACCCTAAGAAGAACAAACAGGAGGGAATTGCTCTTTTCAAATAAACTTAAATGCTATGGAATACTCATGTCGTCTTTGGATAATCTTTATCTAACACGTTGTCTTCAATTTTGTGAAACGACTACTCAATTAAAATACTTTTGATGTAAGTTGTAAACTTAGGAAATGATAATCTTAATACATGTGCTCCAGAATCTTATTATACAAACATATACAGTTCCCCATAAGGGAATCGTTTACCTTAGTTAAACGAAATCGTGGTACCGTAAGTTTGGACTTCAATGATTGATACTAATTATTGAAGGAAATTAAACTATTTTTCCGGATTTAAATCGCGTATATTTGTTTTTTCAAACAAGCCGACGTTTCGGGGTTGACCAACCGTGTAACAATCGCGAAAACCTAAGAACTCGATTATTGATTTATTATTAATTATTGACAACACTAATCTTGAAGTCATGCCTGTGATGAATTTTGTTCAATAGAAGAGTCAAACCACTGGCAAGTGATTTAAAAGTAACATAAAAATACCAGTAACTAATTATTTACAAAACTGTATCATCCCTGCTATACTTTTTGATTTGAAGGGAGAGAGATTTGATAACATTTGTAGTTAGTAATTTCAAGTTCAGAAATTGATATTAAATGAAGTAAGTATGTAGTATAGGACGTCCTCCGGCCAGGTGGAGTGACGACCTGCGAAAGGTTGCTGGCGGGAAATGGACGCGACAAGCTGAGGACTATTTGTAACTGTGCATAATAAAAAACTTAATTATTTCTTTCATAAATCATCCATATCATATGAACATCGCTAACTTTATAATAATTGGCCAGGTAAGTATTATTTCTACATAACTCAATTACCTACGTAACTTTTTAAATTCTAATAACGCTTATAGGCCGTGAGTGAGAGCAAAACTAGCCTAAATAATGTGCATTGACAACAAAATGTTCCATTGGTGACCCAGCAACCTTTTGTTGTTAAACATTCTATATCCAATTTGGCTAGAGTATAGACGAATCATGCAATGCCTAAATATTTTATATTAAAATTAAATTGTAAGGTACTATATTGTTACAATAATTTATCATTAATTTTAAGCTCTATTGTACCACTGCGAAGTTTGTTTATGCAGTCATCAGTTATTTACGTACTTTATCATGAAGGAGAAATGCGAGAAAAGAACAAAACATATTTATTGGCTCACAATAAGCCCCTTAATGTGCTGACTGATGAGAATAATAATGATTTATTATCACGCCAGGGAACAGACCTTACATTAAATAAAGATTAATATAAATGTAGCTAGTATTTATTCAAAGTGTGTAGTAATAAGTACCTGGAACAGTGGATGTTTTAAGAATAACTCTCCAAGAATGCATCCCATTGACCATACGTCGACTGCCGGGCCGTAGCGCTCTTCGCCGAGGAGTAGCTCTGGCGGGCGGTACCACAGTGTGATCACTTTGTTCGTGTAAGGCCGCTGTCGGTCTTCCGCCGACCACAATCGTGCTAAACCGAAGTCGCCCAGTTTCACTTCGCCTCTGAAAATTAATAGTTTTAATGACATCAATCAACTCCAACGAGAGAGTTAAGATTATTAGCCTGCTATGCTAGTTGGAGACTTCACACGTCTTCGACATGAATCACGACAATAACATTTTTCACAAATGTATACGGAGAACTCAATAATTCTACAACGAGTGCCTAAGTTTCCGCGTTTTTGATTGACAGGTCACGGTTTTAATATTTTTTTTTTACAAGTAGCTAAATATTTATTTCTCGCTAAATACCAAATTATTGCCTAGTACACATTCATAAAACTCGTCGCTACATAAGCGCTATTAATTTTTATACAATATTTAGAAACGCAGTTGCAACGCCACTATCCTAACACACTATCTGCACTGACAATTTTCTTTTTTAAGCACATTCACAGTCCCGCACTAGGGAAACCCTATATCGCAGGTGTTATGGACACATAGACAACTACAATATACACCCAAACTCACGAGAGAAATAAATATAGGCTATACAAACATTTCTTCTGGCCCGGGAATCGAACGGAACCTCTACGTAGCGGGCCAGCATGGTAAAACTTTGGCCACAGAGACAGTAACAATTAGTGAGTGAGAAAAAAGAGAAATTTCAAAGTTTTCTCACAGATGGCGCTACGACAAAAAAGTCGTTAAAAACCAAAACAAGGATCTGCTACAAACACATGGGAAAATTCGCGAGGTCCGTTGGTTTGTTCAGTGGTTTAGTTGCCGTTTGGCAATGTTTGTTGGGAGACGTTAGTTCGAATACAACCGAATCAGAGTGTTCTATCTTTGTTTAATAATTATAATAATTAATGAACTAAAGATTACTAAAACGTTCTGCCGCGCCAATCTAGCGTTTCTACAAGTCTAATTTGAAAGCGCCCTTTGATAATATGTCTAAGTAAAAAAAAAAAAACAAAAAACTAATTATCACTTTCAGAAGAGTGCGCTCAAACACAAAATATTTTATTGACAACACAGTACCATCGAGAAATAGAGACGAAATAAGGACCATACATTCCTGGTAACGCATCAGTGATAGATCACTTATCAATATCAACTCTCGTTTGCACTGAAATTACAAATTAGAAAGCTGAAATAGTACAGCGCCAACAACTGACCTGTGTGTACGTCGCCGTATATTCCACAAATGTTCTGTATTTATTGTAATAAAGATAATACCTCTAACAATGGTTTAGAGATAGAGTTCCATTCGGTGGTGTGGGGAAAAACAGCAAAGCATCTAATTACAAAACAAACGGAATCAAATTTCATCGGTAATTAAATATTATATAATTTTGAAGTGAAACAATTGACAACACCCATTGACGACACCCGTCAATTATTTCGAACTCGGGCTGGCCAATCGGAGTACAGTTGTCACAGTAACGGTATGGCAGTATAGTTTTCAAACAAATTAAATGACATTTCGTCTCTATTTCTGGTTATATACTCGATGTACAGTACTTACTTATTGTTCATCAAAATGTTGCTACATTTGATATCCCGGTGCAAAAAGTTCTTCCTATGACAATAGGCTAATCCATCGAGCAGCTGTTTCATGATAGATGCGTTGTGCGTTTCTGTGAAGTCCACCATCTTCGACTCTAACAAGCCCATGAGGTCGTGGTCCATGTACTCAAAGACTAAGTAGAATGAGCCCTTATCCTGTGAACGACGTACATCATTAGTATACTTCGTTTCAATCTATTTTAAACAAAAAGTAAACAAACAAGTCACTGACCTGACCATAGACGGTTTAGTGATAGTCAATTGTAATGCAAGCTAAAAATCGATTAATTAATTGAATGAATCGATTTGTTTAATTGAGTCATGATAGCGGTTTTCCTTACATGATTACAAAAACTTTAATTGAATGAACGGAACATTTTTTTTTCGTACAGCACTATGCAACCGTAGACAAGTCGTAGAAGTATAGATGAAAAATAAACTCACTTTTGAACTACCATTTTCCAAATACGAGTTTACGATGCTATTCAAATGAATATTGTTGGAAAAAGTGATCGAAATATACCTGAAAGTGTTGCTCGCATTCGATTTATTGAGTGATTGCTTTAGAATTTTAACCAAACAGGTTTGTTTACTTTTTATATAATATGGATTGAAACAGACCATTAATGTTCAGATATTCAAATGCTTTTATACCTGAAGTTCCCTTTTCCCCGTGAATTGCTGTCGAAATACGGAAGCGACTTTTTAAAATATATTTTGGATCGACTTCAAAAAAGGAGGAAGCTCTCAACTCGGCTATTTTTTTGTGCATGTTACGCGATTGTCTGACATTTGTGAAACGATTTCGATAATTATTTTATTGTTGAATGTTATTATTGAACGTACCTCAGTAATGGTCTAATTCAAATTTGAAATTTACACACCTCTAAGGGTAGCAAATACCCTAAGTGACTATATTTGAAGAGTGGTTATACATGGCCTGCTCGAGTCAATGATCAACACACACGGACCGCTCTTGCAGTCATAGTCAACACCTTGAGGCTGCCATTGATAATCGCTAGAATAGTTGATATCGACTGCAGCAGTTGGTACCAACTGCTCAACAAGTCACAATTTCAATATCATTCAAATCAGTAGCAACATGGATTTTGAGGAAAAAGCACCACTACTGCTACTTTTGCTCAAACGACGGCGGCGGCGGCGCAGAATTTGCTGCTGCGAAAATGCGCGCGTGATGTGGAATGAAGAGCGCGCGCAGAGGTAATTGCGCGAGAGCAGTCGACAGGTCGAGCAGTCAGTGTTGCCTAATTTCACCGCACTGCTATTTATTTATTTATTGTTTTGTGTAGGTGTACACAGAAGACTGTAGTTTGCTATGTGGTCGCAGCTTGAAGCAGTTGATACTAGCTGCTTCAGGCTGCCCGTGTATGGCCGCCCTAAATATTTCGAACGGAACTAGACTCTCTTATGTGTGTGGGTGTGTGGATAGTCTCTTAGTCACGTCGATTAACATCAAATAAGATAGCGGCCAAGCGTGCATGTATTTAAAAAAGCAAACCCCTAATCTGTAGCCAAAGTACCAACCTTCCTAAAATCCATAGCGTCCTGTTTATCCGTGACAATCTCTCTCAAATTGACAATGTTTTTATGGTTCAACTGGCGAAGAATTTTGATTTCCCGCACGGCCGTGATGGGGAAGCCTTCCTTCTCGTTCTCCAGTCGAACCTTCTTCAGTGCTACGAGTTGACTGGTGTTTTTATCTCGCGCTTTGTATACTTGGCCGTATGTACCTTCACCTATTTGAGTTATCACCTGGAAATAAGCATTAAAATCAATTTTCTTTTAGAATAGAATAGAAACATTTATTTCCTATTATCAATATCACAATATTACAATTCAATACTCATAAATATATTTATTGCATTCATATGACACATACATGTCTTAAAATTAAAATAATGCTACACATATGAGCCCTTTATAAGGGATAACAATAAGAGCAGAGGTAGGCCGAGGTTTCAATTATTAATTAGAATTGTTATTTATCAAATAATATAAAATAAAAAAAGTATGTCATATAATAAGAAATACGTCATATTATAAGCAGAATTAATTAAGATTTATTTATTATTCAAATTTATTATAATATTATTATTTTTATTTGTCATTAAAGAATTCATTTAAATTGTAATAGCATTTATTAATAAGATGTCATTTTAATTTATTTCAAAAGACAATGTCAACGGATAAATAACATGATCGTCAATGACGCAAATAAGAATAATGAATATAAAATAAAGTAGTGAACTACTGCTTGTCGAAATACAACGAAGTCAAATTAAACAAAATTACGATTGTTTCAAAAGAAACTCATCAGCGTGCAGGATTCATTTACCAATAAAAGGAGGTTTAGTCGGGTATACAAGGACTTTTAGTTGGGTATAAGAGAAATTTTAGTCGGGTATAAAAGGACTTTTAGTTGGGTACAACAGGAGTTTTAGTCGGGTATAAAAGGGGTATTAGTCGGGTATAAAAGGAGTAGTTGGGTATAAAAGGAGTAGTTAGGTATAAAAGGAGTTTTAGTCGGGTATAAAAGGAGTTTTAGTCGGGTATAAAAGGAGTTTTAGTCGGGTATAAAAGGAGTTTTAGTCGAGTATAAAACGTTTCGTTATTCGTAACATGTAGATGTTGTACATGGCAGTTCTAACTTGTCCAAAAGGATGTTACAAAGTAGCGTAACAAGTATGGGCTGAAACCTTTGCTGGTCACAGGCTACAAAGTAAAAGAGTGAAGAGGGTTTTGTAAAACTGGATTGGTAATTGTGAAATTATATTATTGTGGGTGGGCAGCCACAATCCGTTTGCAGCCATAGTAGGGGGGTTCTGGGCTACAGTAGTTATAAGTGTATACAATTGATACGATAGAAGCAAGTGCTAATAAAGCGGTAGTTCTTGAATAACTTGCCCCCAAATGTATAAAATGTAACTAAATACACATGGGGTATGTTGTAAAACGCTCGGGTCCAGAACTCAACATTTATTAACTCTGCTCAATTTCGGGCCACTCGGTGGCCTCCCAAGAGTCCGAGTCAAGTCAAGCGCGAGTCATCGGAGCACGGACTTGAGTATAAAAAGAACTCGAGTCGTAACCCTACTTTGAGTTTGAACAAAATTCGAGTTAGAAAACTCGACTCGAAGCGACTACACTGGAATGTCTAGTACGACAAGCAGGGTTCAATTTTACTGAATAACTACTATTTCCCAGAAATTAAATAAAATACAAAAACCCAATATGGTGACTTATAAAAGAAAGATTTTCATATTTAATTATAGTATAATGAAATATGAACACACCACAACACCGCTAACATAGCCCGACTCGTTCCACAAAAAGACTGGAATTCAAGCGCGATTGTTACATAAATAGACTCGAGCACTAATGTCGAACTCGAGTCTATTCGGAAACTCGATAGGCTCGTAATACATCGCGCAGTTAGTCTCTGTCTTTATGAGTCGAATCTTGTCAATTGGAATCGAGTCATAAAATGTCCTAAAATCGGACTCGGGATTTTTTTTACAACACTACTTTTTTGTACGTCAGGCGCATCTTGGGCAACAAATTGGCGACTAGCTTACGCCGATTGGTCAAAGCTTGCGCCACGATACGATAACAAGAACTAAATATTTGATATTTCTAGACCTTACAAAGAACATTTAAGCATTGAAATAAACGTACCTGGAAGCCATCAACACACTTCTCTCCCCAGTCTTTAGCATGATGCGTGGGCGTCGCCACGGGTACGACTTTGGAGCCGCGCCGCTTCAGTATCCGAGGTCTTTTCAACTTTGACCCAGACTGAAATTAATTTTACACAGGTTCATTATTATTAACGCTGATATTAATAAAAAATCTGGTTACACAGCGTTTAGTAACGTATCGGAGTTACTTTTGTGTCGGATGACATTCATATTGCCATAGTCTATTCAAGTTAGCGACCTAGTACTGAGAAAACACAGCCGCACGTGATTGGTTAGAGATAATAAAGCCGCATTCATAATGGCGAGCTTATTAGTCGGCTTTCAGGTGCGGACTCGAGTTGTTTTCTCTGTTTACTACTTATCTGTGTTTCTTTACCTGCGACTTTGGCTTTCTTAATGGACTGGTACCTTCTTACTCTGCGACTCGGTTTAATACGTTGACTGATGTGAAATGCGAGATTGTTGAAACAAAAATTACAGAAATGTATATAAAAATATTTTATTTTATTTTTTAAACACCTTTATGCACTAACTAACTATTCTAACGCTTGTCGCCCACTTAACCATGTGCCTTCATCTTACGTCCTTGTCATGTAGTGCGAAAGAGAGGAGCCTATACTAGGTCGCTAACTTGAATAGACTATAGTGTTACTCAATATTATTGTAGTGACGTTTTTTGGCGACACACTGACGAGAGCGGACTGATAGATGATGGGTTCCTGTTGTTTCGTTTAGCTGATTATGTCAGCTTGTTGGGAACAATTCTTTCGAATATGAGAACGCTCATTTGGTGCTACATTGACGCAATTATACTTCCTGTAATGTTACAGGAAATGGATTTGAAATGATTTTTTAATTTTATTTCAAATTTATGACGTGTCAATAAAATTTTGTGTTTTTTTTACAAAACATATATATATTATGTTACAGATGTGTCTTACTTACTTACTACTTAATACTTAATGCAATTTCGCCAAAATTAAAAATTCCGTCAATGTAGTACCAAATAAGCATCGATAGTCGCACGCTCACTGCAACTTGTCACTCACTGCATCTTTTAGGCAACGTTTTGGAATTTAATCTGGCTCATTAAATTTAGCATTTGTATCTACGTAAATTTACCTTACGCATTTGACACCCGTGTATCTGTTATACCTACGCAGCATGTCTAAATATGACGTCATCTGTGAATACAGCCGTGAGTAATTTTTATGTCATTAAATACTTGAGGCTTAGTCATAACCTAGGGACTGTCTGTAACGATCTGACCGGTCTAATATAATAAATAAATTAGAAATAATATAATAATAATAATAAACTGCCTCCGTGATCGAACGGTTACCATGCCGGACTGCCACGCAGAGGTCCCAGGTTCGATTCCCGGGCCGGGAGAAATATTTGTGTGGCCTACATTTAATTCTCTCGTGAGTTTGTATGTAATTTGCGGTGGTCTATGTGTGTGTCCATGGTACCCGCGACAAAGGGTTTCCCTAGTGCGGGGTTATGTTGAGTGTGTGCGTTATTATTATTAATAAAGGATGTTTGATGCCTCGTGGCTATTCTTTTCGCCAGTCGTTTCCAAGTTACTTTTGAATGTTGAAACATGATGATGATGATGTCATCATGTACAATTTTGCAGTTAAAAAAGATAACAATAACGATATACAAATTCACAACTCACAAGATCCCTTGCAGTCTTTCGTGAGCTGAACACATGCGAATACTGGTCTCTTCGAGAGGCAGGTGGCGGGGTTGACCCGTCCAGGTCGTCGCCGCTTAGTTCCTCAGAACCTGGTATCACTGAGGAATGAAACAAATTAAATATTTAATATACGCATACATCATTCACACTTCTATTTCAGCCAAAGTTGGGTAAAAAGAGATTGCGTCTTACATTTGTTCAAAGTTTCATCAAACAAACCATAAAGATGCTTTGCCTGCAGCGATTGCAGACTTACCCTTAAACATATTGAATTAAAGAAATTATTGCACTTGTTATGTTATCTGTGTATACATGTACAGTTACATGTATATATAGTATCAAAAATTATTTAAAATGAAAAGAAATTGACACAACCTCGGTTATAAGAATAACTACTTCAACATATTTATAAGATTTTTTACATAATTTATTTAATGTAATTAAATCACTACAAGGACTTACTTTTAAATCACAATTGACACATTGCTTTTAAAGCAGATATTCCAAGACTTTTTTTTTTCTCATAGACCACTTTCAAAATTTAGCTGGTTCCGGTGAACCCCCTGCAGCTACATTTCTACCATATTCCCAAAACTCGACAAAAAATGTGAAGATTGGATCTAATTATGGATATTTGCAACGCAAATTGCTACGTTCCAACCACAAATAATAGTTTTCGAAAAAAAAGGTGAGAATTTAATTGATTGTGTTGTGAGTGGATGTCACAAAAGTAAAGACACGTTGTACTGAATATGGAATAGGCAAGTTTTTACAAGTAACAGTCGATGAGCTTCTTAAAATATTATCTGCCTGCATTGATCTCATCGATCACTATCGAAAGCAGATAAATTTTCGAGGACGCTTACGAATTGTTAACCCCCATTTTTTTGTCACGCCAACGTAGACCCCACCAACGCCTACGCCAACGTAGTAGAAGACTCGACGGGGAATAAAGAATATTTAGAAGTTACAAATGCCAATTGATATCAATTCGAAATGCAAATTGATTTGTAATTGTAGAGTCAAAGTGAAATACCATTTACCACGCAAAATAGGCGCCTTGACGTCGAGTTGCGGACACCAGCCCGTTGCACCAAGTACCAAGTACCATTACCATTTGCACACTTGCGTGCAGGTTGAATATAATGTACCTAATTTTACTCAAGATCTGTATAAGTACTGTTTTCTGGCAAATAAACGTATTCTTTTCTATAGACGCGAAGTTGGCCGTCTATGGTTCGTTGGATGAGACTTTGATGATGCAAATAAAGCTTCACACCGAACATTGTCTTCAATTTGCTCGAGTATTACTTATTCACAGTGATTGTTTCGAACAAGAACGACAGTAGACCCCCTGATTGGGCAATTGACGTAGATATTTTACTACTTCGATTAGTTTCTTTTTTTAATCTAAATTTAAGAAGTTTTACCGTATATCACGACCGTAATGCCGCTCCGTAACTTAATTTTTAAATCTGAAGTAGTTTTCAATTAGTATAGACAAAATAAAAATAATCCTTTTTAGTTTCGTTGATTGATGAGGCAACGGTGTATATTCCGTAATTACCAAATCTTCCCAAAATTCACACAAATATCTTTGGCACAGCTGCGAACATCTTTCGATTGAAAATAATGATGATAAACCTTAACTAATAACGTATTTAGCAATCTTTTTTTTTATAGACTCAAGTGATGTATATATGTAGTTGTATGTACACTACCTAGTATGTCGGTTTTCTTATTTGTTTATTTATTTATTGTTGAGTTCTGTATTGTTGTCAGTGGTTCACTCGCCCTGACTTGCTGAAAATCAGCGCCACGAAACGGTTTTAAAAAAAGCCTTTTGTGACTAAAGCTGAGGAAGTCCCGATTGCACCAGTCGCGATACGCATGACGGTGAATTAGGTACTGCATTATCAATTGTTTCTATTTAATTTTGTTTATTCTTTTATTATTATTATTATATCATTATTTATTATACAGTAATAACAGTTAATAGCAGTTTTCTTTCTTTCTTTGATGGAATTAACAAATCGTGTGCCTGGTGGTTAGCTACACGCCTGTCTATAACAGTTGCAGTGCTATTCAGAGCTTTAAATCGCAAAGATCTGAGGGGCACTGCCCAATGCGGCCGTCTCCCTAAGACATAAGTTGACAAGTCCCATGAGCCTGTAATTTTATCAGCACCCTTACCCTTCAAAATCGTAACGCTTGGCGGTAAAAATAGGTAAGGTGGCTGTCGCGATTTAGTATAAGTTTTGTAATATCATCATAAATTTAATCTGTTATGATACCTAAGAGTAGGGAACTAACACGGCAGTACAGGCATCTCAAATGAAGGTGAGATATCAGGCATCTGCTGGAAGTGCACTGGTTGGTCGGCACTATAGTTGGTAAGTTCGCACAATGTTTATTACTAACGTAGATACAGTATTTGTTGACTAGACAGCTAGAAAATAGAGTATGACGAATCAGTAACAGAATTAGAATGAGATCGCCACTTGTACTGACGGTACAAGGGGGCATGAAGCGGTGGCAGAGGAAGGGCTGTAGGGGTGTGTGTGGAGGCCTATCATAGGGATCAGAGGATCCTACTAGTTCAGATCCGGAGGATCGATATGAGGTCAAGAACCTGTTAGGACAATTATAGTAGTCCTATGAAGTAGAATAGAGTTAAAAGAAGTGTACAGGAAGAAAGATACTCTATTTAAAGGTTGTTGTGATAGAAAGAATGTCGCATATGTAATTTACATTATGATTGAACCTTAGGCGTGGCGACAGTGGCAATACTTCCCCAGACAAACCCTTTCACAAGGAGCTCTACTGCTAGTAAGCAACTTTATATCATATATTGGTGGAAATGGCGCATTATTTTTAGAGTTGTAATTTTTTTTTAAGTGGGTTTATGCTTGACCTACGCCTGAAGCAGAGGCGAGGTCAAATTATAATTAATTCAAGTCACGAAACTAGTAGTAGTTTTTAAATCGTTATTAATGTACTAACAACTTTTTAAATCGTTATTAAGGAAACTGCAAAGGAAATTATCTACGGCTTACATTTAACCATTTGTGTCAAATTGTTTAGAGTCGTTCGAGGACCATGGTCGAAGAGAACATACTCACCAGGAGGCATAGGTAAGTTCATGATGCCCGACTTCTTTGGCTTATCTGGTTTCTTGACGGGGCTCGGTGAGGGTGTACTTAAAGGACTGTCGTTGGCAAGTGATTTTAAGTCTTCCACCTGTATAATTATTTACACACAAGTGTTTAACATTGTTACGCAAATTATTACGTTAAAATTATAAAAACAAGATATTATAACAACAGTTTTTAATAGAGTTGAGTTAGTTTTTCAGATATTTTTGCTAAAGTTGGCGTTTGTAAGTAGGAATTTTAACTTTCTAGTATATCTATTTCTATTGTCGTTTAGTGCACTCCAAAATTAAATCGTTTTAAGGTCTAAATGTGGTTTTCTACCGCCGAAGCGAGACAAGACGAGGCGAGACGGGAATTGAAATCTTGCCAGCCTATTTCCACCAAAAATTGCCATTAATAGCACGCACGACCCATTGCAATCTCGCGCTATGTTTGTGGATAGTGAAGATTCAGTGCTGACCAGTTCGTCTAGCGATAAACACGCGGTTGAGTAACATATCCCGTAAATTATTATTATTAAATATGTTAACGGAAGAAGAATCAGATGAAGCCATCTTTCATCAGCGCGAACCAGTCATCGTACCTGGGTATTAGGCGGCATGGGCAACTTGGTGAGACTCTTGGGCTTGGGCTTGGGCTGCTGGCTGTTCTGGTGGAAGACGCCCTCGACAACGCTGCCGCACACTTTGGGCAGGGGCGGCAGAGGGGCCGGCACGGGGGGGCAAGGGGTGCCCCGCGAGGGCGTACTGGGTCTCTGCAAACCGTGGCATATATCTTTAGCGATACATCAGTTACAGTGTGCACAGCTGAATATAGGTCATTTAAAGATGCTATTAGTAAATTGGATATACAGCTAAAACATATCGATTCCTCATACGCAAGTTGTTGTAAGTTAAAATATAATTTTTTGCTTTTAAACTTAAATAATCCTTTTTTATGTAAATAAGAGCAGTTACACACGGTAACTTTTAGCAGCGACGCAATTGCGCGTTTGTATCGATGCAGTCGCGGGTGTGTGTAAAGTGTGTAGGCGATTAGCAGCTGCTTCGCGTGTGCATTGCTGCTAAAAAGTCACTGTGTGTAACGGCTCTTATAGGTTCCATATTAGAAAGTAAACATAAACACTAAGTGATTTCTTTACTTTTAAATATAAAACCTATAAGTTGCATTAAAAAAAAAGGATATATTTAAGTTAAAATCCAACAAGGGCGAGGCTGGAAAATTGTTTTTAGTACAGCCGGACTAAAATAAAAAAACATTTGTCTTAACAAGTGGCGCCTTGGGGACAATTAAACACAACACTTATTAGCACACAAGATACCAGTACACTTTATTTCACTGGTTAATTATCGTACACGTAAAACTGAGCACAAAATGTAATAAATTATTTTAAAATATTTAATGATACATGGAAAATTTTAGGCAAGCCGGTGGGAATCGAGTTATATGGACGCCTCGCCACTGAACCAAATAATGGTATTTTGACTTCAACAACTTGCGTGTGAACCGAAATAAATCGGATATGAAAACAAATACTGTCGTAACTCAAAGTTGTGAAACTGAGAAAACAAACGGACAGGATCTTATTACGAATACCGTGATTATTTTTATTTATATATAATATTTAGTTACCTATTTACAAAAGAAATTTTATATTCACTGGTTTCATTCGGTAATTTTTTGAACTTTCAAATCGTGTTCTCTAAAATCTATGGGGGAAAGACATTGACTTACAATTATATGGACGTCGGGTCCGCGCTAAAAAGTGTCCGAACTTATAGGGCGTTAAAATCGTATACAGAGCGTCATTCACGCTTTAGTCTTCGTTTGTTCGACTGACAGCGAAGCAAGCAAAATTAGACAGTACTGCGCTGACATTACAATTTAAATTCAACGTTTTAGCTTTTTCATATTCCTTTACATGTCACTACGTTTAAATAGGTTGACTTGGGACATTTTTTTCGTGGTTTTTGTATTAGACCCGTCGTCCATTTATTTGTAAGTCAATGGGGAAAGACAAATAATGCATCGCAGAAAAGACTGCATATGAACGAAACTACCAACAATAATTGTAACTTTTTTATAAAGACCGACCTTAAAAATTCGAATTACACATATTTGCCAACTTTTATTGAAATCGGTTACCGGAAAGTGCGCGAAACCGGATTCATCCCCTAGAGGTTTAACCCACCCGTAGAGGTGGAATATTTTCTTCAAATTTAAATGGGACCAATACTGAAGGTACCCACTATCCAACAAAAAAACAATCATAAAAATCAGTTCACAACTAATCGCGTGACATACGTACAAAAATAGTCGAGTTGAGAGTCGGTTAGTAAACATTCATTTAATTCGTTTTGGTACTAATAAATATGCATGTATGCTCCCAGCCGATTTCGGCTAAGTCGACCACTTCAGTGCTTCAGCTTTCGTGAGTTCGCATGTGGCTTATGTGCCCAATCTTCGTACCAACAAATACTGAAATATTGTTTTGTATATCTGAACAAAAATAAATATAGGAATCTTTAACAAAGAAATGCCACCACCACCTCAGATTCATTGTTCGGCGCGTCGCCATTAGCGTCAAGCGGCGCTGTGAATTCAGGTGGCGGCAGCATAGGCAGCTGCGGCTTCGACTCCTCGCCTGGCAGCGGTACTGGCAGGGGAGTTATGTCTGGTTGAATTTCTTTCGGTACTTCGCCGTTCTCTTTAAATGGCTGGAAATAAATAATAGAAGTTAAAACCAGGCCCTGAACAATTCCTTTCAGAAATAGAAAGAGACATGAAGACGACTTCATTAGTTGGAGCCGCCTTGAAAAGAAACCACAGGCAGTTATTACAAGAATTACAAACGTAGTTCAAAGAATATGTAATTGAATTGCGCCCTAACATTACGCCCGATTTACATTATATACTCCTGGAAACAATGCTTGATTGATCAAAATCTATTATGCAACTTTGACATTGGTATACTAAACGTGATTTCCTTAAGTCCTTATTAAAAATTTAAATTTAAAAAACCGGAGAAAACTTTTTCTTCGACGATAACTATATTTTTATATTCTTGCACTTTAAGGATAAAAATGCAAGGTGGCTCCAATTATGTGTCCCGGAGTGTATTTATTAGTAAGAGAGTAGCATTATGAACAGTTCAAACTCCAACTCCAATAATGTTTATTTCATAGGAAGCAAATCGACCCCTCCTACGTATAGGATCGTATGTCGAAATTGCCAAATTTACAGGGGAGTATTTTACAGTTCTGAATTCTGAATTAACTGCCTCCGTGGCCTAACGGTTACCATGCCGGACTGCCACGCAGAGGTCCCAGGTTCGATTCCCGGGCCGGGAGAAATAGTTGTATGGCCTACAATTATTTCTCTCGTGAGTTTGGATGTAATTGGTGGTTGTCTATGTGTGTGTCCATGGCACCCGCGACACAGGGTTTCCCTAGTGCAGGGCTATGTTGAGTGTGTGTGTGTGTGCGTTATTTTTTTTTTTTCCCTGTAAACTTGGCATCTTCGACATACGATACTTTACGTAGGAGGGGTCGAAATTACACTTGAAATTGTCATAATGATTAAACTCTACTGCTCATTCGTAATGCAGATTCTCCTAAGAATGAGCAAAGAAACTCTAGGGGTTGCTCTTTGTAAATATACAAATATCATTTACAATATTTATTTCAAACATCTTAGACTACCTGCAAGAGCTAAACGGGGCACTACCACGGATTGTCAAAATTTGGTAATTTTTGCGATGGTGTGGTGAACCATGAGAGGAAATGCGATTTATACATACTAGTGAGCTGTTATCGAGTGTGGAGTTGGAGAGGTCATCTGCAGGTGCTTCGGGGTTGGCCGACGTCGTCGATGCCGCACCCTGTGACTCATCCTCCTTCTGACTCAGGATCTCTTGCAGTTTCTGTAAGAACAAGAGAGATTTTCAAATCGTCCTTAAGTCTAAAAAGCAGCGTAAGCCCGAAGGAAAAATGTACATATGTAAACACTGTATGTATATAATTTTACCACCATGATACTCAACTATTTTTTTGTAAAATGACTCCACTAGTTTTGTTACAATTGTTAATTCAAAGATCGAACACTAAGAACGATTCTTTCGATCCGATTAGATTTGAACCAGAGTCTTCAGCATACAAAGCCGACGCTTTCCCGACTGAACGAACCGGCAGATCTTACGAATTTGTCTATGTGGTTGTTGACGTGATGAGACGAAGAAGTCGCGGGCCTGATGATAGCTACCTGTCCATAACAATTACAGTCAAGATCTGAGGTTGCATTGCCACTGCGCCCGTCACCCTGAGACATAAGTTGACAAATCCCATGTGCCTGTAATTTCACCAGCACCCTTACCCTTCAAAACCGGAACACTGTAATGCTGATATTACTGCTCGGCAATAAAAAGAGGTAAGGTGGCAGCACTTCTCTGGATGACCTCATTCACAAGGGCTCTACTGCTACTGTATCTTCGTATCCCAATGGAAGACAAGGGCGACGATAAGTATGAATAAATTATGAAAGTAATTTACCTTAGCTCTCTTGTGCTTATCCTTGACGAGTTCAGCGAACAGACTGGTATCGCTGATTTTCTCCTTGAAGTCGATCTTGCGCTGCAGTAATGTGGTCGGAGGACTAGGGGAGTGCTTGGTTCTAAAAGAAATGTAAAAAAAAACATCCTGTACTTGTATGATGCCGATCGAAAGTGTAAATTAGAATGGATTAATTCCTTACAAGCAACATTTCATTAAAATTATCATAATAATAATAACGCATACACGCAACATAGGCCCTCACTAGGAAAACCCTGTGTCACATATAGGCAACCACAAATTCCGAGACAAATAAATGTAGGCCATACAAATATTTCTCCCGGCCCGAGAATCGAACCTGGGACCGCTGCGTGGCAGTCCGGCACGGTAACCGTGCGCCCACAGAGTTAGTTTAGATTGGTTTGATTCCCAGATGATATGAGATAACTTTAAAAAAATCTTTGATTGTAACAGTACTGTTGTTAGCATTGCTACTTTCAAAAATAATATCTTCATAAAACAAACTATCCTATCTACAATATTTAAAACACTTTCCTCTCGGCCTAGTAGTAAAGGACACGCCTGTCCATACCAGGGAGTACTCCTGCACAAAGAATCTCCTCCTTTTTTCGAAGTCGATTAAAACATCGATTAGAGCAAATCTTTTTTTTATTTTTATAATACTAAGTGACGTGACGAACAAGCTACACGCCTGTCCATACCAGTTGCAGTACTACTCTGAGCTAAAATCTCAAAGATCTGATGAGCAATGCCAATGCGCCCGTCACCTAGAGACATAAGTTGACAAGTCGCTGTAATTTCACCAGCACTCTTTTCCTTCAAAAGCAGAACACAGTAATAATAATAATAAATCGCTTATTTTCTTGGAAGAATTATTTTTATATCAAGGGGCGGGTCACGTGTTATGTTCGTTTCTGTGAATTCAGAATTTTAAAACGCTCCGCTGTAAACTTGGCAATTTCGACATACGATACTTTACGTGGGAGAGTCGATTTCATCGGTAATTAAATATAAAATGTAATTTTTTAACTTTCGTCCATTATGGCAAAGCTCAAGTCAAAATGGTCGTTTTAAAGTGAAACAATTGACAACACCCGTCAGTTGATTCGAATTCGGGCTGGCTAATCGTAGCGCAGTTGTCACCGTAATGATTTGGCAGAATAATTTTCAAACAAATTAAATGACATTTCGTCTCTATTTCTGGTTATATACTCGATGTCTGAGTGGTACTGTCACGACGCCCGTCACAATATTATTTTAAGATCATAAAAAAGCCATAACCCAGCTTAAGAATATTGAAATTGTTTCATGATATTTCAGCTATGCATGGTTAGGGTAGGTTCCGGTAAGTCGAACATGACTAACTATTTTTAACTGTTTCGAACATTGACTTACAAATGAATGGACGACGGGTCTAATACAAAAACCACGAAAAAAATGTCCCAAGTCAACCTATTTAAACGTAGTGACATGTAAAGGAATATGAAAAAGCTAAAACGTTGAATTTAAATTGTAATGTCATCGCAGTACTGTCTAATTTTGCTTGCTTCGCTGTCAGTCGAACAAACGAAGACTAAAGTGTGAATGACGCTCTGTATACGATTTTAACGCCCTATAAGTTCGGACACTTTTTAGCGCGGACCCGACGTCCATATAATTGTAAGTCAATGGTTTCGAAAAGAGAATTTTGTGCTCTATTTTTTTTTATTTAAAATGGATATTTGTCACCATTTGTCACTTAGCATATAAGCTGACTAGTCCCATATACCTGTAATTTCACCTTCTTACCCTTCAAAAATAGGTGCCGTGGCAATACTTCTTTGGACTAACTCTTTAAGAAGGCGCTGTACAGCTACTAAAACATATCCATGGGACGTCCAGTATATTTCTGTGTTTAATAGACACGCTTATTGTTATACCTGTGTTTATCCCTCGAAGGGTCCCGATGGCGGGGCCTGTGCCGCGGCGGCGAAGCTGTCGAACCGCGCCGCCGGCCACGAGACGCCGACCGCCGTCTCTTCAGAGAACTCCTACTATGTGACCTGTATTCAAAATAACAATAAGACACCGTATTCCGTGTTAATGCCTCATCCAAACAACGGCGGCGTGGCATGTGCTTAATAACTAGATATCGAAATAGAATGAGTACATTTAGATAAACTTGATACATTTAGAGTGGATAATACCTCTCACTGAAATACCGGAGTAAATTAATAACTTGTAATGCCCAAATGAGGTTCATAATCATAGCATGTACGACATATTAACATGATTATACAGGGTTATTTGTGAAACAAACTCGTAGGGCTATATTACTAACATCATAAACAACTTATGTTTCATGATTTTTTACAAAACATAATAAGTTTACCAAAATTAAACGTTTAAAGTTTTTGTTGTACTATCTGACAATTTTTGGATCTATATTTGGTATAAGTACAAGAGACGATTACCACCCCCGCGCCTGAGTTTTGCATCGGACTGGTATTTACACTACGTTTTCTTTTGTAACCGCATAGTTATCACCGCTCCGAACGATTTAAATCCTCACACTTATCGCTGTTAAGAGCATAGGTTCCCAAGTTTTTGGCTCCCCGCCCATTAAGGCAAGATAAAAAATATCAAGGCCACGCAACCACAAAAAAAATATTGAAAACACGAATTATTTTTTATATATTAACTTAACACAAACAAGTAATACTTATATAGACAATTCAATATATACTTTATATAGATAATTCAATAATTCAGGTTTTTTTTTTTTTCAAATACGATAGCACCCCGTGAACAGCATCAACGCCTCTCAAATGCTTCCGAAGCCCCTACCGGTACGACTCTTCAGCACTTTGACCAGAGACCACTTTGAGAAACTATGGTTTAGAGCGATCTACATAAATATTTTTTTACGTACTAAAAATCCGATGAATTAATTACTAAAAGTCAGACTCAAAGATGTAGTGATATTTTTTTTTATAATATCAATCGACGGGACGAACAAGTTGTGAGCCTGATGGTACACGCCTGTCCATAACAGTTGTAGTGCCACTCAGAGCTTTAATGCCACTGTGCTCGTCAACCTGAGACATAAATTAACAAGTCCCATGTGCCTGTAATTTCACCAGCCGCCTTACCCTTCAAAACCGGAATACAGTAATGTCAATTGGCGGCAGAAATAGGTAAGGTGGCAATACTTCCTTGGACGAATTCTTTCACAAAGAGCTCTACTAAAATCTAGATATCAAGATAATCCTGTGAGGTTATTAGTATTTTACAAGTAACTCCTGTACAAATAATTCCGATGAAAGTTATCTCCTTGCCACGAGAATATTAAAATATTTGTGTAAACTTGTTATACAAGTTTACTTTTCTTATTATTACTAAAGAGAGGTCAGGCCAAGAGCAACCCTAACCGACGAGCATGTACGAAAGTACTGCCTACCCGGATGGGAAACGGCCGTCAAGTTTGTCGATTCATCCGAAGAACAAAGTCCGATGTGATTGTTAGCGAAAAGAGAATATGTACGTCACGAGAATAATTTCGTTATTCAAACTAAGACCTATGTAAAGGTGTTTTGAGAATTTATATATCTTATTTCGTTTCGGAAATATAAAATCGAACAACAGTCGATCTGACATCCACAGCCAAGAAGAACGAACGAAATGTACTATGTCCTGAAAACAAGTATACTTACAAATAGGTCTTTGTTCTATGGATAAGTCGATAAAAAAAAAGCCCCGCACTATTGAACACCCTCGGATGCCATGGACACACACATCGATAACCATATATTACACCTAACACCACGAGAGAAATAAATGTAACCAGTACAAATATTACTTCCGGCCCAAAAATCGAACCCGGGACCTCTGCGTGGTACACCAGCATAGCAACCGCTCGGCAACAGAGGCAGTTAAAGTTAATGTGTATGTATATGATAAAAGAGCATGACAGAAAATAGACAATATGCCTTCAATGTTTGGCCGGGCACTGTGAAACTATACTTGTTCTGGAGCCTTACCATGAACTCTTATTACGATTCAGTTTAGGTCTAAAATGGATCGTTGTGAGACAGCGCTACAAGAAGTGTATATCACCATCTCGCTTTTTTTGTCGTTACGAACCTATACTGAACTGTAATAAGAGTTCATGGTAAGGCCCCTGTTATTGTAACAGACTGTGTTACCAGAAATAAATGAATTGTGAAATCCGGTAATAGAGAAAAAAATATATATTGCCAAGATTACCGCATTTGTTTAAATGAGACCCATAACTCGGTGTAAATTAAAGCATAAATATAAGAGGGCACAAATCATTTAACACTTATGCACACTATAATACACACGCATGCGTAAGCTAACACAAATACAAATAGACACTACACTATACTGGTACAATCACATGCATTAATATGTATTCATGTAGCGAATATAAAATCATAACATAAATAATTTCATAAAAATTTTGTCATTTGCAAAAAAAAAATTGTTTCAATGTTTCGTTATTTAGCTCTATAATAATAATTTTCTCCTAAAAATTTTACATTACGTTACATGACGCATTTCAATTTTTAAGAGAAAATTATTATTATAGAGCTAATTAAATTTTAGGTACAATTAACAATGAATTTATTATATTTTACAAAATGAGTTCGGTTACTAAAAGTAGCATGTATCGCAAACTGTCCTCACAATAATATTGGCCGATTCAAACACTGTCGTAAACAAAGATCAACGTCTTACGAATTAGGCGAAAAAATCATCTACTTTTTATTCATGGCAAACGCGCCAAACGAACTACCCCCATTACAGTTTTTACAAAAAACTTATTGTAATTTCTTTATTGTATACGTATTAATGTACCAGACTGTACACTGCTATATTTTGTAGCTACGAACGCAATAAAAATCTTACATAAGGCAGCAAAAGTAAAAACTTATCTAATAGCAAGAACGTGCAATTTTATAAATAAAATACTTTAGGTCCTAATTTTGGAAAAAAACATCATATTAAAATAAGCAGCTATAATAAATACTTTATCACTAATCACTACACAATAAAAACACGAAGCAACAAAACGATTCGATTAATGTTTATTACACACCGTTGAATTTTAACTTGATTAGAGCGATAGGTCGGCAAAATTAAGACGACGTAAATTTGTAACAGCGGTCTACAAATTATATTTTTAAACATCATAAAACAATAATTATTTTACACATTTACGTTACAACCCATTAACATACGATACTGAAAATTCACTAATAAATATTATAAAACTTTATTTGTACAGCTTTATACAGAAGTTATGTCAGACGGAACCAAGTTAATGATGGTTTATTTTAAATATTACGAATATTAAGCCACTTTTTTATTTTCGACAAAATTGTATATTTCTGGTGCCATACCAGGCAACATCCACGGAAATTTAACACAAAAAGTGGCACCGCACCTATTCAGTAGGGCGGACCCTACTAAGGAACTATATGAGATTATTTAATTAGTGCCGTAATATAGAACACTGATTTAAATATGTTATAATTCAGCCGATATATCAGATTTAATATTGATATTCGATTTCACTGGCCGTGTCCGAAGGGTGCGTACAGATCTGCCGAATAAGCCGCGAACGCCCTGCATGTGCGCTGCGCACGCACTGCACACGCGCTGCACGCTGCTGCGTGCAATTAAATATATGTTAATATATGTGCGAACGGTACGCGAACAGATTACACAACGTAATAACGTGTAATGTTCGTTTGCAGCTCATGGCCCTTTCGCAAACAGGCGCATTTGCCAGATCTGTACGCACCCTAACACAGATTCGCGAAATGTGACATGTGTCATTCTAATCAAGCAAAATTTTACGGAATATAGTTTTGTTGAAAATATTAATGCCTACAAAGTTCAAATGCTTTATCAATAATTAATTACTACACAATAAAAACACGAAGCAACGAAAATAATTCGTATATAAGTACTTTCGTTGCGTTCGTGTATAGGCAATGCAATCACACTTTGGCAAAAATTTACGTAATTATCATCAACAAACCTCGGTGGTTCTTCGACTTTTTTCTCGACCCTTTAGAGAAAAATATTTACAATTCAGTATAGTGATTTAAAGTTAAAAAATATACACAAATTATGTCTGATAAAATTCAAAAATTTTTTTATGATATAATAAGGTGACGAGACGTACAAGTTGTGCGCCAGGTGGTACGCGACATGCCTATCGAAACAGTTGCAGTGCCACTCCGCCCGTCACCCTGAGACGTTGACAAGTCCCATGTGTCTATAACTTCACCAGCATTTTTACCCTCCAAACGCAGTAATGCTCACATTACTGCTTGGCGGCAGAAATAGGTAAGATGGCAGTACTTCCCCGGACGATCTCTTTCACAAGGAACTGTACTGCTTCCACATTTTGCAATTACATTTAGCCCACCCCTTTGCAGGTAATACAATTGTATAAACAGCAGTGTGTTACCTGTGCGAGACCCGCTCGCGGCTGCGGTGGCGGTCGCGCTCGCGGCTGCGGCGGTGGCGGCTGCGCGGGCTGCGACTGCGGCGCCTGTGCGTGCGCCGCGGGCTGTACTCGCGACGAAGTGGTTCGTGAATCGGAGAGTCTAAGACGTCAAAAGCCTTTGTTATTGAGATGTCTAGAGAAAGGTACGCGCTGCAGACTATCCGCCCGGGACGTATACACTTCTTTTATCAACAGATAAGGCTTGCCATACATGTTTACTGGTTACATGGAGTGTGATTCCGCGTGCATAAATTCAACCGCGTATGTTTCTCCATATCCGTGCTTACCCCATATAGACCAAATTATTTAAATTGAAACTGAAAATGCTATATTTTGGTGACTACGTAAGTGAAACCGAAGTAAAAAAACATGCTAGTTTCTGTAAAGGATTTATGAGCGTTTAAATATAAATAAACGACAAAGCAATTATTATTAACAGAGATCGGATTACAGACATAAGAGTACCTCCCTCTGATATCCCGGAATACCACAAATAAAAGATGTTAACACTTTTTTTAAATTTTTATTGAATTGATATTCAATTATTTTTTTTGAAATTACTCCACTAGTTTGTTATAATTATTAATGCAAAGATCGAACATTCAGAAAAAACGTTAACAAGATGTTAACACGTTAACTGCTATGTCGGACAAGCATGGCTGTTGGTGGTGAATGTTTTTCATATGGACCGCATCGGACAATGGTGATCGAAACGACATACATCAGTTTGAATCTCACACAAAGTACTTAATATCTCAAAGTTATGGGGAAAAGTGTGTATTTCCAATAAAATTTTGTTTGCTACTGCTAATGCAATTAGAAATAGAGACGAAATGTCATTTAATTTGTTTGGAAACTATTCTGACATATAATTACGGTGACAACTGCGCTCCGATTGGCCAGTCCGAATTCGAAACAATTGGCGGTTGTCGTCAATTGTTTCACTTCAAATCGACCAGTTTAACTTTAGCTTTGCTACAATGGTCGAAAATTGAAAAATTACATATTAATAATTAATTAGCGATGAAATGTGATTCCGTTTGTTTTGTAATTAATGTTTTGCTGTTTTTCCCACACCACCGAATAGAACAGCCCAGTTAGAGATATTTATAATCTTCATTACAATAAATACAGAAGACAGACGTACACAGGTCAGTTGCTGGCGCTGTATTATTTCAGCCTACTAATTTGTGATTCCAGTGCAAACGAAAGTTGATATTTAAAAGTGATATAAGGCTCATTTGCCTGGTGAGTTGCCAGGGAAAAATGGCTATTTAGATCGGATATTTCGTCTCTATTTCTGGTTATATACTCGATGAGTGGAATACAACAAATGAAAGCCAAAAACCTAAATAAAATACTTATGTTTTATACTTACAAAACTTCTAAATACACTACCCAAGTAAAGGTATCGCTAGTTACATTTCGAAAACACAAATATAACAAAACGCTATCTATAACAATGATACTGGGATTTCAGAGAAAGGTACATATGCGTGTTAACTACCTTGAATTTTAAGCATAAATATATACTCTGCCTTTTCCGATCTGTGTTAATTAAGTGCAGTAACTTATTTAGCTATCATAGTCAAAGGTTCATGCATTTTCAAATACTATGTAAATTCCACGAGCAAGTTAGATGTAAGTTAGATGCAGGATCACTGGCTTTATTCCATAATTCTTTTACAAACGAAATTAAAGATAGGAAATGAAACTATTTTTCCGGATTTAAATCGCGTATATTTGTTTTTTTAAACAAACCGACGTTTCGTTTCAGTCAACCGTGACCATGGGACCTGTAAAGGGCCCGAAACGTCGGTTTGTTTGAAAAAACAAATATACGCGATTTAAATCCGGAAAAATAGTATCATTTCCTATGTGTAACAATCGCGAAAACCTAAGAACTCGAAATTAAAGATATTTGAAAAACGTATATAGTATTAATTAAATTTTTATTGAATTGATATTCAATTATTTTTTGTGAAATTACTCCACTAGTTTGTTATAATTATTAATACAAAGATCGAACACTCAGAAAAAATTCCTTCGATCCGGTCGGATTCGAACCGACGTCTTCTTGCATACCGTGCCAGACGCTATACCAACTAAGCCACGGAACGAACCAACAGACCTCACGAATTTTTCTATGTGCTTGCGTCGTGTCTTTGTACTTGGTCTTTCAACGACTTTTTAGTCGTAGCGCCCATCTATGAGAAATCTTTACATAACGTAAAACGTACATAGTATCTATACGTGTTCTATTCAGTTCAGGTGATATTTTAAAAAATCATTGGTATATGTAAATTGAGCACAGCGGTTTTCCCGTTAAATTTCGAGGTAAGTTTGTTTTTTTTTATCGTGAAAATTTTAAGGAATTGTGTTTTCACACTATACTAATCTTATACTACATATTTTTTCCAAAGTGGTTGCTCAGCACTCACTGTCATACGGAATCAACCAAAGCGACTTGAGGTAGCAATCGTCTCTTAAGAATTTCGTGTTAAGGTTTGTATTAAATTGTTTTGCATACAAAATTAATGATGGATATAGCGCCTAACAAAAGACCCAAAATTTCCTTCTGTCTAATGCTAAAAAGACGAAAAATAAATTTTAGAAAATATTTCTTAGGGCGAGCTGATGTCTGTGTCTACATAAGTAGACACTTTGCAACTGGTATTTTAGTAATCTTGCATATACAGGATGCCAATGTCACGCATACTTGCTCGTGGGCCCACTATCCGCTTTCTACTATTAGCATGCACTAGGTACAAAACTATACTTACGCTTACCAGAAATTATCATGATAGGTGACTGATGTTGGTCGTAATAGTCGCGGCGGCGATCGTACTCCGGTTCGTTGTCAGAGTCGATCGTCACTGTGTCGTGGTACGGGGGCGCCACCGGTGTGTGTGGGGTCATAGATTTCTGTCGCCTTCTGAGAAAAAATATACGGTTAAGGGGCGCATTTCCATTATGTCGTGACGATAGATAGTTAAAGTGTGTTGTTCACATATACCGTCGTCTTAGAGTGAAAACCTCACATGTGATTTCTATGTAACTTTCAGAATGAAGATAAAAATATGGTGTAACATGTAATCAAATAACGTTTGAAGTTAGCATTTTAATTAGTTTAATTATACCTCTTTCTGATATTATATTATTTTTATTTATTTTTTTCAATAAAAATCAGTAAAAACGAACTGCGTGCGAACGCGTTAAAAGTTTTCACTCTAAAGCGACGCTATACATATTACTAACAGTACAACACGATTAACTGTCGTTCACGTATTTTAACGTTACGACGACAGACTATCAAGACAATGGGAAGAGCTAGAACGACAGTCGTCAAACGATAAATAAGACGTCATGATAAAAATGTGACGACAGATAACCGCAGTTACTATTGTCGTAACGTTTCATATACCGTTGTCTCACATATGCAAACAAGGCGGTTGTCGTGAAACGATAAAAAAACCACGACACAGTCAAGACAGATAGTCGTGATATGGAAACAGGCTAGACGCGACCGTCGTCCAACGATAAATAAAAACTTACGACATAATGGAAACGCGCCCTTAGGCGTTATTCTATTACTCCAGTCCTATAATTCGTGCCCTATAGCAAGAATGGACGTAACTTTAAATTTTAAAAGAGAAAAGTTATTTACTTAGTTCACAATTCAGATTTCATGCATGTCAATTTTCATCGAGTTAAAGGGACGAATATATGATCCAGACGATAGGTGCAAGTGGAGAAACGAAAACGAACGGTGAAGTCGTAATTTGCTCGAATTGTTGACGACCGATCTATAAAATACACAAAATCGATCGTCTGCTTCTTACACATTTACTCGGATGTTGTCTGATCACACATCGATACATCCAATGAACACTACGTCAACTTAATTTTGTGGTCATTTTTGTTTTTAATGTAAACAGCCTTATTTTAATGTAAAGGAGCGACATCGGTTTAGTCCCGTTATCTCCGCTAAAAATCCACATTAACGTGGAACATTTCATATATGTCTTAAATCAAACATAGCTCAATAAATGTTGACTCGTTGATGACTATACCCATCTCAGCTGTGACCATGGGGCCGAAACGTAAAGGGTCCGAAACGTTGGTTGGTTTTAACAAAACAAATATACGCTATTTCGATCGCGAAAACCTCAGAAATCGATATATTGTACATTTATTCAATTGTATAAAAAAAAAATCAGAAACCGAAACTAGGATAAACGGATTTTTATAGATAAATATCACACGGGCGTGCACACAAGGATGATCTAATCTAAAATAAAAAAATAAATATGTGCCTCTACCACGAGTTTACTGTGACAGTACAGCTACCACGATAAGGCGCGAAATGCGCGAAAGCGACATAAAGAGCGAGAATACAGTATCTCGCGCTTTATGTCGCTCTCACGCTAGTCGCACCCTATCGTGCTAGCCTTGCAGATGTAGCTAGCGACCGCGTAAATCACTTCACAATTTCGTGTGACAAATTTTAAACACACACACAAGAAGAAACAACCTTTTGTATACAAACATTTTACGCGGTCGCTAGTAAGCTATAACCGTCATTGTATTCCCATAGTATAGGCAATGACCTAATAAGTTGTTTTTGCTTTGCTCCATGAAGCATAGAAATGTTGACATTAACGAAGACAACAGGAGTAAACTTAGCATTCACAAATTAGCTTTCTCAATTAAAACATGCTTAGATTTTAAATCCAATAAGCATATAACGCGTAGGAAAAATGGTATACAGATAAGCGTGCAATCAAGCGTGTTATTGAAATAGGTTAAAGTACAAAGTTAGTTACCGTATATCAGTAATTGTTATGCTAGACATGAAAAAAAACATTTAAATTGTTAATTAAGTAATGGAACGTTTACATACTGTTACAACATCAGGGACAGACCATGGCGCATGCACAGTTACATTATTTACGTCGATTGCGTTTCGATTTCTAAATTAATCATCATAATCAATAATTTTAATAAATTTTAAGGAAATTAATATGTTAAGTTGTGACGGGTGGGACAAGATTTTGTGACGGGTGGGACAAGATTTTGTGACGGGTGGGACGAGTTACAATTGAATACACAGAATTAATAAAATTACACTGTTTAATATGAGATCCATCGTTAGTAAGCCAATATTTTATAATTTTTGTCTTATTAAAACATTTTAACATAAAAAAAAAACAGAATTAAAGAACTGATAAAGTAATCCTATTATTTTTCTTGAAACACTGTCTATGACGACATGAAATCAAAGTCACGCATGCAAAGTGCGTTAATAAAATTTGAAAAATCCTGCCTTGAAGATAATCTATCATATCAAAATATATCAAATTTTAGAAGTTTTGCTCAAATATATAGTTAAAACTAGTGGAGACAGACTTTTCATGAATTTCCTGATACTTAAAAATCATCAGGAAAAATGTTGTCACTTTTTAATTGACTTTTTTTATGTGTTAAAATGTAATTATGAGAAGAATTATAAAAAGTTTGCTTACAAATGATGGATCTACTTATAAATGTGTATTTTTTTAAATTCTGTGTATTCAAATGTAACTTGTCCCACCTGTCACAAAATGGTGTCCCAACCGTCACAATTTAACACATCAAATGTTAAACTCTGAAATTAAAGTAACTGTTATACCTAGTAAACATCGTAAAAACTCGAATCCATGAAAATACAAACATTTATTCAAAGTAAAAACGTTTAGAAGTGTGTCCCACCGATCGCTGTGACGGGTAGGATACTCTTTCAAATCTTAATATTTACATTCCTATTTTCGTGCGCAAAGCCCAACCAAGCCACAATAATGACCCTTAGCTTAATTGTTACTTTTACAAAAGCAAATGCCAATAGATTCATATTTATTGGTTAAAATAAAAATATATATGTTCATTGTGACGGGTGGGACTTTTTTAATAACTCCTCACCATATATACTTCCATGCATACACTTATCACTGTTTTAAAATTCGTAAATTGTATTTTCCTCGACAGTAATGACTTTTTAGAAAGACGCACAAATAACCGCGAAAATTGTTGCTAACATTATAGGAGAAAAATGCTTCACTATACACGACAGCACTGTGGCTGCGTTAATGTAGACAAATAATACAATAATTGTACAATATCCGAAAAATCTCATTTATTTCTAATGATTTGATTTATTGTGCGTACCTATTCTAGTCATACAATTAAAACCAAATTGTGTAATTTATTTTTTTGAACCACAGTGACATTTTCGCTGGAATGGCCCATATCTAATATGGCGAGCACCGTGACGTCACATTTTTAAGTCATCGCGAGAGCCGCGACCAATGACTGCAAAAGATTAATACAGTGCCAAACATGGCTGCAAAGTCACAGCTGATTATAAAACATTTTGACAGTTCTAAACAGTAATTTTATTAACGTATAAATTGAGCGCGACAAACGAGATGAAAAGAAAATAAAAACAAACAAAGTATATATACTATTGGATAAATATATAAGAACATTTTAATGCAGTTTAATACATGAGAGTAATTAGAAATACGTAAATAGAAACGTAAAAGATTTGTAAACTACGAAACCCTGACATTTTCTGTTTCATCGTTTTCATTCGATTTCACGTCGATGATTAAACGACAAAGATATAGAGACAAATATGCAATGTCATATCGTTATCCTTGTTCTTCAAAATGCATATCTAATAATTCATTACCAAATAAGCAAATTCAGCTCTATCAACTGAAATTAATATTGTCACGGGGAGGTTTATCACATATATACTGCCACAGATATGTTAAAACTCAATTTCACAAAAAATGACGATTAAGTTAGTTATTATAAGGCTGCTAACAGATTGACTGCACGTTTGCAGTTAATGAGTGAAGTCGTAATCAACTTCATGCAGCTGAGATCACGTCTAAATGAAGCTGACAACAACTTCAAGCATTAACTGTATGCAGTCCATTTCGGCTGCATGAAGTCGGTTTCGATTGCATGAAGTCGGTTTCGATTGCATGAAGTCTGTTTCGACTGCATGCAGTTAATGCGTGAAAGCATTATTCGACATCTGGACTGCATGAAGTTGATAATAATATCATGCATTAACTTCATACGAGTACATTCGATCTCGGCTGCATGCAGTTAATGCATGAAGTCGTTATCAACTTCATGAAACATATCTTTCTACGTTAGTTTTGAATATAGTCACCCTCCCTACCTACCCTTAGGGCATACGAGAAGGACACTATAACCTGTGCGCGCACGGGAACCTTACAAATTCAGGTTCTGACCCCCGATCAGCCAGTGTACAGGGTTCTCACATACTTCATAAGGTTCTTCAAGAGGCTAGTGCCTCCCTATTTTCCACATAGGTACCGGAGGTGTAGGCACGCTCACTTCCCGTTGCGCATTCCACAAGTAGCAGTTGCCACCGCTAAGCCGTCGACTCTGAGTCCACTACCAAATCTCCTCATTGGTGGCGGAGCTGTAAGACACGCTCACTTCCCGACGCCGAAAAACGACGTCTCTCCAGTTCTCAATAACCTAAGCTGCTGGAGGGACCGGATATCTAGCTTCTCCTCCACTAGTTCTCCGGGCTAGTGCCGGAAATGCCAGTCGCAGTGTCCTGCAACAATGTCCGGACATAGCTTCCAACTTAAAGCGCAACTCATGTCTCTCGCGCGTCTCCTCGCTTCAGGTCCTCAACTAGACCGCTACTAAGACGCGCTAGCTGCTCACGAGACAGACGCCCCGGACACATGCAACCGGGGCAGACAAATATGTCCGTCTCTTCAGCTAACCACAAACCCCAGCGAGTCCATACCCAAGTCCGAGTCCGCCAGAGACGTAGTAGTAGCAAAGGCGCATCACTGGCGGAGGGCTTGACCCGGACGCCCGCTATACCTTGATCTTGCCGTCGAGCCCGTAGTCTCTCCAGAAAACCCTATCTCTCAGGTCAGTAGATAGGGACTTCATGCAGTCGAGATCTAGGATAACGACTCCACGTATTAACTGCACACACGCAGTTAATCTGTTAGCAGCCTAAGGAGGGCAGAATTACTAGGCAGAGTCAGCGAATGCAGTAAAGTCTTGATCTCACGAGCTTTACACATCAAACTAGCCTCCCCACACTAAAGTATTTCTTACCACAGTAGAGCTTCAACGGAGTGTATTGTCCACTGTAATGAAACCATGCTGGACATTGACTTACAATTATAAGGACGTCGGGTCCGCGCTAAAAAGTGTCCGCACTTGTAAGGCGCTAAAATCGTATACAGAGCGCGACACTCCGCTTTAGTCTTCATTTGTTCTACGGACAGCGCGATACTGCGATGACATAACAATTTAAATTTCGAATAGGTTGACTTGGGACATTTTTTTCGTGGTTTTTGTATTAGACCCGTCGTCCATTTATTTGTAAGTCAATGATGCTGGACCTACGTAATCGATGTTAACTACACAGGACAACTATGCTGCCGATGTACATGACCTATACGACATGTGACATTTATTTAACAAAGCAGTTGTAAAATATAGCCTGATTCCAGTGAAGTTTAATTTTTAACCGACTACAAAAAAGGATGAGGTTCTCAATTTGACTGTATTTTTTTTTTTTTGTTACGCGATTACTCCGCCAGTGGTTCCATTCCAATTTGAAGAAACTCTATTTACATTACACCTCTAAGGGTGACAAATTAAAGGATGAATCCAGTTTAATGAATTTCACCCACTTTCCGTTAACAGATTTCAATAAGACTTGGCGAATAGGTGTAATTCCACTAACTTTTGAGGTCGGTTTTTTTATAAAATAGTTATAATTATGTATTAGGTATGTAATGTTATTGGTGAGACCATAGCCATAAATAAAGACGAACAGTTAGACCTTATTGTAAAACACAAATTAGGAAATAATATCAGGGCTGGCGAGAAATCATTGTCACCATAATTGTTAAGAAAGAACTACATGTCGTTACAAATGTAATACATTCGTGGACATATTTAAAGAAACGCTAATAAAGGTTTAATTATGATAATGTTCATGTAAACCACTGGCCACATACATACCAGAATGAAAAATTTTAAAAAACTTAAACAAACATTCTAGTATATGTTGCCAGAGGTTACATGTGGAGATTTTTTACATAATTATACCATATTACACTGTACCGCGCAATGTATATGAAGTTCATAAAAGTAAAATTGCCTCATCACGAAAAGTTACAAGAGTCCAAAGTACCAAGCGCACATAGCATCAAAGCAAGTAAACACGTAGTGCCTTTAGCCGGTGTCAAGGCGCGTCGCGTGTCCTTTACAATGTTTCTTAAACTTTACCCAGTTGGTGAATTTTTGTATATAATATTGAAATTTCATTCAATGTGATGCCATCTAGCGACTATAGCTAAAAAACGACAAACGCCTATTAACGTTCTCCATAAAAAAAGTCGAGCATATTGCAGCAGTATACTTTCGTTTCTTATAGCAAAAAAAATCTATTGCGATAAATAGAAAATGGAAAATAATAAGACTTAACGATGATACGAAACCCCACAGTGGATAACAATACAGGTGCGACTACCATTTATAAACTCTAAAGTAGTAAAATAAGGCACTTTTTCACAAATTTTTGACACAACCATAACGTACAAGCGAAAATAGCGGACTGGGCTCAAGTAAGTGGAACTCCGCGTACTATTGGCACACGTGTCACACCCACTAAGCACTTCTGTGTATTTATTGTTCTGTAAGTGGTTCAAATGAGCGTAGATATCATAATTGAAACATGTTTAACGTTCCTCAAAATATGTCCAGGAGTATATTTCTGCCATCAGAATGAAAAAAGGCACAACTGTTGTACAAAGTACGCATAGATGCGCCTTTTTTCGTTACAAGGGCAGATTTGCTGTTGGCAACGAAAATTATTTTTTTTTATTTTTGGCAACTATTTTAAATTCTCGCCTTTCCATTGGCCAAAAAAGCCCCGAAAATAATAGTATTATTAATATTATTTTATGCAAAATCCGAAATTTGCGCTGTAACGTTTCTTAATCGAAAATTCCACCACTTTGTGCATAATTGAATTGTGCAATAACAAATAATAACGATATTGGACAGTAGCATGTAAATAACATACAATACATACAGAAATCGACTTTACTTATACTGTGAGATGAATAACTACTTTTAGAAATAGACTAAATAATTACTATAATAAATCCCTTTTATCCCAAGTCCAACAATGGCCAGAGACATAGACATGGTACATAATGAACAATAATGTTAATTATCTTAAAGAAATACTATACGTATTTTCAAATTCTATATTTAACAAAGTCCGTCGGTAATAACATGTCTACGACACAATACGACATTGTTTTTCTTGAATCAGATACCATTTTACACACAAGTAATTTGTAATTACTTAATGAAAACAAATTTAAAAGAAAACAATACTCCGTAACTACTCTCAACAGATGATTGCAAACTGGATACTTGTAATTACAATACATGAACAAGAAACAAAAAATAATGTGTATATAATATTAACCGTGAATTTACGTTGCCTAGGACTGTACTACATAGTTATTGACTTAATAAAAAGCGTATAGGTACTAAAAGTACAGCAAAATGTATTAAACCATTTGATAGACCTACCAGAGGTAACACAAAAGATATATATTACATTAAATAATGTTACCTTAGTCCAACTTTGTTTCTAATGTTGGTTATATTTGCAATCAAAAACACAACCAAAAAACACGTCGCAACATTGTAACAAAACCAGAATGGAACTGCGAGGTATTCTTTGTTTCACTTTTATTGGTGGTGGGCAAGGGAACAGACAAAATGTTACCACAACAACGGTTTAAATTAGACATAAATCAACAGAACATAACCCCTCTACTTGATAAAGGTACGATTTCGGCGTGTTTTTAAATTTGTATTATTTAATGTGTCACACAGAACAATGACTAAATTCTAAAGAGTTACCTAAAATATGTTGCGATTTTCACGGAATGTACGTCATGCGTCCGAAATTACCAGAATTATGTTAGAAAATGCAATAACTCATCTATTTCACAAATTGTGGGAAAACCACAACAATATTCAATATGCATCCCTAAAATGCCTACTCACAATTTGTTTTAAACTATTTTCATCAATATCATAAATTATAAGTAAAGGAATGCTAAAAAAACTATTTGTACTACTAATTCACTGCAAGTCTCGATAAGAAAAGGGTCAGAAACTGAGCAAACAAAAGCTTGTTAAGACTACGTTTAGTTGGGTTAAAAGCTCCAAATTATGGAAATAAACATAACCTCTGAGATGCTGAACGGTCGCAGCTTTAAATTAGTTAAATCTTTTGGTAGGCATAATTAAACTGTTAAAATAATTACACCATTAATGACCATATTTGGATGTAGTTAAACAAAAAGGATCCAATGCACATTCAGTCACTTTTGAGATATGGCAGTTTGAAGTTTAAGTGTTTCTTGCTCTTGTTCTATTTTCAAAACTTATAATGTCAAGTAACTCCAGAGATAATTAATATGTTGAATTTTTTTGCTGATCTAAGAGGTTACTTTAGGAACCGTTTGGTACATATAACTCATTTTTTAATAATTTTGTGGGCTGGCTCCTTTTTGCTTAACTACGTTCAATTGTTAGATAAATATACGCAAAAGGCTTTATTTTTAATATTATGCCCAGATTACAATAAATAGGACAATACTTGTTGACTCCGTTATCAATGCATAACAGTGTAATCAAAATGATGACAAACATTTATGTTGTAGCAAAAAAATATAAGATCTCCTTTATCATCAGTCATGTATTGATTATAGCATGTTTTGTAGCATCAGGGATGTTAATTTTGTTACTGTTGTAACAAATTGTAAGTTGCTTGTATCACAAGCCCTAGCAAACATTTATAAATGGGTCACTCAAAAGTAAACCATGTTCGTGACTTTATTTACTGTTGTTTTAACATTGTAGGAATACCAATGTGTAATTTTCCACATATTGCAATATTGTCAATTAGAATTACTAGTTTATGTATGGCGATTGGTGAAGCAGCAGTTTTATGGCAATTGACAATAGCCTAAAAGAAGTTTATGGGTCGTATTCTAGAACTCTACTCAATGCTCAAGTCAGGATGGACTGGATGCACTGGAAACACAAGCACTGGAAATACGACCCTAATGGCAGGGACTTGAGTATGATTTTCAGTGCTCACTGCAATACTCAAGTCCTGACTTGAGTATTGAGTAGAGTTCTGGAATACGACCCTATATTTGGAAGCTGTAATGCAAAAATAAGTTTAATGACGAAATAGTGACAAGCAAAGATAAGGTAACATACCTGACTATTGGAGAATTCCGGTGTGGAGAAAAAGGCATCGCATGAAGGGATGGCTCTCTTAGTGGCGGAAGCACGCGGAGTCGCGGCGACTCATGTCGCTGCAGCGGCGGTGGCGTCGACGGCGAGACTGGCGAGCACGACCCGTTCCTAAGCGGTGATGATGCCTTCTCCCATTCACTCACAGGCACCTGAGCGTACTTCTGTGGAGATGTTGCTGCCACAGGAACCTCCAAAACAACGTTGTCGTCTGGAGACAGACTCTCGAGACTAGCTGACCGAGAGCGGTGCTTTGACTTCTTCTTCCTCTTCTTTTTTTCCTTCTTCCTCTTATCTTTCTTTTTCTTATACCGATGTTCGTCAAATTCTGCTTCGGGATCAACGTAATCAATATGTTTCCTCTTCCTAGCTGCTAACGAAGAATCTCTTGTGAGAGCATACTCGTCGAGTACACGACGCGAAGTTGTTGTTGTTACAGAAATAGTCTTATTATCAACAAAAGTCCGAATTGAGTGGGACTTTCTTGTCCGATCCAGGTCATCAGCAATGTGTCTGCTTATTGAGCTAGCCTCGCTCTCGATCTCTCCGGCCTCCGGTCCTGTCAAGTCCTCTGAGCTCACATCTGAATACTCCACCAGGGGCTTGACAGAATTGACTGTAGCATAAGACTGGTCAATAGTACCACTGCGACTCCTATGTTTTTTGTGCTTCTTATGCTTTTCCTTGTAGTGCTTGTTATGTCGCTTCTCATAAGCCCGGTCCATCGCAGATAAGGGGCGGAGCCCTACTCTGGGCTCTTCATGTTACATCAACTGTAACAAGATTTATTTTACATGAGTTTACTATGAATAAGCAGAACAGTTGTAAGTAAACAAGTTATGGCTATCTATTATATTATGTATGACGTAGAGGTTAGGGTTTCCGTAAAATTCTCAACTAGCCCTAACTCGAAACTAAGTGGAACGCAAAGGAAAATGCACCGTAAAACATAAAATTACAGAACATTGATCAAATATAGTCGACTAAGGAGATACGCTAAAAATACACTAATCATGCATCCATTTTCGCAGCACGTAGGCCATCGAATTAGGGCATAATAATATACAAACACATGCAATGCAATAATAATAAAAATATTAAAGACTCACCTTGATGGTAAAGTGACGTGAATCGGTCGTAGACACAATTATATTACTTTTGCGAGATATTGATTTGTGATAGATAGTCTCGAATATAATTCCGTGATTTTCCTTCTTTTCGCTGGCTTTCAGCCGGCAATATATGATTATCTTAGTTCTTTAGGCTTTCTGCAGTCTTATTTTGCTAGTCATTATCATAAAAAGCGCATAATTCATGAAATTACATCGGATTATTTTTATCAGGGCTCGCAGAACGACGTATCGTCGGCCATTTGCTTTTTCATTTCATCAGATTAGTGTTGTCGTTGTAAGGACACAACTGCACTCGATATCGATAAATAACTTTAAATTGCTACAACTTGCTTATTAATTTTATATGATGCGCAATCATGACTCTACATCAAAAAGATGATGAGATGGCTGTGAAACTTCAATATAAAATCAAAACGTCATATCTCGCAATAACAAGTATTAATCTTTCGACGATATGAACAATGGGTATACTGGTAAAGTTTAAATTATATTAATAGTCCAGAATTTGTTACATCTTTTTAAATTGGAATCTACGATCAATCATTGTCAAGATTTCATAGTTGTTTACATTCATAGTGTATTACAAAACATAACATAATGTAAATATACATCAAGCGGACTGCACAATACAGACAATTCACAAACTTCGGGGATTTTTTCAATAATTTTGATTATAGTGTGCACTGTCACAGTCAAGTCGAGTCATAGCGGTCAGTCAAACCAAATACGCCATACATCGATATTTATGAATGTACAGCATTAATTTATGTGACTTTTGTGTGCTATTATTATTCACTTCCTCTAATCTGAAGAGCGGGATATTCAAAATAATGATAAGAACATGTTTAACAATACTTTAATGTAATATAAATTGTTTCGCCTTAATGTGTTAATTCACGGTAATAATTTTTCAGCAATAATTTATTTGAAAAATTAGATTTTGTTTTTGGGCTTACACGTATACATTAAATGAAAATGTATTCGAAATTCCGTGTACGACGTAGTTCCGGCAGATGAGCTTATGTTTCATTTGACGTAATAATATAATTTTTTTTAACAGCATTTTTAATATTTGAACAAATAACTAACATTCAATCAAATTAGCTGTTGACATCAATTTATGTTTAGAGCCAACTTAAATTAATGAATACTTGCTTTAAACTTTTCCATAATTCAATAAAATGAATGGTTTATGATCTATTCTGCGTTGAAAGAAAGACAAAAGAATACTAGAATTACCATTTTAAATAAAACTGGAAAGGGAATGAATATTTGTTTTAGAGAAATTATTCCCGTACCAATTTTTCTAGTATCTGTCGTATGGTTTTTATTCTCATTTGATTGAAATCACAACATTTTCTTGTTGTGTTTTTTATGCTTAATCATATATTTTATAAACATTTAATTTTGTTGCTTTTATATGAGAAAAATAGCAACACCGCAGTTTGCGTGCAAATTTGCGTCCCTTCATACGATTGTAATATTTTTTATTTAGAAAAATACTAAATACCATACAAATTAGTTATTTGTGCCTTTTTTTATAATTTTCAATGAGTGCAGTGCGATATAGGCTGTTTATCAATGTATAAATAGCCATTGTTACCAAATTAGTCAATGACCCTTAGGTCCACGGCTGTCCTAACTCACGCTCTAGCTGAATTACTCGACATGGAAAAGAAATTGCGAGGATTTTAAGTATTTTTATAGTTTATTATCGTCAATAAAGTTTTATTCTGTGTGAGGAGTATTATTCAGATGTAGTAGTGGTGAAAATTGGTGAATGATGGTTAGGATGGTTTCGATGTCGTTGAACCTGACCGTGTGACATACAGTTTTCGCGTTGGAAATATGTAAACATGAACGATATAAGTGTAAAAATAGTGGAATCTCCTAAGGAGGTGGTGGTAGAGAGTGCTCCGCCGACAGAGAATGTTGTAAACGATGAAGACCCACTGGCGATTGATGAGGCAAGTGGGCGGGTGAATGAGGCCGAGACGCCGGTCGCAGAAAGGGCGGGAACCTGTGATGAAAATGCCAAAGATGAGAGTGAATTTGAGACCCCGAAGGAGAATAGTGTTAAGTCAATAACTCTCCAATCTGAGATAATAAAAGGTGAGTTGGAATTCTCGAATTATTTCTGTCTCAATAAGATTTACTTTCCTCTGCATGTCTAAATCTAAATATAAAGCACTACGAACATTGTACAAATTGACCAGAGAAAATTTTGTGCTATGATTTTAGGTAATTCAATGTTGAGATGTGATTTCATAAGTATCATAATTATTGAAAAATTTTATATGTAGGTTTTATATGTAGCCTCTGTAAACAATTTCAAACATATGCCATGAAAAAATAACTCAAATCTATTTATTATCTTTACCACATATTAAAAAACCTTACAGAAGATTTGCTGGAAGACGATGCTGGTTCTATAAACAATAAAGTTGAAGACTCTGACACCTCGAAAACTCTGAATGATGAAAGGTCATCCAAATTCCTTACGCCTGATGTGAATGTTCCCATTCCTGATTTAGATACTTCTCCTGAAACCTTGGATGAACCTGAACAATGTTCTGTTGAAGAATCATTTGCAGAAACATCTATTTATATTGCAGAAATTACAGAATCAAAGTCTGTAGAAAAAGAGCCTAATTCCTTAAAAGAAGTAGTACAACCACTATACCTAGAGGTATCTAAAGTACAAGAGGTGACTGTTACGGTTCCAGAGATTCCAGAGGTAGCAAAAACACCAGAGGTGTCAAAGACACCAGAGGTATTACCAGAGATTGTAAAAGCAGCAGAGGTGACACAGGCACCAGAAGTGACAAAAGCACCAGAGGTGAAAAAGGCACTAGAGGTGGTAAAGACACCTGAAGTGATAAAGCTACTGGGATTAGCAAAGATACAGGAGGTGCCAAAAGTGAAGGAAGTGACAAGGTTACCAGAAGTGGTAAAGGTGACAGAGGTGACAAAGGCACCAGAGGTGCCAAGAGTACCTGAGGCGATAAAAGTGCCAGAAGTGTCAAAGGTACCAGAGGTGGTAAAGGTACGAGAAGTTGCAAAATCTACTGAAATATCAAAACAAACTGTACCTAAGGCTCAAGAACAAATGCACATAGCTCTTGAGGTACCAAAAGTAGAACCACTTGTCGCCAAAGTAGAGAAAAAAGAGAAACTTGAAGGAAAAGTGGTATCGCTTGATGTGGAAATGATGGAAGTAGCTCCAGTCACAGAGAAAAAGTTAGTGCTTGCAGCAGTTGCAGTTGAAAAACCAAAATTAGATGAAAGGATGGAACAGAAGGAGAAGATCATGCCTTTAAATGGTGATATTGCTAAGGTATTTACTAATTAAATTTTTATTTATTGCTCATTATTTATTTTTATTTCAAACTGGGAGAGGTGGTAAGACCGAGGACCCACCTATTCTTTACTCTGTACCAACAGATTGAAGGATAAGAAAAAATGTTTTTAAATGCAAAATTAAGGGTCGTATTCCAGAACTCTACTCAATACTCAAGTCAGGACTTGAGGATTGCAGTGAGCACTGAAAATCATACTCAAGTCCTTGCCATTAGGCAATTAGACAAGTCTGCTCAAATCCTGACTTGAGCATTGAGTAAAGTTCTAGAATACGACTCTTAGGGTCACGACCTTGATAACTTTCTCGTTGTCCATTTGAATACCATATAAAAATAACTGAAACTTTTGTGATACCTTTGTTGTTTAACAACGGAACGGTCACTATGTTGGATTGCCACGCAGAGGTCCCGGGTTCGATTCCCGGGCCGGGAGAAATATTTGTATGGCCTACATTTCTCTCTCGAGTTTGGGTGTAATTTGTAGCTGTTAATGTGTGTGACTACTGCAGCCGCGACACACGCATTCCCTAGTGCGTATTTAAAATTACAAGTCAACACATATATTTTATATACTTGTAATGAAATGTATATGATTGATTTCCCACAGATCCTAAAGACTTTAAACAATGTTTTCAAACTAATTTAACACACATATTGATCCATATATAGATATGCCACCAATAACTTTGATTATGGGTTTCTTATTTATTTATCACAACCATTATAAAGCATTACTATTTGAAACTGCTTCAAGACATGCATTTAATATTTGATGGATATAGCTTATTATTTCTTGTGTGGTAATGGCTTGAAGTCATATATATTAGTATTCGTTAGTCAATTATCCATTTTGCTTAATTAGATAAGATAGTTAAAAGTGGACACAGAATCAAGATTTTTATTGAAACAGATCAAAAAAGCAAAGAAAATTTGCTTCAATCCAATGTACTCGAACCAGCGTCTGTCGCCTCAATGTGGCTACACCGTAGAATCAAGATTTTAATTAACAAAGAATTAAAATGAAAGGCCCTACTTATTTGTGACGTCACAATTTAGTAGCGCCCGTACAAGACATAATTATCAAGTTTTTAGACTTTCATCCAAAACCAGATTACGACTCTCCACCATTAGTATCCTTCAACGTGCCCATGGGAGTCAATTAATTTGTATTATTTTGACAAGCTTGGTGGTCAAGCTGTCAAGGTGACTGAACGGTCTAGATCTCAGGTTCGATTCTCGGTAGAATCAATTTGGGAAATGAACTTTCCAAATTGGTACTACTCCTGGGTGTTTGAGTAATGCCTCGGAGTGAATCCCATGTACTTTTGTTTTTGAGACCAAAGTTAAAGTCATAGTCGATAGGTAAAATAAATTTACACTTCATAACGTCACATTTAATCTACTGCTTGTTCACTATGCTGACTTCCTTGAGAAGAACGAGAAAGAAACTTTAGGTATTGCTCTTTTCAAATAAATGCAATGGAATACACTTTGAATCAAATTAGTGTGGAATCTAGACCCATGTCGCCTCTCCATACATCTTTATCTAACACGTAGTTTTCAATAACTTTACGTAATATGACTTTTCAATCAATATACATTCACTTAGGAAATGATAATATCTTTATAGTAAAAACGTATACATTTCCCCATAAAAGAGTTGTTTATCTTGGTTAAACAAAATCGTTGTTACCATGAGTTTGGACTCAGCTCTAAGGTTAATGTTATGGATATCTTCTTTCTTATTGAAATTATGTGTATTTTTACGGGCATATAAAATATTTGAATAAATGTACTGTAATGCCACAGTCATGATACCAGCCTCTTTAAATTTTCTCTAAGAGAATCCCGAGAACCTATACGGTACACTGACCAAGTAATTGAAGTTGTTTTCTGGCCAATCCTTGCAATTTTAGCAGCAGTATTATAATTTTACTAGCAGTAGAGCTCCTTGTAAAACAGTTGGTCCAGGGAAATTTTGCCACCTTACCTATTACTGCCGCCAAGCAATAATGTGAGCATTACTGCATTTCGGTTTTGAAGGGTAAGGCTGCTGGTGAAATTACAGGCTCGTGGGACTTGTCAACTTATGTCTCAGGGTGATGGGCGTAGTGAGTGGCACTGCAATTGTTGTGGACAAGCGTGTCGCTTACCACCAGGGGCACGACTGTTCGTCCCGTAAAAACAAAAATTATTACGCTTTTAAAAATTACATTATTTTCATCATGTTTACAAATATTTTTTTAAATCAACATTGATACAATCTTCTTGCATAGTAGAAGTAATAAGTTAATAAAATTCTGTAACAGTCTAGCCGGATACATCTGTTATTTTGTTATTCTATTTCAGTTTATGAAGTCTTTGGTCTTCAAACAAACTTTCTGTCAGATTAATTAGTTTTATTGATTGCCCTTTGTTTAATAACTGCTTATACTTAATTGTTTTATATATTTTCTGTGTAATATCATTATAGATTTTGATTTCTTTCTAGGTTAGTATGAATTGAAATTTACGAAAAATTTAGAAACACATAGAAAAATCTCTTCGACTTTCTGCATCGTAGCCACAGAACAAACAGTAACAAGAATGGACACTGTGCGTGAGAGAACGGAGCGTGATGCGGTATCTAAAGCTAGGGAGGGGCCCTAGCTTTAGATACCGCATCACGCTCCACACATTGACGGTCATATTGACTGAACGATAGCAATGCTGTCGGTGATCCGTTTCCGCGCTAAGACGGTTTTTGATATTTGAATATAGTTTTCATTTATTCATTACGAAACTTGTACGTTAACATATAACATCATTGCGCTGTGTACGGCTGTCTGTCATCATCAAAACTGGATAAAGAGAGGAGTTTCTTTCGTTTTCCGAAACATGAAACGAAGCAAGTAAAATAAACTTATGTCTGAGATTAATTAAATTTTTATTGAATTGATATTCAATTATTTTTTGTGAAATTACTCCACTAGTTTGTAATAATTATTAATACAAAGATCGAACACTCAGAAAAAATTCCTTCGATCCGGTCGGATTCGAACCGACGTCTTCTTGCATACCGTGCCAGACGCTATACCAACTAAGCCACGGAACGAACCAACGGACCTCACGAATTTTTCCATGTGCTTGCGTCGTGTCTTTGTACTTGGTCTTTCAACGACTTTTTAGTCGTAGCGCTATCTATGAGAAATCTATGACAGATTCTGAGTGTTTTTTCTGAGTGTTGGATCTTTGTATTAATAACTATGTCTGAGACTCATTCAGTTGTTGTTTTCTTCATTTATTTAGTGCAGAGTATACGGATTTATTATATCAATATGATGAGACCCCTTCGTGAGCTAGTAGACGAGGGTCCAGAATTTTCAATTTGTATTGCCGATAAATATTACGTAGTGAATATATTTAACTATTAACTAGGTAATGATAATCTTGGACACGCAATTTCAAATACCTTGGTTATCTTATTAAAAGTACCTGTGTTGTGCTTGTAATTGCTTTTAACATAATTTTTAAATAAACCTTCAATATTATTCTAGTTAGTGAATTAATGAAAAATATAATAATATATCGATATAAATACCCAATGAACATGTGTAATTATTAGAATTCTATTAATGGCATTATAGAGAACAATTTCGTGTTAGAATATTCGTTATGTTGCCGCTCTGACCACGTAACGTAATAAGTACGAGAAAGTGATGGGTAACCCTGCCACTTCACGCACACATTTGCGCGTGTGCAGATAGCGCCTTGCTGTTTGTAGTAGTAGTAGGTTAATAAGTTTCGACCGTTGTATGGAGTGTCCGGGGTGTGCCGTAGCGTTGCTCTTACCAACTGAACCACACCATGTTACCGAGCAAACAGCTCCTGTGTTTTTGTTATAGATCTTTTTACTGGGTTTCGACATTCGTCACCGCCCACCGAGTCGAAGAGATTTTTCTATGTGTTCGAGCTTTGTATTAATAATCATTACAGAACTAGTGGAGTATTTCACAAAAAAAAATCTCAGTATTCATTTGATTTGAATAACCTTATCTTTGCCCCCAAGACGATCTGCAACAAGCACACAGAAAAATTCGTAAGATCGGCTGCGTTGGCCTATAGCTCAGTGAGTAGGCGCGGCAGTCAGTTTGAAGGAAACGGCCCTTTTGTTGTTCAATCATTGTATCCATACCAATAATATCCATAGTATGTGAGTGAAAATCTTAGAATAAAGCAGCGATACGCAACAGCGATTGGTTTCGATATTCGACTCTTTAGTTATTAACTAATTATTGATCTTGTGCCATTCGAGTGACAAATTAGTAACCTACTCATTTTCGTATTCGAATGAATCTGAACGATCATTCATTACTAATCCACTGATTCCATAGAGCACAACGATACTCGTGTACACTAGCCCTCGCTAACATAAACGGTAAATACCGTAAATGTGATAGATATTTTGTTATGGACATGGTGTGGTGGAGTTCCGATATAATCATTCGACTCGTGCACCCCGGACCGAATGATCGTGTTTAGATTCGACTTAGGCGAACGATTTGCCCATTTGAATGATTAGTATTAGTAACTGTCAAAGTTGCGCATCACTAGAAAAAAGTTATTATAAATTGTGCTACGCTTTTAATTTGCTGTCTAAAATTTTATATATTTTTTTAATAATATCAATTGACGGAACTAACAAGTCGTGCGCCCTGATTGTAGTGTAAGCTACAAGCCTGTCTATAACAATTGCAGTGCCACTCAGAGCTTTAAATCACAAAGATCTGGGAAGCACTGAGACATAAGTTGACAAGTCCCTTGTGCCTGTAATTTCACCAGCACCCTTTAAAACCGGAACACAGTAATGCTGACATCACCGCTTGGCGGCAGGATAGGTAAGGTGACAGTACTTCTCTGGACGGACTCTGTCACGATGAGCTCTACTGCTACTGAATAGAACAATCAATGCCCTGCAACAGCACTTAGAATGCTGTTGGGACATTGCCTCGTCACGACTCAACAGCGAGATTTTTCCGCATGACGGCCTAGAAAATGTGAGCTTCCACAAATATGCCAGATGCATTTACGCCCTTTGTGCCCTGAAGTATCGTTATAAATAACATTTTGCTTGCAATTTTTTTTCCACAACACACTTGTGTCCACAGAGACAAGAAGAATACACAAGATTACATCAGCTGTTTAATTTTGTTAACCCCGAGCCCAAAAAGAGGGGAATTATAAGTTTTTTTTTGGAAGGTAGGAAGGTGGTAACCGCTCTTATAGTATGAACGGGTTAAATTATAATTTATGTTTTATTCCATTACATTTTAGGACGAACAAGCAACGAAAAGACGCGCCAGTGCAGACGTGGATACTGAGTCTCCGCTCAAAAAGCTGTGCTTAGAAGTCGAAAACACGTTTCCGCAACACGATTCAATGATTAATGATTACATTCAAACAGCTACAAAGAACAACATAGATGAAATACAAAGGCATACAGAACAACTTCTTGCCGAAATTCAAACGTTACGAGAGCTAGCTCAAAAGAAAGAACACGAATGGAACAACATATTGCATTTGAAAAAAGTCAAAGAGGAGATCCTTCTACGACTCCTAAGACGCAAACAAGTGTTATCTTTCGAAAAGTCAGCGGAAATGAACGGCTCCGAACGCACAGATCCGTTCGACTTTTTAAATCAAGCGAAGAACCTGGCAATAGACAAGAGTGATGAAATATCCGGTTTAGCTATCAAACAGCCGGGTTCCACAATGAGTCCTATAGTTCAACCGGTTATGCCTGTTACAACACATTTTAATCCAATGGCTGTGTTGCCTCCGCCTTATGATAAGGCAGCTCATATGCAGAATATGCCGAAACCTGTATTTCAGCCCATGATGTTGCCCGGTCCCATGCCTGGGTTCCCTAGAGATATGAACGGGCAGCTGCCTAACAGCTACGGCTTGCCGATGGGTCGGCAAGGGCCTACTAAAGACGTAAAGAGCATTATAGCCGATTATAGGCAGAGGAACCCTGATGTGACGCCGCGTAGAGGTCGTAGGATGAAATCTTTATTGAACCCTAATATGATGAACGCTCCTCGGCCTATAGCACCTAAGCTAGATAGTATGAATAGCCTAAGCAATCTCAACATGCTGTTCAATAACTTGGACATGGTGAGTTGAACATGATTTCATATTTTATTCGGTATAGATATCAATTTTCGCAGAGCATGTAAGCGTGAATTCAAACCAATGTATTTTCTTCAGAAATTTCGGTACATAGATCACATGAACGAATCATCTGTTTGTTACGTAAACATCTTATCTAAAATTGTATGCGGCTTTTATTTGTTAAGTACATTAATTTACTCATATAATATAAAATCATAAGAAGATAGTAATTAAAATTTTGGTTTCTTGTAATCTCTCTGGCCGTTTAGTAACTTTCATAAAAAATCTACAGAGCGTTACAATTTGTCATGTATTTCTCCCGGTAGAAACAATGCCCCGAGCGATGCTCTGTTGCCGTACGGACCTCGATCGCACAGTCTAATTCGTAATTGTAGTCCTTGACCCCGTCTAGCCGGTTCTTACCGTACCTACTTGCTTCTTTTAACGCAGCACTGTGCTATATACTCCTACTACTTATTTATTTATGATAAGGTCGAGTTTTCAATTACGGTTAATAAAACAGTTTGAAATGAATACACGGCACTTACAGTGCTGTGTCGTTGCAATAAGTTACGTAAATTGGAGTCTTTAGAAGTCATATGTAAATACGGTAATAGCATGTGACCGCGAAATATTTGTAATTCCACGAATATGTATAAATTTTAAATGAAACGAATTTTTCGGATCTACATCGCGTATACTTGTTTTTTTAAACAGTCTGCCGTCGTCCCTGACTCCGTGACCATGTGCCACGTAAAGAGCGCCCGAAATGTGTTGCTTGAAAACATCGAGTATATAACCAGAAATAGAGACGAAATGTCATTTAATTTGTTTGAAAACTATTCTGCCATATCATTACTGTGACAACTGCGCTCCGATTGGCTAGCCCGAGTTCGAAACAATTGACGGGTGACGTCAATGGGTGTCGTCAACTGTTTCACTTCAAATAGACCAGCTAACTTGAGCTTTGCTATAATGGACGAAAATTGCAAAATTACATATTTAATATTTAATTACCGATGAAATGTGTTTCTGTTTGTTTTGTAATTAAATGTTTTGCTGTTTTTCCCACACCACCGAATAGAACAGCACGGCATTGTTAAAGATATTATCTTTATTACAATAAATACAGAATATTTTTTGGAATATACGTACACACAGGTCAGTAGTTGGCCTTTCTATATTTCAGCGCAAACGAGAGTTGATATTTATAAGAGCTGTATCGCTAATGTGTTATATGGCCCGCCAGGAATATATGGCCTTTATTTCGTCCTATTTCTGGTTATATACTCGATGCTTGAATAAAATAAATAAAGGCAGTTTAGCTTAATTTAAAGTGCATAGATATCGCCAAAATCTAAAAATTAAATGCGTCATTTGGTGCTATTCTGACGCAATAGTACTTGTAATATTACGGGAATTAATTCGCCGGGAGTAGTGCAATTACGTGTAACTAGCATTGGATTATGAGTTTCCATTTCGGTAATTGAGTGACCAAATCAAATCCGCGTGTGAGACAGATCTCACGAAGCGGTTTTGACCCGCGCCCGCTGCGGTTGTGGAACGGCCCGCAAACTTGGCGGGAGAGGATCGCAAGGCGCGTGGTTATTTACAATCGATTCAGATCGTCAGTTTAGTCTCAGACGTCGCCATGGACTCACATCAAAAACGAGCTATCGCGTTATACTTACTTCATCGAAGAATTAAAAGAAGAAGGCCTAAAAGATTCTGGGTGCATCCTCTAATACAGGAAAGAAATCGTTACGGATTATTCGTTGTTCTTATTAATGAGTTAAAAAAACATGAAGACAATTTTTTTTCGGATGTCCGTATCTACTTATTCAGAACTTTTAAGAAGAATGGTAACTGGTAGGCAATTAATTGATCGACTTCAATAACCATAACTTGAGAAATTGACACGCGCTGCCAAATCAAAAATCAATCACAAAATGGCGTGGGAAGGAAAGACCAAACCCGCGCGCGTGCAACGCGTCGCCCGCGAACCGACCGCAGATTGCGCGGGCGACACCCGCCAAGCGTGCGGGTGACCGCGTCGTGAAATGTGCTATTAAATTGTCCCGCAACCGCGGCGGGCGCGGGTGAAAACTGCTCCATGAGTTCTTAGCCTAAATGTCATATCAATCAAAATAGTGTGTTTTACGGAAATATTGTTATCAGTCCGTAGGCAACATAAATTCATGTTTACTATGCAAAAACGAAAGTTAGAATTCTCGTCACATAAAAGAATTATCTCGAAAATTTTTCTGTTACCGTAACTTATTTTTATATGAATATTCTAATTTATCTTTCATCTTTTTTTCTCTTATACATATAATTTTTGGTTGGTATATGTATACTTAGTAATATATGCTTCATTTGCAAGAGTTGGGGCCTGGCGATACAGCAAGCACCAGCTCCTACAAAATACTGTTCTAAAATTACTAAGATTGTTTATGTACTTCTTATTTGTTGTTGTATTTTGTGGAGAAAAATAAAGTATTAAAAAAAGAGCATAGAAAATGTTTAATGGTATTTCAACTATGCATCGTTAGGGTAAGTTCCGATAAGTTGAACACGTTAACTAATTTTAACTGTATTTAAAAGAGAATTGTGTGCTCTATCTTTTGCTTTTTAAAACGGATATTTCACAATTTGTCACTTAACCGCGTTTTAGTTAGTGGGCGGCAGAACGTTAAATCCTTTTCCTGTAGTAATTTGGTTTAGTGCATGTACGCGCTTTTTACCAACACTACATACGCGGTTTCGCACTATCTCCGGCGAATTGATTTAAATTTATGACTTCTCAAGAAACTTTACGTATTTTTACAAAATATTTTTTACATAAATTTAAAATTACGCCGATGTTTCTTCAAACGTAAACACTTGTTTTGTTACAGATGTGTTAATATAGTTAATTCAATTTTGCGAAAATTATAATTACGTCAGTGTAGCACCAAATGAGCGAAATACGCCTTTTAATGATTTATCCGTGGTGGCACGTCGTCGGGGACAGTACAAATCCGCGTATATAGTATTGGTAAAAGGCGCGTATCTGCACCAAAACAAATTACTACTGGAAAGGGATTTACTTACGTATTTCAATGGCTAGACTTTAATTTTTGCACAGTAAACATTAATTTATGTTGTCTACGGACTGATAACAACATATTCCCGTAAAGCACACTAATTTGGTTGCCACGACATTTACGCGGATTTGAATTGTCCACTAAATGACCGAAATGGAAACCCATAATAAAATGCTAGTTACGCGTAAATTCTCGACGGTATCTGTAACATAATTTCTAACTTTCGTTGACGTCGTTCTTTCGTCGACTGTGAAGGAAAATATCGTATGCATGTCGAAGAAGATTCATAATACTTGTAAGGCGTCTCCTTAGAAGAAGCCTGTGCACAGCAGTGGGACGTATAATTGGTCGATGATCATGATGAAGACGAATTTTAAAACAATATAAATGAACAGATCATAAAATCGGGCAGTAAACGTAATTTATAACATCATTCTTTTTTACGGCTTCATGTAATTTTCTCCTGGAAGTAAGATTTATTTATTGCTTCAATAAATTCAAAACTTTTCGATTTCTACATCAGGACTTCATCCGTTCTCAAGTTATTTCAAACTTTGCATTTGACCTATATCTATTAACTGCCTGCTTTTATTGTCCGTAGACACCTACGGCCAATAAAAGCCATTCAGTTAGAAAATATTAATCTGAGCATTGTGATTGATAATGAGCTCGACATTTTCCAGAAACAAACGGGATAACCGAGCAAAAAAAATATGTTTAAATGGTAGTTTCCTATTTTTGGCGATAGTAAACAGTTAGAATATTTTTATGCTGTAATCCAATAGAATTAGAACAATTTTCATTTTCCTATATATATATTTTTAATTAATTTCGTTTAATACGATAATTATAATAAAATACTATGATTAAGATAGTAAATAATCGTATGCCACTAGTAACACAATCGGTATCAAAAACATTTTTTGTGCCGCCATTTTGTAGTGACATAAATTTAATTCGTGCTTCGTACGTGTGGCGAGGCGTCCATATAACTCGATTTCCACCGGCTTGCCGAAAATTTCCCACGTATCAACAAATATTATTATATTATAAATATTTTAAAATTATTTACTACATTTTGTGCTAAAATTTATGTATAGAATTAACTAGTGAAATGAAGTATAGGTACTAGTACCTTGTGTGCTAAGAAGTTGTGCTCAAAATAGGTGTTTTTGGTTCTGCTCTGGCTTTACTAACGACAATTTTAATGTCTCACCACTGCTCTGTTTGTAGTGTGTTCTTTTAATTATTATGTGTAGATGTTAATTGTTTATTGTTATATTTTGTAATAGATAATTACAATTGTATAAAATGAGAACCTCCTCTCCATTTCCAATTCCGTCAAATATAGAAGGTTTAGCACACCTGCATTACATGTACGCATCTAAATATTATAATACATATTATATAAAATTTTACTTCCAAAATATAAAATACTGAATAAATACCTCTTTACAAATAACATTTACAGTGGACCTACTTTATGCAAATGTCAAAGTAGAAGGCTAGTAAACAGACTGGAGGAATGAATGAGAGCTAAGAGCCACACAGCGTATTTTACATGCGCAGGCGACGCGCATTTTCGGCGTTTGAATATATTCACTAAAGCGCGTCTAGGGCGCCGTAAACGCGCGTTCGTGAAACGCTCGTCTTCGGCGCGCATAAAATACGCCATGTGCATAGGCTCGTAAGTTTCAACTAATAAATAAATATGGTTACCAATAGCGAAGCGTGGAAATTGTCGTTAGTAAGTTCCTTAAGAAAAAATGGTGTCTTGGTGACACTTAAACTCGACTTATTAGCACACAAGGTACTACATTTGTACTTCATCTCACTGGTTAACTTATTCTACACATAAAATTTAGCACAAAATGTAGTATTTGATAATACGTGGAAAATTGTAGGCAAACCGGTGAAAATCGAGTTATGTGGATACCTCGCCACTGACGATTACAAATTTATGTGACATTAATGTTTTCCAGAACCAAAAAGCAATGCTAGAGCGACTCCAACAAATGCAAGCTGGCAACCTCCCCAACAGTATATTCAAAGACGCCCTAGTACAATTCGCGAACATGCAACAAGCCACATCCGGCCTCATCCCGAACAGAGTCGAAACAGTCACAAATCGTCAGGAACATCACAAGGAAAGGCGACGGCCGGAGAGAACACACGAGGAACATAAACAGCCAGAAAGGCCGTCAACCAGTCCGAGATTGCCACCTCCACCACCGTATCCCGAGATCTCCTTGCTTCCGGTCACTACCAGCCAGGAGACCACTCACACGCAACAACAGAATTCTTTATTGCACGGGATTTTGACTAAGGTTTGTTTTCCTTTATTTTTTAAACTTACAGTTGAGATAATTTTACAACTAATCCGGTAAACAGAAGGTTCAGTAATTTTTCAATGACACGCGACGCCCGCATTTCACGAGAGTGGCTTCAGGGTATGGTCTGATATATAAGGTGTCAAAAGAATGTAACGCATGTTCACAATTTGGTTTTAACACTATATATCGGCAAAAATGAGCTGTGTGCTGTTGTAACTTTCTCCAACTCTTTGAGAACTTGTACATTCACATTTGTACTTTGTCAAGAGCTCATTACAGTTCCCGAAGTTGACATTACCATTGAGTTTATGATTAACACCGAAATACCACATCTAACGAGCGATTTCAAAATAGTTGCCCTTCATCATTTTCAGAGGAATGCTTTTAAAAGGTGGATTTGTACGTAACATCTTTGTTTCATATCATATCAATTTCATAATTTGCTTTTTAATTAAATTAGTTAATGAAATCATTGTGCACTTAGAAATTTTTAGATTAGACTGATCATTTATTAATGGTGTCATATCACATGTTTGTATAGCGCTTTTTAGATTTTCAAACTCGCACACAGAATTTATATTTAAGCAATACGTGTTTTCCTGACCATGTTTGATAATTTTCTTGTAATAATATAAAGGCGCGAAAAGATATAGTCTATTATACGTATGGATACGTACTTGGAATGTACACATCACATGGACTCTGTTGCGACCGAAACAAAAGGTCTACCACGAATTTCGAAATACAAAGAAACGATCATCATTTTCGTATATTACGTTATATTCGTCGTATATTATATTCGTAGTATTATCGTTTATTATATTCGATATTGATAGTTTCGTATCGAATCGAAGGCTACCACGAAATGCGTATGAAGATCGTGATTTAACTCCGAAACGTCAAGTGACAACTTTCGTATCGAATTTTGACATTGCATTCACCTTAAAACTGACACAAGTAGTACGTATGAGCTTCGTTGCGGACGCAGTCACGTAGTATCGTCTTTCGTGGTAGACTGCCTGATTCTTTCCTCTCTTGCGACCTTTAATTAACCGTAGATAAGAATATGACATCATTAAGTTCAAATTAGGAATGTCTGAATGGGTGTTGCCAACGTTCCAGCACGCGCCGGGACAGAGTTACGCTCCGACGTTGGCAAAACTGCTCACGTCGCCCGAGCGGCAGCAGGCGCTGCCCGCCTTCGGTCAGGCCAAGGTACCAACACAACAATGATTGGTGTGACAATTGGCCGAAATACCAAATTCAAAATTTAGTTTTTAAGACTTTTTTAACGGCTTTTTGGATTGTTGGAGATGACTTTAGGCAGTGTTTGCACAGAAACAATTTTTGAAATAATGTTTAGTTTTTTATTAATTTTCTTCACAATTGTTATTTAGCAAGCTCCGTCAATATGCAATGCACTTTTAACATTTTAAAAATGCAATATTCTATACTACACTGTAATGTAACAATACACACAGTATCTAGATTATATAGCATCTCCAACTATTTAAAAAGCGTAATTCAGAATATCTGGAAAAGCGTTTACTTGAAACGGCAATGCCCATTAAATTAAACCAAATGAATGCAAGTTCATTATCATAATTGCATTTATGTACCTGCATTTGTCATTATTACCATTTTAGCCGGGTTTCATGCTTTGAGGCAATAATAAATTGTTTACATTGACAAGATTTTAACAAAAATAAATAAATTAAAAACACTATTGCATGACGGGCCACACACTTAAATATACAATCATTTTTTGCAAATTCAAACACTATATCAATGGTTTAAGTTTCAGTTTTTAATTACTAATAAATCAAGTGCGTGGCTCGTTGTTATATCGACGACAAACTGGAGTCTAAAGCTGTTGACTTATCTTTAAATTGTTTTCAAAATATTTTGTGTCAAGGTTCTTACCACATTGGTTCGTGACTAGACACTGATCCTCCTCATTACTACAAAAAAAGATCTCCTATTTATGTAACGCGAAAGGAGAAAGAAAGCTAACGTTACTAAAACGTGGTACTGATCTGGAAGCCCTGTTTGCAGAACTGTGGCGAGATCACAATAACTCCGGTGCAGCCGACGCCGCCGCCGCCTGAGCCGCAGCCAGAGAAAACCGAGGAGGTCGTGCAGTTGGTGAGATATATTTCTTATTTTTCCTCTCCTGTTCGACAGGTTTTTATTCCTTATTTTTTCTCTCCCGTTCGACAGGTTTTTATTTCTTATTTATCCTCTCTTGTTCGACACGTTTTTATTCCTTATTTATCCTCTTTTGTTAGACAGGTTTGTATTCCTTATTTTTCCTTTCCTGTTCGACAGGTTTTTATTTCTTATTTATCCTCTCTTGTTCGACAGGTTTTTAATCCTTATCCATCTTCTCTTGTTCGACAAGTTTTTAATCCTTATTTTTCCTCTCTTATTCGACAGGTTTATATTTACTATTTATCCTCTACCTTTAACAGCCCGCGTGGTTGAACGGTTACCATGTCGGACTGCCACGCAGAGGGCCCAGGTTCGATTCCCGAGCCGGGAGAAATATTTGTATGGCCTACATTTATTTATCTCGCGAGTTTGGGTGTAATTTGTGGTTGTCTATGTGTGCGTCCATGGCATCCGCGACACAGGGTTTCCCTAGTGCGGGGCTATGTTGAGTGTGTGCGTTATTATTATTATTATCCTCTCCTGTTCGACAGGTTTGGCGCAAAGAGATTAATAGAAAAGAATTTATAATAAAAATCTTTATTGAATCAAAACAGTTGCATGGTATCTTAACATTATGTAACATCATTATGCGTGGAACATTTTAAGATGAGATGTACTAGTTTTCGACAGACGCTGTATCTTCCACCAGATTTCTTTTACACATAATAGTAATTCAATTATTTATTCAGACAACTACATTTTTTTAGAGATCCAATGGTGTTAGTACACTTACAAAAATAACAGACTAGGTTAGTTATAAAAATGATAAATAAGTAGTGCAAAAAATACACAAAAATTAAATTATAAAAAGTGGCAGGCTACTGTCTCTCATTCGTATCCCATTCCAATAGACTCTTGTGAGATTGTTCCATCAGAACCCTAATGAAAATTTCTTAACGGGTAGTTTATATCTATCAGGTATTACCTGTAAAATGGTGTTTACGCTGTTTCTCAGTGTGCTGAGTAATGTGGAGATTAATGCCAAATATATAATAAAATAAAATATAATAAAAATATATAGTACAAGTAAAAATATGACAGATAAAGAAGAACTTCAACTTCTTTGTGTATTTTTGCTTTATGTATATGGTATGGTTGTGTCATTCCATTGCGCAAATTCTCTAAAATTAGAAAAAGGCCTTATTGTGCTGTTTTGGAGAGCTAAAATGATAGCCCCACTAAATATTTATTATTCGTATATTACATATCACTGGTAAGTCGTCGAATAGATTTTTTTTACTGTAACAAACGAAAGTAAACATTATCCCAGACCAATATGGTCGATTTTTGTCCTTTGGAAAACTATGTACTACTTTCTATTCGTTCAGATGTTAATCGTTCGTCGTAGTCCAGCTATTGGCCGTAAGATGGAAGCACGTTGAATAAAATTTTAATATAAAATCAAAACGTCGTAACTTTTAATAAAAATATTGAACTTTCAACCATATAGCGACTGAGTAAAGTTTAAATTATATTAACAATCCAGAATTTGTTAAATCTTTTTAAATTAGGAACTCCACTGCCACTGATGGTTCATTCTACAAAGTTTTCATAGTTTTCTTTTTAAAAAATTGACTCGTATTGTCGTAGGACGACGAAGAAAGTGCGGTGTCCGAAGGGGAAGCATCAGGGTCGCCCCCAGGCTCGGGCTCCGGCCGGCTAGTGATCGACGAGGGCAACGCTGAAGCGAGCGAGACGCCGCTCTGCCAGGGCTGCCGCCGCCGCGACGCGCAGTTCGTCTGCGCCGGGTGTGCCAATCAGTGGTACTGCAGCCGTGACTGTCAGGTGAGACAACCGCCACCATCAGATTCCGCAACCGGTTACCTCACACCGATTGCGCCACTCGTCGCTGACAAGTGCAATTCGTGTTACTTTTCTCAAACATGCTCGGAAATGTTTGCATTACTTTCAAAAAACGAACACGGAAACTTTATCATTTATGGACCATGCGACTTCTTCCCGCCAAGGCCTGCAAAGTATAAAAAACCAATAGTGTCCACTACTCTAAACTTTTAAATCTACCTACCAATATTGAACTATGTAGACAGGCAAAAGAAAAACTCAAACAGCCAACTGTCCAGTATTCAAAACTGCGA